GTGTGTGTGTAGTTAGCGCGCTTGAATGATGAGGTGAAGACACTCTGTACTGGCCTTCTTGGTATTCTTTAGTCACGTTTTAAAAGCTTTTATCATGGAACTACACTGTATTTGTCCTCTTTGTCGTTGTTTTCTTTCTTTATTCTGTTTTGCTCCTTAAAACCTTTCTGGCCATCACAGCTGGATCATTTCCCTCCTCTCTCTCTCTGTCTCTGTCTCTGTCTCGCCCTCTCTCTCTCATCACTTTGACTGTTGTCTGTTCTTTTCAATGGCTGCTGACAGTATTTAACAATGTGCTTCAGTAATTCCTCACCGAGGAACCTGATTGTCATGGAGACACACTGACTGTGTGTGTGTGTGTGTGTGTGTGTGTGTGTGTGTGTGTGTGTGTGTGTGTGTGTGTGTGTGTGTTTTAGTGTTCGGTACAGAATGTATGCTCTCCTGGGATCTCTGTGAGCAGGGTTCTCTGTTGTAAATGTATGGATTGTAAAGACCTTTGCTTTACATTTTGTTTCTTTAAATATTCTCCCATATATTTATTTTAAAGAGGAACACTGAAAGTTTAATAAATTATTCAAGCAAACTCACATTTATGGTGATTGTGTTATTATATGTTATTTTGTCATCCAGCTGCCCCTCTTTGAGATTACACAAACAGTAAATTGGTGACGTTTACAGGAAAAATAGTTGCTTTTTTGATACACGGCTGACATGTACTTCAAATACTGACCACTAGGGGTCAGCAATACTTCACAATTAATCTGAATGGGAAAGGCTCTTGAAAAAGTTTCATTTTTTTTAAAAATGTATTTTATTTTTTACTGTTTTGACCCGAGATTTACATTAATGTAAACAAGTATTTCAAAACAAGTCACATTTAAATAGATTTTAACATACTGTTTTACTTCAGAGTAGATCATCATGTGAGTGCTGAAATGTGATATATAAAAAATAATTCTTGATATTTTCTATCTTCATACATAAACAAAACACTATACAGTTATATATACAGTCATATATAAATTTGTACTGTAAATTGCTGAAGATTACTTCAGGAAAAGCTCGCTTTATGACACACGGCTGACATGAAATTCAAATGCTGACCTGTAGAGGGCAGCACTACCTCACTTCGCTTGAAAGGTAATGGCTTTCATGGTTTAGCTTTTTTTTAAGTATTTATCATTTTTATTTAAAAATAATATATATTTCCAGCTATTGACCCTAGTTTTATAAACGAGTATTTCAACACAAGTCATATTTAGGTAGGTGGTGATAGGAACCAGGGTTCGTCATACCTGCAACACAAATAATTTTATTTACTATCCAGCACCACCAGTGAACCAACACGAGTCTTCTGAGCGTTTATATGAAATATTTATTAGGGTAAAATAGCGATCAATCTGAAAAAATAAGTTTTCTTTGGGGACTATTTTGCATCCGACATAAAACAAATGGATTAACAATACGTTTAAACCTATCGTAAACAGTGTCTCAGGCAGTGAATTCATAACCATTTAAAGTAATAACTTTCTGTGAGGGAACTTTTAAAGGTGGACGTCTGGTTCCTATCACCACCACTGTGAACAATTCTGACTCGGTACGTTTCTGTAGATTTGAGCACTTCACACCAAACCACTCTGAACGACTTAATCATTTAATTATTTGGAAATTTGAAAAATTGGTAGAGTTCCACTTTAGCATGCTGTTTTGATTAAAGAGCATAACATCACGTCATTTGTTTTAAAAGTGCTCAAATGAGATATATAAAAATTAATTCGTGATATTATATCTATACAGATAAACACTATGTCCAACTATTTGTACAGTCGAATATAAAAGTGTACTGTAAATTGCTGAAGATGGAAGAAATGTTCTTTTAATGACATACGTGGGATGGACTTCAAATACTGGCCTGTAGGGGGCAGCGCTACTTCACTGTTCGCCTGGAAGATAACGGTTTTCCCCGATTATTATTATTATTATTATTTTTAATTATTACTTTTTTAAAGAAGCACTTCACAGTTTTGCCAGTTATTGAGTCGGATCAGAAGGTATTATAAACGTGTATTTAAAAAAAGTAATGTGATAATGTAACGTAGATGTGTAACGTGCTCTTTTGACTTCACCAGCGTAGAAACATTTACATTTTTTAACTGTGTTAAAATGGACAAAAGAAAATCTGGACATCTCCGTCTAAAAGTACACAAAAGAAGACCAGACGTACTGTAAATGAAGAGGAGGCATCATAAAAAAAAATAATAAGCCAATGAGCGTAAAGACTCGGTTTCTTTAGTCCAATCGCTGAGCGGATGGGGCGGGTTCTGTGTATGACTCCGCCCACCATGTCCAACGCTGCAGCCGCGCGGTGACGTCACAGTTTCTAAAATGGCGGTACTAACGTCTGCTTTGAATTTTTACCTTCCCCGCTCGATTTTGAAATAAACAGAAGAAGCAGGAGTGCGGCTTTGACTCCGGATATCTGGGAAATCTGACCACTGCTCGCGATGATGGACTCGGTGGTCGCGGAGGACCAGACGCTGCCTTTTGACATCAATGGCAGGTAAGGAGCTCAGAGAGAAGCAGACCGAGGGAGGGTTTGTTTCCATTCGGCTGGAGGAGCCGAGAGCGCGGCCGGTCTGCGGCTGCAGGCTGAAGTATGTGTGTGTTAACTACGGGTAGTTTGGGTGTGGAAACCTGGGCTGCTGTGTGTTAATTAGCTGGACAGGCGTTTCCAAAAATTATTCTTCTTAAACTCGGTCCAGACAAAACCTCCAAACCGCCCCTGCTGTCACTCATTACGAGGCTGAAGCTGGTTTCCTATTCGCCAGCCTCTTATTCGAATTTCCCCGTTCCGCCTTAAACGGTAAGGCTGTTACGTTCTGGCGCCTGAGGCGTTGCAGTGATAACTGCTGCGCCATTTAAGGTGGAACGGAAAATTCGAACGAGAAGCTGACGAAGGAGAAGCGACTTCAGATTCATGTGTTACCACCACACCTTTAACAACGCTGGGTCAGCAGCTGGACGAGAGACGCGGACACCTGTATAGAAAGAGAGAGAACAGACACTTTGTTTATTTTCACGAGAAAAAGAAATAGTGTCCAGTTTATTTCTGTTATGATTGGACGTAGTATCATTACGTATTTAAAGCACAAAATAAGCCGTAAAGGAGAGGAAGAATGTGTGTGTGTGTGTGTGTGTGTATATACACACCGATCAGGCATAACATAATGACCACCTCCTTGTTTCTACGCTCATTGTCCATTTTATCAGCTCCACTTACTATATAGGTGCACTTTGTAGTTCCCCTTTTACCCTGTTCTTCAGCGGTCAGGACCCCCATGGACCCCCACAGAGCAGGTACTATTTGGATGGTGGATCATTCTCAGCACTGCAGTAACACTGACGTTGTGGTGGTGTGTTAGTGTGTGTTGTGCTGGTCTGAGTGGATCAGACACAGCAGTGCTGCAGGAGTTTTTAAACACCTCAGTGTCACTGCTGGACTGAGAATAGTCCATCAACCAAAAATATCCAGCTAACAGCGTCCTGTGACCACTGATGAAGGACTAGAGGATGACCAACACAAACTGTGCAGCAGCAGATGAGCTATCGTCTCTGACTTTACATCTACAAGGTGGACCGACAAGGTAGGAGTGTCTAATAGAGTGGACAGTGAGTGGACACAGTGTTTAAAAAACTCCAGCAGCACTGCTGTGTCTGATCCACTCAGACCAGCACAACACACACTAACACACCACCACAACGTCAGTGTTACTGCAGTGCTGAGAATGATCCACCATCCAAATAGTACCTGCTCTGTGGGGGTCCATGGGGGTCCTGACCGCTGAAGAACAGGGTAAAAGGGGAACTACAAAGTGCACCTATATAGTAAGTGGAGCTGATAAAATGGACAATCAGCGTAGAAACAAGAAGGTGGTCATAATGTTATGCCTGATCAGTGTGTATATATATATATAATATATATATATATATATATATATATATATATATATATATATATATATATATATATATATGTATGTGTGTGTGTGTGTGTGTGTGTGTGTGTGTGTGTGTGTACACATATACATTTACAAGATAAATGTGTCGTTTAGCAAGAATTACGATGTTTTATTACACTTGCAGTCTTGCTGTAAAAATGACGTAAGGAGAGAATCAAATCTATTCTGTTACATTGCTGATAAGAAAAAGTAATTATTCCACAGCTAATTATATATTACATCTCAAATTGTAATACTTCATCAATGATTTTTTTTATGTTTAGCTGCTAATAATAAAACACCACAACATTGCTGTTGGTAGGAATTTCTGACTGTCATTTTATTTAATTTTATTAAAATGATGTTGGGTGTCACTCAGTGAGCACTTTAACATGCCTGTTTATTATTCAAACAGTAACCAGAGGATGTGCTTTGTTTTTTATTTCGTTCTACATGGCTATTTTGAACTGGCGGTGGGCAAACATATCACTGAACATAAGACATTTTCATTATACAAGACATGCAACATGATTTGCACTGTAGCATTTAATTTTTCTGAGGTCTGATAAGTTGAAATAGCCAAAAAAAAGTAGTAGTGCCACATTTAAAAATGCTATAAAAAATTTAAAAACAGTGACATCGTTTCACATAATGTGCTGAAAGGAAAAGTTAAATTGGGCTAATTGTGAGCGCTTCATAATGAAACATACAGTTGGTCAGTTTTCTGTAAGAAGAGCATTTTGTCACATTAAGTAATTTAATCACGATAAATATCAGTCTACTGCACACCCTTGTTTTAAACTCAAAACTTGTTATTCCCCATAAATGCTTATGAGAAGCTAATTTTGAACCGTATCATGATTTAGAGGTACAAAAACAAGTCAAAGTCGTTTGAAAAAACTCAAATCTGGAAAAATGTTTGTAGATAAAAAAACAGTTGTACTGTTCCTTTAAATCCTGACTGCTTTAAAGGTCTCAGTGGCTTCTTCATGTGCTGCTATTGCGCAATCACAGTCACAACAAATGCGCATCAAGCTGAGCTCAGAGAGGCAGATTCTCAGAAGTAAAAGGGAAACTACAGGAGGCGGAAAGGGCCGTTCTGTTTAGCGGCTAACGGGACTGTTTGTGCTTCTCTCTGTCTTCTCAATGCAATATGACCCAATGAAAGGAGTGAAGTAGGTAGGTAACGGTGCTCTGTGTGCCTGTAGCTTGTGTTTGTAGCTTGTGTGTAGACAGTAGGTCTTCATAGCATAGCTGAGTAGTTTGGAGGCCACGGCTGGCAGAGCTAAGTCAAGTTTAGCGACAGGTCTGTCTGTGCTGATGAATAAGTAACCCTGTGGTGTCAGAGTTATAAACGCAGGTGGCAAGCCTGTGCCAAGTAACTAAATCTGTAAGCTGATAGCGATAGCGTCTTTGGACATGAGCTCTTTAAACTCTTTTGCCATCTGACACCAAGAGTGATGGGCGACTGTTTTCCTGTGAGAAAGAGGAAGTTGTTGTTGTTGTAGTAGAATAGCCATGAGGAAGCAGCACGAGGGCCTCCATCTGCGCTGATCCCATCCACACCCAAGAGGGAATCTGCGCGTAATAATAAACACATATCAGCGCTTGCATAACTTTGTATTCCCGTCTTTGTGTAGTGTTTCCAAGGGCTTCTGTGTGAGTGTGTGTAAATGCTTCCTCTCAGTGTGCTCCCTCATCACCACCCTATCAGAATGAGCAGAAATTCTCCATATCGATTAGGGAATCTGATTTGACTGATAACTGAATGTCATTAGTGATTAATTGTCCACTGACAAGCCTAAAATCAGTGACTCAACTCATGAAAATATTAGTTATAAAACAGCAACTTTCAGATCTACAGGCTGTCTGGCTGAGCCACGTTCATTGGCCCTATAGTCTTACGAGCGCACTTGACTGAATTCTGCATCAATGCACAGTGATATTGGGTGTTCCCAGTATGGAGAACATAGTACTGATAGGCAGGACCAGGTAAGCATGTGTATTAAATAAATGGCTTCAAACACCAAATACTAAATGGTTGATGAAGTGCCTGGAACATAGACTATAGGGCCAAATATGTGTGGACGCCCCTCATTATTAAGTTCAGGTGTTTCAGCCACACTCATTGCTAACAGGTTTCTAAAATCAAGCACATAGCCATGCAGTCTCCATAGACAAACACTGACAGTAGAATGAGTCATACTGAAGAGCTCACAAACTCATTGAGTAGGGCTGATGAGTGCTGAAGCGTGTAGCATGTAAAGATGTTAGAAGTTAGAAATTGCCTCTGGAAGCAACATCAGCTGAGGAACTGTGTGTTGGGAGCCTCATGAAATGGGTCTCCATGGCTGAGCAGCTGCACACAGGCCTAATTTCACAAAGTGCAGCCACAGCAGAGAAACATGTTCTCTGGAGTGATGAATCAGCTTCACTATCTGTGAGTCTGATGGATGAATCTGGGTTTTGGTGGATGCCAGGAGAACGACACCTACTGGAATGCATAGTGCCAACAGTAAAGTTTGGTGGAGGAGGGATAATGAGCTGGGGCTGTTTTTCAGGGTTTGGGCCCCTTGGTTCTAGTGAAGGGTGATGATGATGCTACAACATACAAAGATATTTTAGACAATTATATGCTTCCAGCTTTGTGTCAGCAGTTTGGGGAAGACCCTTTCCTGTTCCAGCATGACTGAGCCCCTGTACACAAAGCAGCTCCATAAGCACATGGTTTGATGAGTTTGGTGTGGAGGAACTCCAGTGGCCTGCAACAAGCTCATATAAGTGTGATGATCAGCCGTCAACATACATTTGGCCAAATAGTGTACAATGAATATATATTTATATATAACTATATTTATCACTCGTCACTAGCCTCATGTTAAAACCGGCATATATATATCATGACCAGGGCAGCCTGGGCAGCAACCTTAACCTTAACCTTAGCAGCCAAAAGATCTGCTTTGGCCTCTTTTACTTTTCCAAAAAACAGGTTTTTTCCTAGAGCAGCTACATGTCCCCCTTATTGTCAAACATTTTCATCGTCTATCAATTCTTTGGTCCCCACAACAAGCCTAAACATGCACACACACACACACACACACACACACACACACAGTAACAGAAGCAGATGTGTTTTTGTGGACCACAGCTGTCTGACTGCACCTGTGACTCAGCCTTTCCAGCCAAAAATACTATATTGGTGGAGTTCTTTGGCTGGCTGTGTTTGGCTGAGTCCCAAATGGATCCCCATTGGGCATGTAGTGCCCTATTTGTGTGCAGAAGCCATTATTTCATGACCTAGCTATGTAGTGCACTATATAGGCAACAGGAAACCGTTTGAGACACAGCTGTTTTTCTGTATGAATGTTATAGGCCTCAAACATATTTTTAAAAATCCATTCATGTCAGAGGTACATGTAGGTCATTGTGAGGCAAAATAGTCCCCAAGATGAACAGTTTTTGTAATATTTTCCACTATTTTACCATCATCAACCATGTAAAAACTGGTTTTGGAGCCAATAAAATGGCTGTATTTGTGTTGTAGTCATGGTGACCCCTGGTTTTTGTCACCACCACTGTAAAGAAATCTAAGTCTTTACAATTAACCATTTCACACCAAACCACTCTGAGTGACTTTAGAGGTGGGTGATACGGCGAAATGTAATATCACAATACATGACGTTACAGTATTTATTTTTGCTGACATCTCATAAGTTACAAAGTAGTGACAGATTTTAAAAATACTATAAAAACCTATGAACCCAATATTTTCTCTTCAACATGTCACACACGGTGCTGCACTAAATCAAATTAAACAGGACCAATTATGCACCTTGTAATTAAATGTGCAGTTTGTAAGTGTTTAAAGTACTGAAAGCAACCACGATATGCTCAGAAAACCATATTGCGACATATTTGATGTAATTTATCACAATAATGATACATACTGCCATATTGCCCAGCTCTGGTTTGTTCACAGCTCGATTGAACTGTGCGTGAAATTTTGAAAAATCAGTGGATTCTACCTTTAACTTGTTTCATTCAGAGAGAAAGAAGCATGTTGGCGGCGAGGGGACCATGTTAAAATGTAATGAGAAAAATAAAAATATCCAACGCTGCACGTTAACGCGGACATATTAACTCGCATTTAGTTTCTCCTACGGCTAAATGTCGATATTTTAGCCTTAACGTTACTCTCATTCGCGCTTAGCCACTGAAGCATGTTGACTGAGCTATGCTGGCAGTGGAGATTCAATTCCAGAAGAGTCGGTTCTTCGACTTTGACCGGTCCGGGAGTCAGGCTCTGCTCTTGTCCGACGACTCTGAGAATCGAAACGCTTGGAATCGACTCTTCGACTCCCCGTTATTTCAAACGTAGCGCCGTGACCGGCCCAAGGGTCTTCCTTAATCTTAATATTTTCCAGTGACTACATTCAGTGTGTTCTAACTTTTGCCTAGTCTTTTTGTCTGTGGCGCTGCCGCTATCTTTTAAAAAATGAAGTGGAGTCGAGGAGTCGACTCCCTCGACGCCCGCTGCAGACTACAGCTCCCGCGCATGAAGCGAACGCTGCGCGTGTATGGGTTTAAATTTGACTTTTAACGGCTTCCTAACGGACGGAGGCCGTTTAGTTCACCATGTACACAATTGGACTAAGTAAGTGGCTAATTAACGTTAACCCTTCACCGATTAAATATGACAATATTAATAGGATCATATTTCTCTTTTAAACCCCCGAAAAGAGTGTAAATTTAACGTTACCACACGTTTTGTGGGGGAATGGTTAGCCGATAGCCGTTAGCTCTTAGCTCTAGACGTTCAGTTATGGATGCTGCTGTGGAGAAATGCATTAACGGAAATATTAAAGGGGAGGTTCACCAGTTTTTGCTAATTTTTTTTTATTTATTTGGTGATAGAGGTGTATACAAAGACGTTCAGATTGGTTTGATGTGAAATAGTTCATTTTTAGAGAAATTTGCAGACTCAGATTTCACAGTGGTGGTGATGGGAACTAGGGGTCACCATGACTACAACACAAATGTAGACATTTTATTCACTATCCAGAACCACCAGTGAACCTACACGAGTCTTCTGAGCTTTACATGGAATGTTGATGATGGGAAAATGTAGAAAATCTGAAAAACGTAAGTTTTCTTTCGGGTGCTGTTTGCCTTTACAGCACCTTGCATGTACTTTCCGCTTTTAAAAAAAAAACATTTTAGGCTCAAATCTCATTTCAAAACGACTGTAAAACATCAGGCATTGTGTTCAAGACCATTTCAAGTAATAATGTTCTGTGATGGAGCTTTTAGAGATGGACGTCTGGTTCCTATCACCACTCAGAGTTCTGACTCCGTGAGTTTCTCTAGAACAGAGCATTTCACACCAAACCACTCTGAATGACTTGGTTTACATCATAACCATTTGATTATGTAAAAGAATCGGCGGGATTCCCATTTAACATCCATAAAGTTACGCTAGTGTCTGTGATAGTATTTTAAAGTATTCTGTGTGTTACTAAGGATATTTAGAGTAATTTCTGTTTTTTTTACTGTAATTTAGCTGTTACTGTTTGAGTGTTCCTGTCGATGAGTAGTTTGGCTCTGTAGAATTTACACTATAGCATTTATTTGTGCATTAATTTCTCTCACTGTTAAGTTTGAGAAAACTGGAGTTCGGTGCTTTATCTCACAGACACATCTCCAAATGAAGACCGAGGCCATGGAACACATGTTTAGACCCAGGGGAAGCATGTAAATGAGTGAGGGACAACAGATCCTTGGGGGACGCCTCCAGCAGGAGCAGTGGGGAGTTTGTGAATAGAAATATAGATGCAGTGTTTGTCTGTCTGTGAGGTAAGAAGTAAGCCAGGGGACAGCTGTGCCAGTGTGCTCCTATAAATGAGGGTTCTTTTGTAATTCTTTAGTAAAGGCAGTGGTTATATACAAAACCATGACGACTCAAAAAACCATTAGCATGCACCCTTACATGGTTTAATGGTTCTTCTCTAAAGTGATTTATTCGGATGACAGTAAATAAATTCAAGCCCGTGTATAACTGATGATATCTTGCACACCAAACGCAATGTTTTGGATACCAGAATGCGACGTTGCTCACCCTCTTTTCGATTTTTGCGAACCTTTACCATCAACAAAAACTCACTGAGCAATCACGATTGCCTCTGCTGTTGGCATGATGACAAGTAAGATGACTTGATTTTTTTTTGCCCGTTTTTTCATAGCACTAAAAACATGGTGAAAAAATGGTGTTTCGTCTGGTGTGTGCAGTTTTGATGTTTAAAAAATCACATCCGAATACTTCTGCATCAGATGTAGAGCTAAGATCGGAGTTGTTGTCCTACAGTACAGCCAGTGCAAAAGCCAGAGATCACCCTTCATTTACTTATTTTCCTGTCACAACAGCTATTAAGTACAAGTTATTTGTTTTAGTGTCAGGACAAAAAGCAGAAAAGGCATATTTTGAGGAAATTTACGAATAATGCTCATCAACTAAATATACATTTTTCCGGTATTTAGTGTAGCGCTGTCGCGTCATAGCAAGAAGAGCCTGAGTTTGATTCCCAGCCGAGCGACCAGGGTTCTTTCTGTGTGGAGTTTGCATGTTCTCCCTGTGTCTGTGTGGGTTTCCTCCAGGTGCTCCGGTTGCCCCTAGGTGTGAATGTGTGTGTGAATGTATATGTCTCTCTGTCTGCCCTGTGATGGACTGGCGACCTGTCCAGGGTGTGATCTTGCCTTCCGCCCATTGATTCCTGGGATAGGCTCCAGCGACCCAGAATCTTAGCGTGTCCACTTTTTTGCCTTTGTTACAACTTCTTTTCAGGGACTCACTTTCAGTGTCTTAAAGAAATCTGCAGACACACAGGTCTGGACTCTGGGGTGGTCAGTCCATTGTTCAGCTTCTTTGTTTGATGTGTCCGTCTCCTTTTCTCAGTGAGGTTTTTTTCTTGACAGCTACACATCCTTTCAGACCCACAGCGCTGAGTCGTCTTCTCACAGTGGAAGGATGGACAGAAACACCTGTGGATGTTTTCAGATCTGAAGCAGCTTGATTTTCTCCTCTCTCTCAAAGATGAAAGCTTTAAGTTTTGTTTGTCTGGTGGCAACATTTTGATGGTCTAACAGGTCTTTCATGGCAGTTCACTTATTTTTCTTTGACTTTCCCTTTATGCAAGTGGATTATCTTTTCTCCTCAGAAATATCTCCTGAAAAATTAATATCTCATACTTAATGTTGGTTCTGACTGGAAATGAAATAAGTGAACAGTGGCCTCTGACTTTTGCACAGTGTCGTATGTCCTTTTGAATCCTCTGTGATACTGCATTGGTGTGTCCTTTTGGGCTTTCCGTAGCTGGATGAGTCGTGGAAGGGCAGAGGGGAATGGACAGGGAAGGAAGTCATTCTGAGAACTGCTGATATTTGATCCACACACACTCCATTAGAGAAGCACTACAGTCTGAGCCAAGAGGGCTCTCACAAACACCCTCATATTCATTCAGAGATGAACTGGCGTTTGAACCAAGAGTCATTCAGGACATACAGGCGTTTGAAAAAACAAACATAAACATGCAGTATTTTGTGGTTTCACAATGTGTCTCGTCAGAGGTTCTCACAAGTTTTCAGTTGCAGTGTTTGCAGGCTGGCGTCAGCCTCATTGCCCACAAAGAGAAGGAAATGTATTGGAACCTCAGTGGCAGCAGTTAATTCTTTTAAGCGTATTGCTGAAGCTCTCACTGCTGATCCAATCTAAATAAATTGTAGGTTCAGATGCAGACCAGGAAAAATCTTTTTAAAGGAGCAATTTATTAAATACAGGGGCATTTTTGCAACACAGTTCAGCATAAAAAGCCCCACAAAGTATTCAGTGTAATATCATTGATCAGCCTTATTTTATAATTGTGTATTTACTTTATTTCTAACAAAGCCCACACATCAGCTAAGAGTGGGCAGTATGATAATATTTTATCATTATCGTGATAATTTTTTGTTATTGTAGTGCACAATATGCATTTCCAGCTGTCTTGGAAATCATCAGTAATTAAATACAAATAAATTACCACTGACCAACTGCATGGTTTTTTTTTTGTTTTTGTTTTTTTAAATTTACCAGATTTTCTCCCCAATTTAGTCGTCTCCAATGACCAACTGCATGTTTAATTACAAAGAAAGCATAATAAGTCGTTTGTAAATATATTTAGTGCAGTAGAGTATGTGAAGTGTTGAATAATAATCATTGTATTCATAGTTTTGCAAAAAAGGTGGGCTGTAGTGGGAAACTCTGGTCCAGATTCCTGCATAGTTTGCTATTTTTTCCCTGCTCCAACACACCTGATTCAGCTTTTCAGTAAATTAGCAGGTTTATTTTGTGTGTTAGAGAAATCAGCAAACTGTGCTCCAAATCTCTGGTTTGAAATGAAGCTTTAATGCCGCTGCATGGTGTGAACTTTAAAAAAGTCTCCACACCATTCTGTATTTAGGTTTTCAGTGTGATCATCCACATTACAGAAAAGATCAGCAGATTCTTTTTGGGACTGAGTGTAGCTGCTTTATTCCTTCTTTTTGTTGTGCGGGTTGCTCATGGAAAAGGTTATGAAAACACATGCGCTCATACAGAGTGCTAGTATTAATCATGCTCCCCTGCTCTGCCTTAAGGATGGTCCATGAATAGCATCTACCATAACAGTGCAAGTGCCAGGAACAATGAGTTCAGCCTGTTTGCTGTGTGCAGAGAGAGTTTGGCTGAATGCTTTGAAAATGTAGTGATGGCACTAAACAGAATACAGCGTCCTAAGTGTGCTCAGTAATGTATTCTATTACAACACATACAGAAGTAACATTGAGAATACTTTAAGAATACATTTTAAATGCATCTTGATGAGGCACGTGGGGAAAGTCTGCTGTTGTATATAAGAAATTGGACTGTAAAATGGGCAGCTGTGTGACAGACGGTGAATGACATGTGTCCAACACCATGCTCTAAATGCAGTATAGCACTCATGCTAAGCTTATCACTTGTAAACATGTTCACTAATGAAGAAATGATCAGTTCTGTCATGGCTTAAAAGAGCTCAGTAACAAAGAGATAAATAAATGACTCACACATTTATGGGTCTACTCAGGCTTTAGTAAGTTTATAAAGAAGCCGTTTGTTTAGTTTTTCTTTAGAGTGTGTTTGCTACATGCCATGCCAGTTGTGCTCTCTCGGACTCCGGCTGTGGATGGCTGTGGCATCGCCAGTGGTCAGACTCATGCTCTCCCAATGATAGGACCAATAGTTTGACAGTTACGCCACTCGGGAGCCCCGCAATTAAATACTTCCCCGCAAATCATTCAGCCCTAATGGCTAGGTGTACATGTCAAAGAGTGCCTGTTCTGTAAGGTAGTTTTATGTTTTGAAGTCTGGAGCCCCTGAGGATTGCAAATAGCCGTGGTTTTCCTAGAGCAACAGTGCTGAATGGATCATTGTGCTTGCGTGTGTTTGATTTGATGACTGCGTCTTTGTTTTACTATGTGTTCGTGGGAGTGTGTGTTAAAAACCCCTGTAACAGTGTGTGTTTTCTCTATGTAGCTGCAGTATATCCAGACTACCAGACTCTCTGAGCAGCGGGGATTTCACCCTGGACAACATGACAGGTACAGCTGACTCCCTCCGAAACACACACACACACACACACGGGAGTGTTCGGTGACCTTAGTGGCTGTAATACAATCCAGCCAGTCCAATAGTTATTACGATATGACATTGTCATGACATTTTGAGGGAGGGTATACTGCATATTTATACATCTCTCTTCATTCTCTTTCTTTTTTCCTTTGTCTCCCACTCAGTGTTCCTGTAGAATAGAAATAGAAATTTATGGTCATAAAATCTAAAAGGTTCTTATATTTTTAACACTGAAGGGAAAGGAGTACAGTGAAAGCTACAGCAGATATGATGCCTAAACTGTATCTCAAAGCATATATTAACATTTGGTTTTCGGTCTATTTGTATTAAACATGAAACTTAAAGGCATTAAAGGGTACGTGCTCTGCATTTATCTTCTTTTTTCCCTTGAGAAGTGAGCCAAAACAGAATTTTTTTATGCATGAACATGTTCTAACCTCTCTTTATCTATTAGAATTAGGGATGCATCAATACCATTTTTTTCAGAGTGAGTACGAGTATGTTTCTAGCGTTTGACAATAGAAAGTCTGATACCAAAATGAATTACCGTCAAAATCTAGCTGATTTTAAATGACTTGAATTAGCTAGCTATGCTACATTAGTTACCTTGGATCAAATAGTGCTGCATTGGCATACAGCTGTAAATAAAGCACGTTTCATACTTTTGCTACTCCTCATCAGTCTTTCAACAATAGTCTCTGTAGCACAGTGACGGCAGGAATCACATCTGAGGCTAACGCATCTGAGGAGCTCACGTGTGGAGTTTTACATCTGTAGTATTTTGTTTAGCTGGTTGAGCTGTAGTTAAATGTCCTCCAAATCCAGACATGCACTGTGTGATTTTAGAAAGCTTGTCTGGTGACTCACCCCGTTTGTTTGAATAGACTGTCATGTATGGACAAAGTTTGCGATTTAGCCTCTACAGACGGCGCTCTCTACGAAGAATTTCAAATAAAGTAGTTTCATTTAAAATAACACATTATGCACCGAGTGCTGAGCAAAGACAAACAGCAGCGCTGCTAGCACTGAGCATACAGTCTCTCTACGGTCTATTTTAAAGTCATTTAAAAAAAAAATTAACGTTTATACCTCACAATTCTGTTTAGTCAAACAGAGTAAAGTTGGCATAGACGGACTTCAGTGGGAAATGCCGACTTTTCCACCCCTGTTTGGTGGCTTCCGTGTCTCCACCCGTATTGGGGAAGTGGTTGTGATTGTGTGTTTAAGACAAGCTAAAATCTTACAGTATAGATCTGGCAGGAATATACCTAGGCAGAATGTTTAAAGCGACCAACAACTTTGTGTCCAACTGTCACAGAGTCAGTAGCTCTTCTCTGTGTGAGCAGAGCCTTCTTTGCCGCATTTGTTCATTAGTGCGGCATTGTGCACTTGGTTTACTTCACAGTGGGTATTGAAATGTTGGTATTGATAATTAGAATTATACAGGCTATTTTGTTACTGTGCCTTTAATACTGATATATGTAAATGATCTCTATTTTGATTGGCTGCACTGTATTGTGCCTCATTCAGAAAGCAGTCTAAAATACTCCTTATAACGTCAACAGAAATGAGTGGGGCTAAACTGCTGTTGTTTGAATAGGGTGATATGTGTAAATGTGTTGGTTTTCATGACAAAACAGCCTGTTTTGCAGCTTATTTTCCAGATGTTGACATGCTATATTTGTGTGTTTTGTGTGGGGAAATTGTACTGTTTTTTGCTTGGTTGGTCTTTAAAAATTTATTTAAAAAGCACTGAATGTGGTTTAAAAAATTATGCAGCAACCCTGTCACTGTGTCTCTCAAACACACTCTTATGCATTTAGCCCTTCTCTTGATCTGAGTCAGCTGAAGATCTCTTTTCATAACCTGACACCAGAACACTCACAGCCTCGTTCTTCCTCTTCGTCACTCACGCTTCTTTCCCAAACACACATACTGTTTTCTAGTACAGATTTAGGGTTGTGAGATGCTTTAGTGGGTTTGAAATTGTTCTGAAGTTAAAGTAGTCCTTATAAACAAACTTCAACCTTTATACAAGTGGTGCAGCAGTAGGCACGCAGTTTTCCACAGCAATGATGTAACACAGATGTTTATTTTGGATCTCTCTGCCCTCAGCTCTTTAACCTCTGACCTCAAAACGCACACACGCAAAACACAAGACTGCACAGCCACACGTATGATCCAGCTGCAGCGCTCACTCAGGCTGGCCGTGAGTAAGAGAGCGCAGTGGGAAGGAAGGTGAAACGATGCACCGTTTGATCATTTTTATTTTTTGATGTTTCTCCCTCTCCCCGACAGCTCCAATGTTCCCCGGGCAGAAGATGTCTCCGGCCAAAGCCATGACCATGAAGGACTACGAAAATGTAAGTGAGGAATCATTGAAATGGAAACGCTGAGTGAGCAACACTGAAAGCTAGTAGCCATTTGTTAGCGGAGAAGTAGTGACAGGCTTCATGTAGTCTGTCATTTTGGCTGTGGTTATTTGTTTGTTATGGTATTTGGTGGCTGTCTAAACATCAGCCTTTTTTCAACATAATGAGGCTTTACATCTGCTGTAAATAGGTACTGATCTGAGGACAGCTTTATTCCAGACTGTAGTATTGTAATTGAAAGAACAGATTACTCAGTAATGCTAACAGCTAATGTAATTTGATTTGCATAGTTTAAGCACTTGTGGCCAGCTTTCGTTCATTCAGGCCCTGAAAAGAATTAATATTTCAGAGTATCTTGACAAAATATGAACTTGTGCCAAGAATTAGCTTTCTCTGAGACTTTAGCCAGTTGTATTTAAAGGGCATACAATTCCACCAAATCTGCAGAATTCAGTCGTTATGTTGTCATTCAGACTGGTTTGCAGTTGTAGAGAACCTTACCAACATAGATTTCTTTACAGTGGTGGTGACAGGAACCAGGGGTTGTGATGCATTTTTATATGTAATGTTGATGATTGTAAAATAGTGGTAAATCTTAAAGTGAATTTGTTTTGAGGACTCTTTTGTCTTGCAGTGCTCTGTATGTACCTCTTTTTAATACGTTTAAGGCCAAAATCTTCTCAAAGCTGTTGGAAAACAATGTCTCTGTGTATTTGGAACCAGTTTGTGCAAAAACAAAGTGCAGGAGCTTTTAGAAGAATTCAGTGTTTCAAACTTCTGGTTCCTGTCAGCACCACTGTGAACAATCCAGACTTCTTTCTCTAGAGCTGAACATTTCACATCATACCACTCTCACTGACTTTGTTTTACATCAGTACCATTAAATTATTCAGAAATTTAGGAAAAGCAATGGACTTCCCGTTAAGGGGACAGTTAATTCAGTTACATTAATAGAAGGTGATTGGGCTGGCAAGTGACCCATACAAGCTTTCATTCATTCAGATCCTCAAAGGAATCAGGATTCCCGAGCATTTTGTCAGAAATTTGCATATATCTTGTCAAAACATATTAGCAATGTTAGCATTCATGAAGTCCTTTGGCCGAGGCCTGTGAGAGCTGGTGGTTTTTCGGAACGATTTGAATGTTGAATTTAGCATGTCTCTGGTTTAGTGATGGAATGGAGCGGTCTGGCTTCTGAATCCGATGCATATTTCCTGTATGGAGTGAATGAGACTGTGTTTATCCATTTAAGGTGCTGTAGAGATGTGGAGGAATGAGATCTTAATGTGGAGCCAGATCTGATTAGACCTGAACCATGTGTGTTCCCCTGTTCCAGCCTTTTTTTCTCTCTCTCTCTCTCTCCCTCTCTTTCTCTCTCTCTCTCTCTCTCTCTCTCTCTCTCTCTCTTTATCTTTTTCAGTTCATTTCACAAATAAAGCTAATTTTTATTGCTTAAGTTTGAGTACAGCACTTGAGAGTTGGAGATAAACAGAAGACAGGCTAGCGTACATAGTATAGTCAACACGGAGCATTGAAATTCCGGATAAAAATAGAATCTCTCTCTCTTCCCCCATACAATTCTCTTAAATTCTCTATATTTTTTCTTTTTTTTCTTTTTGGCTGTTCTGTTTCTGTTTCTCTTTATGTGTCTCTATCCCTCCCTCTCTTCTTTCCATTTCCCATCCCCCTCTTTCTGCCCCAGATGTTGGCACAGAACACTAATGCAGAGTCTACTGCCCCCATCCCCTCTCTTTGTACACACACACACACACAAAAACCCAAACATACACAGCCTGCTTTCATATGAAGTCACACCTCTTTTCTCTCTAGTGTAATTATTCTCCAGCTCATTAGCATATGTCGAGTGATTAGTCTAATCCTTGAGAAAGGCAACAAAACTAAAACCTGATAAATTTGAGTTCAATAAATGAATAATATTAAATAAAATTAATTGTAGTCTTTGACTCTGACAGAGAAAATAACACATGTTGTTTCTTATAGCAAATTACAGCTCTGAAGAAAGAGAACTTTAACCTGAAGCTGCGGATCTACTTCTTGGAGGAGCGCGTACAGCAGAAATGTGATGATTCTACGGAGGACATCTACAAAACGGTGACTAATGCATGTTAACAGAATGACACTGGCTGTGTTTACATGCAAAGATTTTTGCCAATCCGATTGAATACAATACGATTACAGATTCAGACTGAGGTGTTTATATGCACACTCTATTCAACAATTTGATGGAAAATCTTCGTTTACATGCTCACTACAAGTAATCCTAAGCAAAATGACACGCATGCGTGGAGTAGCGCTTAGAGTAAACGTTACCATGACAGCTAACATCACGTGAGGTCCAGTCCGCGTGAGATGAGTTTCCAGCTGGCGCGCTTGTGTTTTTAATTGCTTTATAATGATGTCAGACTCAGGAAAATGTCCTTCACATGTCCTTATTAAAGAAGGCCGAGAGGAAGAAGTCGTGTTCTGAAACACATAAGCTGGACGTCCGTCCCACCGCCGTCTTTTAAAGATCAGAGCATAAACTTCGTCTCCTCTGCAGACCAGTTTCTGCTCCGCCATGTTGAACGGTATAAACTTTCACTATGACGCGACGCACATGATCAGAACGTACCTACACGTTCTGTAATTGGATTCAGGCCTTTACATGGTTATTATTCTTCTAGTTAACGGATTATTTAGAAGTTTACCCACCTCGTTCAGTCGGATAGAAATTGTATTCCAAATGACCTCAATCGGACTAGACTATTCTGATTGAGGTGTTTACATGGACGTATTCTGTTCCAATTGAGCTATTAGTCGGATTATTAACGGATTATCAGGCTGCATGTAAACGTGGCTACTGTCACTGTATGGATTGTACAATGTGACCACATAAACAACAACTTATAATCCGTCCTTGACTCTGTGTATGATTGTGTTGTTCTGCATGCTTTTATGTGTAGAACATCGAGTTAAAGGTAGAGGTGGAGTCTATGAAGAGAGAGCTTGCAGAGAAGCAGGAGCTGCTGGTGTCAGCATCGTAAGTCCTTTCTAGTCTTCCTTCCAGTTGTCCAGTTGCGGAATTAATTGGACATGCCCCAGCCAATCCATCATTTACATTTTAAAATGATGAATTACATTATACTTAAATAAATCAATATTATAATTTATTTCAATCAGTTTTGGATAAGCTATATGTGTGTGTCTGTGTGTTTTTATGTAGGAAAGCTCTGGAGAGTTTAGCCAGTAGAGATTCAGGGGAAGGCTTTAGGGAGCGCGCTCAAAGAGAGATGGATGCACTCAAAGAAGCTTTCAACACCAAGTTCAGAGAATTGGAGGAGGTAACAACACACACACACACACACACACACACACACACACACAAACAGAAATACAGTATGTAAAAGATTCCACGGTCAGAATCAAGAAAAACTTTGTTCTCCCAACCATACGCAAGGTTAAGGTGAAAAGATACAGTGGTCCCCTGAGATCTTGGTGTAACATGTACAGGAGGACAAATGGTCAGTTTTTCGATGCAAAGCTTATAACTCACTCACTCACTCACTCACTCACGTTTAGCAGGCTAAAATTTCCCACAAGTGGGTCACCATTGGCACTTAAATAGCATTGAATCCTTCGTAACAGCAATGTTTCACACCAGTGACACTGTATGTCCTTGTTCCTGGACCACACTGTATACACCAGAAAGACATTAGTCCACATTACAGTGTAATCATACAAAAGAGTACAGTACATTAACAACATCATTAAAAAGTGACTTACCATAGTGGCATGTATCTACTTCCACTTCTTCATATTAGGAACACAAAATCTGTAATATGAATGGTACATATGCATCATGATGTCTTTCGCTCTGTATAATTCTTCATTTTTAATTAACTGTGCTCTCTTCCTGTCTGTCTAGTCTCTTCGCTGTGCAGAGGAAGAAGTAGAGAAAATGGCTTCCATTGCTGAGCAGGAGAAGCTGAGGAGTCTAGGTTTGGAGAAAGAGCTTCAAGCTGCCAGCCAATCAGGACCCACCCGTGACCCTGGCTCCACTCCTGGGCAGATCCATGAGCTCCAGCGGGCTCTGCATGAGAAGGATCGGTGAGGAAAATTGCAGAACTTGTGTATTTGCATCATCAGTGTCAACCCCCAAGGTGCTCCCACTGTCATCTAGGCCTAACTAGTTGTAAATATGATTGACCTACCCTGATATTAAATGGGTCTCGATAGTGGATGGATTATTGTAGGCTTGTGTTTGTTTCTTTCAGCAGAGGTGCACTTAGTCCAGTAGTATTGGATCAGAGTCCAGAACAAACACACTACTCACTTCTGCTCCAACATGACCACCTCTCTCTCTCTCTCTTTGTCTTTTCTTCCAAGCATATAGACTGGGTGATCTAGCGCCTCCCCTGGTGACCATGTTTTTTTTTGTCATGTTTATTTTATTGTATATTACAGGTTGAATCTTAACAATGTCAAGAAATAACCGTTTTTTCACTTCTGACTTAAAAAAAAAAAATTCTCTTTAATGAAGCTTTTTTTTCTTTTTTTTTGTGGATTTTTTATAGTTTTTTTTGTGTGTGCAGTGGCAGTCATTATTTGAAGCTATTGTTGTTTGAAAACATGGCACTGAAGTGTCTGTCTAATCCTTCCATCTTCTGCAGTGAGATTGAGCGCCTTCAGGACTCAATCAAAAACCAAGACACTCTGATTGGAGAACTTCAGCAGAAGTGCCCAGATAAGCCAGTTGTGGAGCAGATGGTACAGCTCAACAATCTGATTGGCCAAAAGGATGGGGAACTACAGGTCAGTTTGTCACTGTGGAATCTTAATTTGCATTCAGATGATTCAAATTTTGCAGAGAACAATTTATGTTAGTGATTTGAACGCACTACTGTCCAAAATCATTGGACGTAGCACTCTCTCGCTCTACTATTCCGTTAAAGTATAGTATAATTAATACAGTTTAAAAATTATTGAATAAAGTAAAGTTGAATGAAGTAGTTTTTAGTTGCTGCATTCACTGCATAGGAACTAATGTGATTTGACCAAAAATGTTATCACAGTATATTTTTCCATTTAATTTTATATTGATAATAATTATTTGCATTTCTTAATGCTCTGAAAATTTTGTATGAAATATAGTTTGAACCCCAGAAAAAGGCAGACTTTTTCTAGTAGATATATTTTTTTTTTCATTTCAACACTGAAAATAGCAAACTAGCTAACTCTCGTAACCATATGTATAAAAACTATTGCGCGGCTTTGTGCTTTTGTCGTGAATGGCACGACTTCTCCCCCATCTAGCAAGTCAAAGGTACAAACTGCCACCTTGTTTACCCACTGCACTTTGCTACTAATAACAGATTGTGGAAAAGAATGGCGTAGCCATTTTACCTCAAGTGTGTATTATCATTATAGAAAAATCTTTTCTTTTTGACAGTTGTTATTGTTTTATTGTCTGGACCCACATGTAAATATAATCATGTGCACAGAAAAAAGTGGTTTTGCTTTTCACATATATGACTTTAGTGCTAAAGCTGATTTGAAGATCAGTCCTCCTCACTACCATCATTGAAATTGATGCAACTTCAACTATCAATATCCGCTCCTGCTTGTGTGGTTGTTGTGTTTTCAGTGTCCAGTATTCCTATATGTATATATTTTGTCTTTGTTCCTGCAGGCTCTGAAAGACGAGCTGGATCATGAGAGAGGGAAAGCAGAGAAAGAAAACCAGGTGAGAAGTGTGTGTCTGTGTTCTGTGTACACTTTCAAATGTGGAAGGGTGAAACTTCAGGTTAAAGTAAGGTTCTGTTAAATGAAATGCATTGAGTTGTGGATGGGTATGTGTAATGCACAGAGAACTTTGTTGATAAATTTGTCCAGATGTGCCCACAGACACTTTTAGTATCTCAGATGTGTGTTTCATGTTTGACGCTGTGGCGTTCCACCAGCGATGCTGTTGTTCCACATGAAGTGAATGCTATTGGCCGGCTATTGGTGGCAGTATAATCCCTATCAGTGCTGTCTTACTGTAACTGCCTGCACTTGTACACTGTCGTGTGTATGTGAATACTAGTGATGTGCATTCTGAATAATTTTGATATTTATGTAACCAAATCGCTTAATGAATGACCTTAGTTAATCGCAGGGAGGGGAAAAACAGCACCAAAAATGGGCTTCGGCCGATTTTATGACATTAAAGCTGTTGGCTTACCTTTTAAGGTGACAGCGCTGTTGTTGCACAAAAATGTACTGCAGAAGTAAACATTCAAAAGCATGATTAGTGCTTGTTAATATACGCTGCCTTGGAATAGCGAGTTCAGTCACAGTGCAGAGAAGCACTCGTTCAGCTTGTAACTGTTTGCGTTAGCAATGTAATGACGTCTCTCTGGCTAGGGGGGTAAGAAAATATCGATACACCTGAGCATGGCAATATTATATTTTGTCATTCTGTATCAATTCTCAAAAACACAGTATAATTATTAATTGCATGCAAAGATTCATGACGGATAGTAGTTCATTTTGTGTTGTGTTTAAACCCCTGACCAGATTACAGTAGACCACTAGCAGTGTTGTAATCTCTTCAGCCGTTAGACTTTTTCTTTTGTTCAGATTTTATGCATATGGTGGTGTGTGTTTTACACTGACAATTTTCCTAAAATTAGATTTCAGAAAATCACAATATATCGCCTTGCTTACCACATTACAGTGTATTGAATCCTAATCTCTGTATCTTGGTACATATCGTCTGGCCAGGTTCTTGCCAATACACAACCCTAACTCTAGCGCTTTGTGTTTGCGGTGTTTTGATCTTTTCTGTCATCACTGCTTTAACAATGTGCTTATCGCAGAAAGTCATATCGCGATAATGATAAAAATACGATATATCATACAACTCTAGCTACAGCTTTAGTACTGTTGTGGTTGTTCTAGTCCATTCAGATATTTAGTGATGGTTTTGTTGTGTCTGATTCTTGAAAGTGCTACAGCTGTATTTTTACGCTAAGTTACGCTATGTGTTCATACGTATTGAAGGTCAGTGTGCTAAGACTGGATTTAGCAGGCTGGCAATAGATGAGTCAAAACAGGCAACGCTTTGGAAATAAAATATTAGAAAATAAATCCCTCATGATTAGGAGTGAGTACAAATGTAGAGAGGGTTTAGAGCTGTGTTGGGCATGTGAGTGAGTGAGTGAGAGAGAGAGAGAGACTCTTGCAGTCAGGACATCACTCTAATCTCCTCAGCAATCAGATTTGCTGCTGAACGAAAAACAGTATTAGAGCAAGAGAAAAAGAGTTGCCTATGCAGTCAGTAGACCAGATTACAGAATTTTGGCAGACTATTTAATAAAGATTCACAATAGTTTTTGTCATTTTCTTTCATAGTAGTAAGATTTTTGTGTTGGTTATTGGAAGTTTAAAAAGTAAACACAGGCAATGTTTTATGTAAAATACATGTTTAGTACACTATTTGTGTAAAGATGTTTGCTTTAACTTTTAAAATAAAATCCTAATTTTAATTTAAGTGAGTGAGGGGATGCTGTCTTTGTAGTTGTATGTGCCGTATGGCCGAAAGTGTATGGATACCCCTTCCAATTATTGGGGCTGGCTATTTCTATCACACCCATTGCTATTAGTTGCATAAATTACGCATGCAGCCATGCATCTTCAGACAAAGACTGACAGTAGAGCGGCTCATACTCAAAAGCTCAGTGTCAGCGCTGTCATAGGATGGCAGCTTTTTCAACAGTTAGTTTCCTCTCTGCTAGAGCTGCCCTCATCAACTGTAAGTGCTGTTATTGTGAAGTGAAAACACCTTGGAGCAAAAACAGCTCAGTCATAAAATGGTAGGCCATACAAGCTCACAGAATGGGACAACTGACTACTGAAGTGTGTTAAAAATTGTTTGGAGCAGTGGAAACACATTTTGTGGGGTGATGTATTACGCCTCATCATCCAGCAGTCTGACAGACACGTTTGGTTTGGTGGGTGCTAGTAGAATGCTGCCTGCCTACATTTATAGTGCCAAATGTAAAGTTTGGTGGAGGAGTAATGGTCTGTTTTTCATGATTTGGGCTGATTCATGACTTGGGCTCTTCTTCTTTGTCCCAGTGAAAGAAAATCTTAATACGTAATGCTAGGACAGTTTGGGGAAAGCTCTTTACTGTTTCAGCATGACAGTGCCCCTGTGCACAAGTGAGGTCCAGTATGACATGGTTTGTTGTGGAAGACCCAAAGCAGTCTTCCACAAGAGGCTGCTGGGAATTAGAGTCCAGTTACTGAGCAAAGAGTATTTGAGTATTCCAGAGTACCATTCTGACATCACATGCGGTTTTCCCCCAGAGCACCCCTGAATACTCCCCATTCACGCCCCCGCTTTCCTGTTTCAGCATGACTGTGCCCTCATACACAAGTGAGGTCCATACAGAAATCCTGTGTGGCCTGCAGTCCTGACCTCAACCCTAACAGACACCTTTGGTATGAGTTGGAATGCCGGTTGTGAGCCAGGCTTTATTGCCCAACATCAGTACCTGACTGATACCCTTGTGGCTAAGTGGATGCCAGTTTCTGCAGCCATGTCTCAAAATCTAGTAGAAAGCCTTCCCAGCCTAGTATTATAGCCGTAAAAGGGGAAGTGACTTTGTATTAACGCCCATGGTTTTAAACTCAGATGTTTACATATGGGTGTGATGTTCAGTCTAATCACTAATATGAAAAGGTTATGTAGAAACCAGAGAAAAGTGAAAAATGTTGTCATGAGTGAAAAATGCAGCCATGCAAGATATGCTATTAACATGTTTAACTAAATGCTTTTTAAGCAAAGTGTTTGTGTTTTGCACAAAAGCAAAGTGGCAGGAACCTTCAGCTTAGGTCAAACTCATGACCTCCTGAGTCACTTCCAAGTTACTTCCCTTTCCAGCGTTATTTAGACTAACATGTTCCACAGTCCTCTGCTGTAGGATGGTTAATGGGTGCTAACAGGTTCCACATTCTTCTGCTGTAGGACAGCTAGCAGATGCTAACAAGTTCTGTACACCTCTTCTGTGGGTAGCTAACAAGTGCTAAATGGTCTGGGCTTTTCTGCTGTAGGACAGCAAACAGATGGTAATAGGTTCCTCACTTTCCTGCTGTAGGAGAGCTAACAGAAGTTAATGCTGCTCCTGCTGCACCTGACCTGGGTGCACTCTAGCGTCAGCGGCCCAAATTAAGCTCTCCTCCCCTGGACACCTGGGTGAGGAGGTAGGGGTGGATTACTGTGTGCGTGGGTGGGTGTATGTGCATGCTGTCATGAATGTGTTGTTAGTCGCTGTGTGCAGCTCTCATTGGATTTTCCTTGTGTGGGTGGGTGTGTGGCTGGATTAGAGGCTTTATTCCCTGTGTGGCTTGAGCTCAGTGCGCTGGGCTCAGAACAGATAGCCGAGAGAAAGCGAAAGAAGGACACGGGTAGAGGGACAGCAGGAATATGAGAAAATACAGCAATGAAGGATGGATCCAAACTGGTTTGCTCGCAGTGATCTGTAGGCTGGACGTTGTGTGGTTGTGCATGTGCATGCTTGTCTGATCTTGTAAGAATCAGATTACATGTTTGATTGTTGTCTATTGCAGGCCATGTTTGAGCTATGCTACACAGTTAGAGCTAAACGACCAAGTTTGTGATGATTTAAGTGATTTGTTGAGGTTGTGTGTGGTCATGCGGGACCCGTGCCGTGTGTGTGGCGTATGTGTGCCAGGCGGGCAGTGCCGCTGGTTGTTTAGTACGTGTGGGCGCCTACGGCTAGCTGTGGTTCTGTCCCATGTGCTGGGGAGCGATCTCCATCGCGATGGCCGAGGTGAGTTCCTGTGCGGAAAGTGTGTGTTTTTGCTGGAGCGTGTGGTGCAATGTGATGTTGCCATCGGCAACCTGCAGGACGCCTATGCTGCGCAACTACAGAAGCTGCACAGTGAGAGGGATGGACTGAGGGGGCTCATAGCACACAAATACCAGCAGAACAACCCACAGGAGCCCACCTGCTCTGGACAGAAGAACCAGAACCAGCATGAACACAGTCAGTTTAAAAAAGATGAGACCAGACCAGGCCAGGAATATGACAACCAACCCGCACAACTTGGGTCACACCAGCATTGTGTTCAAGCACCACAGCAGCAAAGGCATCAGCAAAACCAGCTTAAACGACAGCGAAACAAGACCAGACTTATCGTGGAGCTGCCACAAAAGGAACAGCCAAAGCAGCAGCAGAGGCTGCAGGGCCGGAGGCGAAGTTCTGGAGTCCATAATGCCACTAGCAGAGGAAGTCCAGAAACTGGTCAGTTGAGGCGCTGTGTCAGTCTTGAGCCACTGAGTGGAGTCACAGCGGAACGCTCCTCCTCCTCCTGTTTTGGGTCAAGTCTAGCACCCAGAAAAGGCCGGGAGGCCGGGTTAAAAGCAGGACCAAGGCTGGGAACTGGAGTCCAGTTACGAAGTCGAGAGTATTCGGATCTTATTCACAAAAGGGCCACTTTGACATCTCGCTCGGTTTCCCTCCAGTCGCTCACACAAGAGCGCCCAGACTACGCCCCACTCACGCCCAGACAGACACGCCCACGCCGAGGTTCCTCCTCTGCTGCCTTGGAAACAACATCGCTGCTGTCTGATTTTCTGCAGCTGTTGCGGAGCGCTAGGGCTCGGCCCCTCCCACTAACTGTCGGCAGCAGGATTCCTGTCCTATCACAACCAAGTTGTGTGTTTGGACTTGCCCAGATGGGCATGGCTAGAAGGCTAAAGGCCGAGAGAGCTCTGAGAGAGCTGGAGGAGGAGTTTAATGATGAATACTTACCTCTCAAACAAGAGGTACATTCTTAGAAAACCTACTGTATGTGTAATAAAAGTGTTTGGGTTTACATCTGTTTCACTTTTGTATTCATGTTGTTTTGTTTTTTCCAGGTGTGTGTAGCGAAGGAGGGTGAGGTGAACAGGCTGCAGCAGATGACCAGGCAGCTGACTGAAGAGCTTAACTCCACCAAGACCAGCAGCCAGACGCTTAAACAGAGACTGGAAGAGATGGACAGAGAAATCAAGGTACGCATGCATGCTTTTGGACCTCACAAGTGTGGCAGTAGAATTACCCCACCAACCACTATTCCCAACACACACTATCATATTCGTATATCACAGTTCTCTCATTTCTATTTTGTCCCTGTTCCCTCAGACTCTTTCAGCACAGCTGGAGGAGCGAGACAGTGAGCTGGCTGCAGAGAAGAGAAACTCTCTGAAAAGAGACAAAACCATCCAGGGCCTCAGCCTCCTGCTCAAAGAAAAAGAGAAAGAGGTGTGGGGTGTTACTCTGTCCCGTCAATCCTCTGTCTGCTCTCCTTTGCTAAATAAATTATGAAAAGCAATTATTTGCTGTTTAGTGAACTATAAATTGATTAAATCATGATATACTTCTCCTCATTCTCTTTCTCTCTCTCTTTCTTTAAGGTGGAGGAGTTGTATGGGAATTTGGAGGAGAAGGATCAGGCTTTAGCTAAGGCGAGAGAAGCTTTTCATAAAGCTCAACTACAGAAGTACCAGGCAAGTAGAACAAGTTTGTTTGTGTATTTGCATGCAAGCATTTGTCATGTTTTAAAACGTCTTATTTTGCTGCATTTGCATTTTTCATTAACATTCTTTTGTACATGCGTGTGCCGTAGGGAGCTGAGGAGCAGCAGGCCCTGTTGTTGTCCCAGCAGGCAGAGTTGTCACGGCTCCAAGCAGAGGCCCACTCTTCTCTGCTGGAGGCCCAGAGACTGCAGCGTTTGCTGAGCAGCAGAGATGCTGAGCTGGCCCTCCTCCAGCAGGACAAACTGCAACTGGAGCAGGAGCTTGAACTGCTTCAGCAACAGAAGAGGAAAGCAGACAAGACCATCAATGTTAGTAATACTCACAAGAACAATTGTAGATTTGATTAATTCCCTAAGCTGTGTCCTGAATTAAGCTATGTATGAATGTATTTGTTTTAATTGAGCGGTGTCTTTGGTGTGCTTGTATGGCAGGACCTGCAGAATCAGCTGAAGAAGCTCAGTGGAGAGCTGGCAGACCGGGAGAACAGTCTAGAACATCAGCAGCTAGAACAACAAGAGCGTGCTCATGCAACAGAAAACAAGCTGCAGACAACTATACAACATCTGACCACCAGTCTCACACACAAAGACCAGCAACTGCAGGTTTGTACACACACACAACTGTTAAGCACTATAAAAACTAGACACTGAGACTGAGCAGCTACACCTCACTGTGACTATGCAGTACAGTGCCTTACTTCCAATCTCAGGTGCCTTTATAGACACCCTGATCTGCCTGTCTTCCAGGACTACATGAACATGGTGCGGGATTTGGAGCAGGACCGAGCTCCAGGAGGAAGTGATGCCATGCTGGTCAAGCTGAGGGAGAGGCTGAGAGAGAAGGAGAAGGCTCTGGAGGTTTAATCATTTTCTTTGTCCCTGTATTATTATGCAGCCTTTATCCCATGTGCAACTTGCTAAAGGGAGTCTACTATGCTGTGATTAGTTTTTCGGTCAGGATTGCAAAACATGATTTCCCACTATCAAATTGCATTGGTGCTCTGTTTTTTATGTCCAGATGTTCTTGCTGTTGATAATACAACAACTAAGTTTACAACTAAGTGTGATTAATGTCCTACATGTGGTGGTCATTGACATTGTGTGTTGTGATGTGTACAGAAAGCACTAGATGAAAAGTTTGCAGCTGTGGAGGAGAAGGAAAATGAGATTCATCTGCTGCAGTTGAATGTGAGAGAGAAGGAGAGAGACTTGGAGCGCCTCAACAACTTGCTCACACACAATGAAGAAACCATCAATGTAAGTATTTTGTGTTTTTATACAGCTGATGCAACTTTATAGCTTTTCACCGAACTGAAACAGTGAAACGCTAACTGGTCCTTTAGAGCTAGAGATGAGTAGCACTGGCACTGTCACTCTTCAATGTTAAATCTTAAATCTCTCAATTAACACTTCTCTGTCTTTCTTTGTGTATGTGTCTGTGTGCACATTCAGAGCTTTGATGCTTTACTGAAGGAGAAAGACGTTGAGTTGCAGCAGCTGCTGAACTCTCTGAAGAATGTGCAGCGCTCCAAACAGGAGAGTGAGGACAACCTGCAGAGAGCTCTCAGAGAGAAAGACTCCATCATCCAGCACCTACAGCACGCTCTGGAGCTCAAGACTAAAGACATGGAGGTAACACACATGCACACACGTACAGCACTCATTCTCTCATAAACAGTTGTAGCGTTAATTTCGAATTTCAATCTGTATTACATGGACATATGAAAGCAGTACAGTGGAAGCACATTTCCCTTAGCCAAATCTTAAATTAAGGAACAGAATTTACTGCCTGCTTTATTTGTTTGCACATCTGTATCAAGCACAGATTTGTTCTTTTTCTCTTCAACTCTCTGGTCCACAGGAGATGGCCAACACAGTTCTTAGTCAGTCAGAGTCTCAGGGGCGTGACCTGGTGGAGCAGATGAATCAAAGGATAAAGGTGACGGAGGTGATGTTAACGGAGGCAATGAAGGACAGAGAGAGGCTGGTGTGTGATAACCAGACTGCTGTAGAGAAACTGCTTGCCACCATTAACAGCAAAGACCAGCTGCTGAAGGTACTGAAGCACACTTACACACAGACACTTACACTCTTGCTACATTCTACAAAGGGTGACATGGCCAAAGTACAGTGTCCTCTGTACGTTAGTTTACTGCACAAAAGAACACAATCTGTGCACAAACAAGTAAAGTGCATTTGTGTTTGTGAAGTCTGCTGTTTATGTATGTTTAATATGTTTGTGCATATGCGTGCCTAGGAGTGTGCAGAGCGTCATGCGCAGGCTCTGTCCGAAGGGGCTGCAGAACTGCAGAATCTGCGCAGTCAGCTCACAGACGCCCAGCTGCAGCTCAGCAGCACCCAGAAACTCAGCAGCATGGCAACACAGGACGCCTCCTTAGAGACGGCTCAACTCCGTGCTGCACTGGCAGAGAAGGACGCAGTCATCAGTGTGAGACCTTTGATCTATCACATCTGACCACTGTGTAGTTTTTTTGATCATTTGACTTACATGCTCAAAGCTCACTTATGGAAAGGATCCCCATTACTCAGTGAAACATTTTTGTTTTTGGTTCATGAAGGGCTTGATAAGAGGTGCAGTCTTCAGTTAAATGTAGTAGACAGAGTACATTTAAAAAAGGAGTTACTGTGCTGTGGCGTATAACCCCAATAAATAATTATTGTGCATATGTGTCTGTGTACAGAAGCTGTTGGAGCGTGGCCAGGAAAGAGATCGTTACATGGCTGAGGTAAAGGTGGGTGAGACTCCACCCCCTCAGGTGTTAGAGCTCAGACAGACCATCCAGGTTCTGCAGGAGAGACTGGAGGAGAAGGAGGGTAAGAGTGTGTGTTCTTGGATACAGTGGCACCAAGAAGTATATGGACACTTGAAACATTGAACCAATTAACAACTGGTAAACTTCAAAGTTCTGAAAGTTAAAATTCTTTAGGTTTTTCTTGCAGTCATGTCAGTAAGCTTGTGTTCATGAAAGGCATTTTAAAAGCAATTTTGCAGAAATATGCAAATAAAGTGCTGAAGCAATATCAATCTAAAATACACCGGCATCCTTTTGAAAGAATACTTACTGTACTGGAATGGTCTGTTCAGAAAGCCACTTTGTTTTGACATTTTGTTTTGTAATGCAGTGATGTGATGGCAAGTATAGTACAAATGTCCAAATACTTTTTGGGGCCACTGTGTATTTGTGTGTGGAAAAATAACAGCAGATGTTATTATTTTTTAAAATTATGTCCTTGTGTCAAAAAACATTTGCCTGCGTTAAGAATTCTGAACAATTTAATCACAGTCTAATCACAGTCATTGTAATCATTTTGCTCTACGTGTAGCCGAGCTGTCACGGCGGAACAGTGAGGAGAACCTGGAGAAATCTCTCCCTGCCAGTAAGAAATCTGCTGTAATACTGAAGAAGGAGCTTGCCCAGAAAACAGATGCTCTCAACAGCGCTCTGAAGAGAGAGAACCAGCTCAAGGTGTGTGCGTGTGCGTGTGCGTGTGCGTGTGCGCGCACCTGTGTGTCTTTGTATACATGTGAGTGTTTCTGTGGGCTTGTAGAACATAGAAGATTAATTGTTCTGTTTTTTTTGTTTTGTTTTTTTTGTTGTAGATGTATTTCTACATGGGGGGAGCAGGGGTAAACATATCAAGACAGAGCTTGTGAACTGCCTGTACATGAGTTAGACCAGTCAAAAGCAACCAAGAAACGCATGTGCTGTGTAGATAACACATTCAGAACTACCTGGCAGTGTGGCATACTATGTTCAGCATTCAAGTCAGGCCAGAAAAAGAGGTTATTCTGGTCTTCTTGGCCGAATAAATAGGTCCTCAGTCCTAATTTATAGAACGTATTCACAATTTAAATTGCCGTCCAAGATAGTGGTCAGAAAAATCAGATACATTCTCCGAATCTTTTAGCCCCACCTGTGTTTACAGTTTACCTTTTATAATATTGTATTTATGTGTGTTCCAGATGTCTCTAGCTGAGCTGCAGTCTATGGTCTCTGAGCTTGAGGGCCAGCTGGAGGGTCAGAAAGCCAACATTGAGTCTCTCACATCCACACTCAATACTAAAGAGGAAATTATTGCTGTAAGTGTACATGCGCACACACACACAGAGGGAGGCAGATTGTTCTGTTCCCCTTAAAGACCTAATTGGAATGGCAGGATGCTTCAATATCAGTCTTGCTTTGTGTGTAGGAGCTACAGCAGCGTTTGGTCCAGAGAGGGGAGAACCGGCTGGCTGCAGCTAGGGACCACCTCTTACAGCCTGGAGAGGAACACAGCTTCCCCTCCCTTCCCCAGAGAGAGAGAACCCTCATTGGGGGAGACAGCCAGCAGGAGGTACACTAACACACATGCATACCAAAAAATTAGAAAGACGTCACTCACCCTATACAGTCATAGCTTAGGCACCCTGCTGATTTTTTAAATAAAAATAAGTTAACACCTCCTCTACAGAGAACACACCCCTGCACATTTTAAGGCACATGTACTGTTCATTTACTGAATTTAACATACTAGAAAAAATAAAACAAAATATGACTTGAACAATATTTGGCACATTTTACATTTAATGTTTTGTTTTTTCCAATATGTTAAACCTAAGATATGGCATAAAAAAAAATGCCATATTTGGGCTTGATGTAGAAAATGTGCTAAATTATTTTGACCTAGAAAATCAACAAAGCATAAATTGAACTTTTTTATGACTGTACATACAGCTTTATTCTCATAAATTCTCAACATATTTTCTTCCCACAATTGGATTTGGAACATGTAATGTTTTTTTCTGCAGCTAAAAAGTAAGTGCTGGCTTCTAAGTGCTGTCCTTTGACCCCTACAGGCGATACCATCTGTGGTCGATCTGCGTTTGGAGCAGGCAGAGCTAAACCGCATCCTGAGGGCAGAGCAGCAGCTCTATTCCAATCTGGTCAGAGCGGTTAAAGAGCAGGACAGGTTAGTGCAGTTCCAACCAAAGATCTCATACTTTCCTGGCACGAGATCGAAAAGTACTTCGCATACTTTGCAAGAGATGCTTTGTAGTTTTGCTACGTGAAGAACCATTGGCTTTGTTCTTTTTGTTTTAAGCCATGGTAATCTGTTGCAATATCACTACCCAGATTTGCATCAGTGAAATCTTTTTTCTTTTTGAATAGATACTGTTTTTTAGAATGCACTGGAGTACCTCAAGTTACTTTGTGTGTACCTGACACCGTGCATATATGTGTGATTGCAGTGCCCAGCGGTTACAGGCTTTGCAACTGGAGTTGGCGGCGCTGACTCTCCTCAGACAGCAGCTGGAGGACGGGATCCGCTGCAATGAGGAGCTCAGAGAGCAGCTGCACAGAGAGATCCAAAGAGCCAATCAGAGAGAAGGTGCGGTACCGAAAGGTCAAGGGCAGCCAGTCACAGAGTGCATACTGACAATAGATTCCTCCGAGGGCCAATCGGAGTGTTAGAACATAAAGTGTATGTCTGAGTAACATAGACCTCTTTGTAGATCCTGCGTAGTAGACATGATACATAGTGAATGTTTCTGGGAATAAACTTATGTAGAGGGGAGTTTCTACATAAACGTCATTTTGCCCAGAGAAAATGCGCAGAGAAAGAATTGTGTTTATTTATGTGCTCATTCATTCATTCATTTGCACATTCTGCACTTATGCTTCTTCTCATACACAAGCTCTAGTCTGAAATACATAAACGCTGCTCTCAGATAAATTCTTTTCTTTCTTCTTTTATGCCATTCAATACATTTCACTTTACTGTCTGTTCCCCCAACCCCCCCCCCTTGCTGATTGTGTCTGTGGTTGATTATAATGACGATTTTTACGTGGTCCTGTTCTGTTTTGTTTGGATGCTTCATTGTTTAAGTGGTGTTGATTTTCTGTATTAATCTTTTTTTCTTTCATTGTGTTATTTTTTTTTTTTCTGCATGCTAACTCTCTTCCTTCGTATACTCTCTGTCTCTACTTGCTTCTTTCTGTGGTCCGCTTCCTTTATGCCTGTCTCTCTTCATCTGTCTGACCCAGCTTTCTGCTTCACTCATCTGCGAAATCATTTCATCCCTGAAGATAAAGCAGCCATCAAATAAAACATGCTTTCTGTGTCTTTCTGTTTCTCCCTTGCTACTATTCCTGAATTATGCACGCATACACTGCTATTTACACCTGGCTCAGCAAGAACACTAATGAACCTACTGTTTTCTCACTACACATACGTACACTCTGACTTCACGTTCCCATGAAATGTCTCCACGTTTCCCATAAATGTGCTCAGATGGGTTTGTTTGTGTATAGGTGAAAATATCTGCCCTGTCATCAGTAACCAATGAAACACACACACAGCTAGAGGCTAATCCCTGTGAGATTTCCTGTGTATAAAAATAGCTGTACATCTCTGACAGCAGTCTGTCCACTACATTTAGATTATCTTATCGTATTGCTGTGAAGGACCCCAAAGGTTTTTAAATGCAAACACATTCCCATATAAAACATGTAAGAGAAGGCCAGAGAGAGAGGGTAAAAGAGAAAGTGTGCCGTCTTTGACGTGATTAATCCTCTTGGGTCCATCTGGTTCATGTGGTTGTTGCTGCGGCAATGCCCTCTAACCCTGTATCGAGAGGCCTGTACAAATAATCTTGCTGCACGCATGACCTAATTTAGACCTGTGTGTATTAAGACAGGGAAAGGCATGGGGAGCGAGAGTGTCCTGGGGGGGGGCGTTGGGGCAAGGTACAGGAGGTGGTTGGTGGGGGGATAAGCAGGGGGACTCTGAGAGAGATAAAGAGAATAAAGAGAATAAACAAGGGGAGCAAGACTGAAGAAAAAGATGAAAAAAAGAATGTTTCGATGATTGATTCTGATTCATTTATATGTATTCTGTTCCTTTAGACCTCAGTATTATCGTTGTGATTCAGGTCGTTTTAGTATGAGACATGCATATGCCTCCTGTGGTGCCACAAATGTGTCCGCTCTTGATGTTAAATAGACTTCAAAATCAAGACCCAGTTTCCCCAAAAGCGTCTCAGTGTTCAGATCATCTTAACTGGTAGAGAGAGTATTCAGTGTGGTGATTTTAGATTTAAGAACCATCTTTGTGCTAAGATGCTTTTGGGAAACCCAGCCCTGAATGTTTCACGCCAACAGTTTAAAGCATGAAATGTTTGAGTTTGCTAACACACTCTACTCCTTAACCAAGAATCCCACAATATGCGTGTGCAGCAAACCATACTGTTCTTCTGCTCTAGTTGATTCAGCTCGTGAAGGGCTTTAGTACCAGCTAGTGTTGCGCTAGATTAGGGAAATCAATAATACAGTGCAGAACTGGAAGTGGAAAACAATGAGCTGGTCATCAGTAGATTTGTGTAAATGGTGGTCACCATGGTGTCCTGTTGTTGCTTACACAGGACAGATATGTCTGTATTTATGGCACGTGCCCATTCACTTAGGTATTCTCATAATACTGAATACGTAGCCACAGATTCTTACAAGTCTGAGTGCTGCTGTATCAGTGTGCCTGTAAATTTGCATGTGTGGAGGTAAGTACAGAGTTACAGTGTATAGGAACGTTTATATTAATTTGTGTACATGCGTGTTTAGGTGCTGATCCTGCAGAGCTGGAAAGTATGCGTGATGCTCTGGAAGAAGCTCAGCGCTGGAATGCATCCCTACAGGCCAGACTGGGTCAGATCCAGAGCAGAGGCGGGGGAGTGGGACAGGCCAATGACTCAGGTACATACATCGTTTATGATGATTCAGGAAAGCTGTAGAAAATTGTCTAAATCTAAATATCTGTAAACTGATATAAACAGTATTTGTATGGTAATTTCAGTAGACACGCTGAGTCTGATTGGTGAGCAGACCTCCTATATGAGTATATGTGTAGGAGAGGGACTGGAGGAGGAGCTGTCTGTGGAACAACTCAGACTGAAGGTGAGTTTTACTTAAAACATCTCAACCAGGCTCCCGAGTGGCGCAACCGTCTAAGCGTTGGCCCTATCATCAGGAGATCGCGAGTTCGATCCCTGGTGATGCTACAGCCATCCGTAGCCGGGAGTTCGAGAGAGCACAATTGCCCTCGCTCTCTCTGGGTGGGTAGGATGGCCCCTCCTTCTCCCCCCATCACTCAGCGCAATGCTAGTCAGCGCAGGCGTCTGTTAGCGGACATAATAGATCTGGCGGTTGGCGCTTTCCTCCGAGCGCGTTCGGCTGTCCAATGACGTTGCGTGAGCGGCAGTTCGAAAAGAAGTGGTGGTTGGCTTCACAGGTCTCGGAGGAAGCCTGTGTTAGCCTTCACCCTCCTAGCGTTGATAGCATTGTGTGATTGGGGGAGTCCTAACTAGCGGGTGGAATTGGAGACGCCTAAATTGGGGAGAAAATCGGGTAAAAAAAAAAACCCCAAAAAAAACACATCTCAACCATGAGAGAACCTATAGCACCATCTTAAAAGTAGGGCTGTCATAGATTCAGATGTGTTTATATATATATATATATATATATATATATATATGTATATATATGTGTGTGTATATATATATATATATGGATATATGGATATACACGGGCATGTATGTATGTATGTATGTATATATATATATATATATATATATATATATATATATATATATATATATTATGTATGTATGTATAATATACACATGTATATGTATGAATCATTTTATTTCCCAATTTGTCTACTTCTCTCTCTCACTCTCTCCTCTCTCTTAGGTCTCAGAGCTGCAGGCTTTGAATGTAGAGCTCCAGAGGAAATTGGCAATGACAGAAAGGGGTGTTGTGGGTAATGTTGAGGGAGCATCTGACCTTGTTGACCTTTCATCTCCCAGCAAGGTAATGCACAATGATCTTCAGGCAGTGTCCTGAAGTTCTGATGATATAAAAAAAAAAATTATGATACTTTTGCTGTAATGTCACATCTCAGGAGAGAATTATTTACCTTTGGTAATAATACAGGTTTCTTATTTTCTGTGTTTGTATTTACACTCTTTTTTTTTGAGACGGCAGCAATAGAGCTTCTTACCTCTTACCCACCTTTTCTCCTGCAACCTTTAACCTCTGACTTTTGTAGGTCATGTTTTCTTGATGTTAGTTTCCGGAGTAGAAGCCCTGTCTCTTCTGACTAACACATCATGCTAGTGGTAGTTTATATTTGTGTGTCTGTGTATGCAGATGATAGTGTGGGTGGGTGTGTTTCTGCATGTATGTATGTAGTAGTCTCTCTCTCTCTCTCACTCACATTCTCCGTCCCTCCTAACCCGTATTCTCCTCTCTCTGTCTCTCTGGCCTGTTTTTCTTACCCATAACCACCTGCAGTCGCTCCATCCTGCCGTTACTGTGTACTTTCTTTATATTTTTCTTCATGCCGTTTTCTGTTCTCAAGTCATGTGTCACCACCCATTCCATTACTATAGCAACCACAGGGACTGGGCAGACCTCTAGCCACTAATGCTGACGAGAAGCCAACTGGCCCTGATGTAAAGGTAAGAGTAAGCTGTCTGTCTCAGTATTTCTCTCTCAGTATTTCTCCCCTCTACTTTCATTGCCCTAAACTTTTTTAATGAGACATACTGGAGTCACCCATGTGTAAGTTTAGCACAAGGCTCACGTTCATGAGAAATTCAATGAGTGGCAAATAAAACAGTGCATTATGGAAAGTTTATTCCTACTCAAAATGTTTGGTATGTTGTTCAGAAGCATAATTTAACCAGCGCTATCCTGTCAGGTTGTATTAGGCATTTGGGTGATAATTAGCTTGTTCAGGTTAGCTTTGGACAAGCTAGGGTTCAGTTCAGATGCAAAATGGATCAGGTCAGATCTAATTCAGATAACATTTTGTCAGGCTTCAGCTTTGGGTTCGAACCAAAGTGTCGGGCCCAACTCAAGCCCTAGAGCTGAGGACTGACCAAAGTAATAAAAGAAACTGTCATGTAGGTTGACTAAATGTGGCCTCTGTTGTTTAATTTCCAGGAAAAGATTAATGAAAGGGACCAAAGTCCTGAAGATCAAAGCGAGATTGTGAGTTCTTTAGCTCAGCCTCTGACAGAAAGAGGAGACAGCCCACACGCTCCAGAACAACAAGGTGGTGATGACGAGCAGGCGGAACTCGCGTCCTTACTTATAGACTGTGGAGCAGGGTCTATTTCTCAGCTCAGGTAAGCAGAGCAGTCAGCTGGCCAGGCTACAGTCTGGACTATAGACTCTAAATCATGCTGCAGATTCCTCATTGAAATATTTTTATCCAGGGAGCAGGTAGCTAAACTGCGTTTGGAGGCTTCTGAGCTCCGTGGGCTTCTGAAAGAAGAAAACTCTGCCGAGTCCAAAGAGAGTGCAGAAAGCTCTGGAGAGAGCGACAGTCATACTGACCTTCACCAAACTGTGCGGACACTCCGATCTGAAGCCCGGAGTCACCGGAAGGTCATTCGGCTGCTGAAGGAACAAGTGCAGAGGAACACGGCAGCAGCAGCGGGTGGTGGGACAGGGTTTGACCCAGAACTGATTGTCAGCATGGCTCGTGAGATGGAGCGTCTTAGAGCAGAGAACGAAGCCTCGCGGAAACATGCCCTCAGCCTGGAGGACAGGCTAAAGGAGAAAGACAGAGAGAGGAACGAGGGCAGAGAACAGGAGGAAGAAAAAGAAAGAAAAGAGAAAGGGAGACAAGGCCAAAGCGTCAAGCTGACCAAAGGCCAGAAGCATCAAATGGCGAGACATGCAGTAAGTCTTAAATACATAACACAAGAACTTAAGATTCTTTGACCATTAAGTCCATTAAGTCATTCTATACCTTGTATTATTGCTGGGAATGTTTTCTGTTGTCTCCATGTTCATACTAGTTCAAGTGGCTTTGCAGTTCTTTGTCTTGAACATTTTAAAACCTTTACGCACAGAGCGCTGTTGATGTTTACGACTTTTTCACATATGAATAAATTAATTGAAGCATATGTATTACTGATCATATCTTGCACACCAAACGTGATTTTTCTGATATGTTATTCGCATTCTGTTTGATTTTTGGGAACTTTCCAGGATCTCTCTGTCTAATCACAGTTGTCTCTGCTGTTAGCATGGCAACAACCAAGCTGACGGATCAGTTGTAACCCAGCAACGACAAGTATTTTTAATGAAGTAGCTGAAAGGATACTGTTTTTTCACTGAAGGTGTTGGCATGTCCAAAATCAGCTCAGTGTGGACATCCAAGTGTATGGAGGTTTCAGCTCCTTAATGAAGTGATGAAGTTCTCATGCTACTTTCACTTTTCCAAAATGGAAAGTAGCCTGCCAGTGTCAGTTAGTCCATTTTCTAAGGAGCCAAGGATACGTTTTTTGCCTTTGGAGACAGGCTGCTCGTTTTTTTCCCCATGATGCAAATAACACAGCCGTATTCTAGAACAATTGCTTTGCATCTCTGTGAATGGTTTTGATGCAAAAATATTGTATGCGGGGGGCTCCCAAGTGGCGCAACCATCTAAGCATTGACCTTATCATCAGGAGATCGCGAGCTCGATCCCTGGTGATGCTACAGCCATCCGTAGCCGGGAGTCTGAGAGAGCACAATTGGCCTCGCTCTCTCTGGGTGGGTGGGATGGTTGCCCTTCTCCCCCCATCACTCACTCAGCCCAGGCGTCTGTTAGCTGACGTAACAGATCTGGCGGTTGGCGCTTTCCTCCGAGCCCGTTCAGCTGTCCAGTGACGTTGCGTGAGTGGCAGCTCGAAAAGATGCGGTGGCTGGTTTCGCAGGTCTCGGAGGAAGCCTGTGTTAGCCTTCACCCTCCTAGCGTTGATAGCTTCGTGTGTGACTGGGGGAGTCCTAACTAGCGGGTGGAATTGGAGACGACTAAATTGGGGAGAAAATCGGGTAAAAAAAAAATATATATATATATATATATATATATATATATATATATATATATATATTGTATGTGAATATTTTGCGTTCTCATGTTGAAGATTAGCTTTAGCGTTGTATTCAGTGTATAATGGCCTTGAGACTAACTGGTGTCTTTATATTTGTTGGGACAGTATTATCAGCAATTTGAATAATTATTATGTTTTATATCTGATAAGCTGTTCAGAAGGAGTTTTATTTTTACAATAAACATTTCTTTTAATATGTCCTGCTGCAGGCATACGTGAGGTCCCGGCTGCCAGTCCCAGTGAGGCCTACAAAGCAGACAGACAGACGAGAGTTGACTGATCATGATGCAGAGGAAAGTACTGAGTACCAGAGTGGGACAGACTCTGACCAGCCAAATCTCAGCAGCAGACGCCTCAAAGGGGCAGAAGTTCAGAGTTCTCCGTGCAGCAGCTCAGAGGCCCTATGGAGCTCAGAGAGCAAACAAAACATGTACCCAGAGGCAGCTCAGAACCCTTTTGCCAAACCGAATGCGGATAAGGTGCCTGAGGTTCAGGAATCAGAACTCCTGACCCAGCTTGAGCTACTGAACCAGGAGTGCCAGGAGAAGGAGGAGCTCATCTCCCGACTTCAACTCCAGATGAAGGATTGGGAGAGGCTAGAAGCAGAGCTTCAGAAGAGGGACACGCTGAACAGCCAATACCGGGAAGCCCTAGAGGCTGCAGAGTCCACTATTGCATACCTTACAGCCTGTAGTTTAGACACTGAAAGTGGACTGGGCCAGTCTGGATCAGGTTCAGATTCGTCACTGCAGCGGCAGTGTGAGGCGCTTCAGAGAGCTGTGCAGGAGAAAGACCAGCTTAACGCTCAGCTACTAGAGTGCTTAAACACAGCCGAGTCTGCCATCGCTTCATTGACCACATCTGATCGACCTGAAAGCCCATCTCGTCTTTCCTCCGGTCAGGGTGACCCACAAGAGTTATGTGACAGGCTTGAGGGTCTGCTCAATCAGATTAAGGCCTTGCAGGAGCATAAAGATGCCTCCACAGGAGCTGCAGAGAAATTGAGTTGCCCTGACGAAGGTTCTGCAGTGGAGTCAGACTTGCAACGCCAAGCAGAGTCCCTGCAAGAGTCACTGCTGCGGCAGTGCAGGTTGAATGCAGAGCTGCAAGAAAAGCTACGATCTGCAGAGGAAATTATCACCAAATTGAGTGCTAATGCCAACACTCCAAAGCAGAGTAGCATTGCTAAAGGCCTGGAAGAAGAGGAGGTACTTGAAAAGGGTCAGAGTCGGTTAATTGCTTGTCTGTCTGAATGTATTTTAGCAGCAGAACAAGCAGTGGAGTCTGTTGCTGATTTCTGCTCTAGATACAATCAGCCCTCACATGGTTCTGAGTTCTTGCCCAACAAAGAGCTCGAACAAAACTTGGACAGGCTTCGTCGGGCTTTCCTGGAAAGAGACAGATTTGGAGACCCTGGCACTGCTGACATAATCCAAAGCACTATTGGAGTTCCCCCCCAGAACAAATCAATACAGCACACTTTGCAGGTCTTAGATGCTGGGCAACAGAAGACCAGCACCCCGATTTCTCAAGGGCAGCAGAACCAGGACAGTTTAACATCACCGTGGAACCAGAACTTAACTGAAATGTGGTGTACTGGGCAGGCAGGAACTACAAACCTGAACCTTCATAATAACCTGCTGGTGCTCCTTCAACTCATCAAAGAGCATGCTCAAAAGATTCAGAAGCTGGAGAAACAATTAAAGGATGAGCAGAGGCATGCTCTCAGAGAACAGGGTGGGGTTAAGACTGAGGAAGCCCAGGAGAGCCTCCTGAAGATCTTGAAGGAGAAGCAAAAGGCGTGTCAGAACCTAGAGGACAAACTAAAGGAGAAACACGAGATCTGTCAGAATCTAGAGGAGAAACTAAAGGAGAAACACAAGGTGTGTCAGAGCTTGGAGGAAAAGCTGACTACTGCTCAGTCCATCATTGCACTGCAGAACTCGACTGAGAAAGACAAACACATGGGCCGTCGCAGAGGTGAGAGTGACAGATACACACAAACTAGCACACTCACACAGAATTAAAATAATAGTTTAACCAAAAATCCTAACATTCTCATTAGGGATGGATACTTTAACATCACCTAAACATTCTGCTGTTCATCAGTGCAGCAAGTTTTGGATTGGCCCAAACAACATTGTACAGGCTTTGACTACTCGTTGAAATTTCTTGATGAGCACTCAAATATTCTCAGAATTACCTTTAAACACAAAAGTTTTTGATAGGTAAGAATATATAGATAAGGTTCACTGTACTTACATAATTGACATGATTCGTCATTGTTTTTTCATAGTTTACCAACCTTATCAAAGGTTTTGCACTGAAGAGTTCTTATCCTGTGGTAATTTAAATTGCTCCCTCACATGTGAATTCTTGCTAAGGCATCTCTGCTCTTTTAACTTCAATGACCTTGAGGAAAGCAGTGTAGTTTGTTGTGCTCTGAGGTGACTCCTGGCATGAATTTATGTTGCATTCAGCAAAACCAACTATAATTGTTATATTTTTAAGGCATTTGCAGATGAAATACATTTTAGCGTGCAATGCTTGTGGTTTAAAAAAAGACAAAGCTTACAGATACTACATAGAGAACTAAAAATCAGTGTAACAAAGTTTTCAAATTATATGGGCCAGCCCGAAATAAATACATCATTAATATCAGTTAATCTAGTCATCTTTTCGATGCCAATCATTTTTCGTTTTAGCTAATGTCTTTCGATACAAATTCGGCTCGAGCATGCAGTTAATGATTTAAGTGTGTTGTTGGAGAATGGTCACAAGGGCTTTGAAAGCAAACTCTGAATGTCTAAGTAAAGATCACTCAAAGACAGTGTTGCTTTGACCTATGCCGTGCCCTCTAGCACCCCATGGGAAGCAGGATGATAAGGGGGTTCAGGTGGATGCGCAGGACCTTGGCTACGAGACAAGTGGAAGGAGTGAGACGGAGGTGGAGAGGGAAGAGGGCAGTAGCACAGGTAGACAAGAGTGGCCTGTTCAAACCACTCTGTGTGGGAATCTGCCAAAGCTCTGCATGACCTTTACAAAGACTTTCTGGCTGGCTTTTTTTTTTTCAGTAATCTTAGTCTTAAACTGTGTGTTTTCAAAATGTTTAACAGCCTTTAGTCAGGTTTCACTGTAACTAACAGGCAAGTTTAATTTAGTAATGCACCAGTATGAAAATCCTTGGTTGAAACTGAACCGAAATATAGGACGCACTTTACCAAAAACCAGAGAGGCCGGTACAAAATGAAAATAGTTTTCTTAAACATACTAAAGTATGTTACAGTATGTAGGTCACAGTATGTGCACAGTAGGTTGCAGAACCTATCTGCTTCTGTTGTGGGATTCTGCTTATTAAGCAGGGTGTCATGTTTTCAAGTGGTATCTTAACTGTAAAGAAGTGGTTCTTAGGTGTTGTACCCCCTCTTAGTACTTGACATTAACAGAAATAATAAATAACTAATCTAACTTGTCCCTTGTTGAAACCAAGAAATAGTTCCACATGGCCAGTGTTTTCATTCTGCTGCTGCTTAAAATGTTTAAATAGGTCTACAGTGACCGACATAGTAGAGTGAAAGGCACCACCAGAAATTTATTGCTGTTTCTTATTTTCATTGCTATTAAAATTATTTGTAAAGTCTTATTACAGTGTCTCTTAGGCCTTATTAATTACTTAATTAAGTTTTATTTTTCCATTCAGAATTTTCGGCCATATTTCTCTTTTGGCTGAAAGCTGAAAGTACTATTTTTGATACTTATGGTGGCTGAAATTTTTATTCATCTCTAGTTTGAGTACTACAGGGTTTTTAAATAACAGTCCACCTGTTGTTACATAATATACGCTGTTTTTGTACCGGGTTCTCTGGGTGGTTGTTCCTGATGAGGCCTGTAAACAGAGCAAGGACCTGACTTAAAGGATTATTGCAGCTATAACAAGTAACAATGAAAAGAAGCCAATGAGACATGAAAACCAGTAGTGTTTAGGTGATCAGTGCTAACTGCTGGTTTTTGTACCTATTCCCTGACCGTCATTGTTGGTCATGTTAACATCTTTGAACAGACTATTCCTGTAATCTTTCTGGGTAAAAGCAGCTGTCAGTATGTGCATATGCCTGACCAGGATTTCTGCATGTTCAAGAGGATCTAGTTTTGCATGCACCAGAATTTATGAGAGGAAGCCCAATACTAATCACCACTCTATCCTGCATGTTGAAACTGTGGCTATGGTAACGCTTAAGGTGGAGGCAAGGCATGGTGATGTTTTGAAGTAAATGTGCGTTGTGTGTGCCTGGGGTCAGTTTGGATGTGATTCCAGTTGTGATTCACCTACCCCTCTTTGCATGGCTGAAATGTTTTACTGGAGTGACCATTTCAGGCTGTTCAAACTGGCTTAACCTTCTTTCAACTTTCTCAAAAAATGATTTACCGTTCTTGTGTTTTTCCTGGTTCTTTGTCTTCTCTCTGACATTCTACATTCAGAATTTCAAACGTAATGTATTAATACGTATCGTCTGTCTGTGTTTGTCTGTGTGTTTCTGTCATTGGTTTTCCTGTATCTGTGTTCCTCTTAGATGTGGATGGTGTTGCACGTTCGGACCCTGCTCTCTCTCCTGTTCTGAAGCGAACCCTGGCCGGATTCTCCTCTGCCGAGAACCTTGACTCTGCAGCGTCCAGCCCGTCCTACCCCAGCTCACCTGACCTCAGCTCTCCACGACCCTGCGACTCCAGTGCTGACCCTGTTGATCCTAACTTGGACCCTGCCCTACTTCGCCAGCAGCTCCAGCAACTAAGGTCGCAGGTTGAAGGTCAGCACAAGGTCATCCAGCATCTCCAGCAACTGCTGAGGAAGAAGTCTTTGTCTGCAGAGACTTTGAGCATAACCTCGGACCCTTCAGGGAGACGAGAAGAGGAGGACAAGCAGGCGCTGAAGGCTCGTGTTGCTCAGCTCACTGTTGAGTTGGAGAGAGAGCGGACAATGAACAGAAGTAGCCAACCAGCTTCTCCGTCCAAGTAAGAGTGGAAGGAAAATCCTCTTCATTCTTTGCTGTATAGCAACTTTATAATACTTTACAGAGTAATTCCCACTGCAGTGTAGAAATGTTTCCATATTTTTTGCTAATTTATTGCATGTTTTGTTATTTAACATTGCTGATTTGACTAGCTATTGAAATCACTGTCTTTTTCTGTAGGATTGAGTCTCTGGTGCAGTCTCAAGCACGAGAACTGTGTGAATTACGCGAGCAGATCCGTGTCTCCCGTGGCCTGGGTGTAGCACAGCGCAGGCAGCTGCAGGAGCTCCGTGGGGCTTTGGAGGAACTGTTGCAGCCCAGTGATGGGCAGCCTGCTTTGGACACAACACTCAGACAACAGCTGGACCGGAGCCTCAGTCTGCTGGAGAAACTGGAGCAGGGTAAGTTTATCTACAGATTTTTATTACAGTCTACATGCACATTCATCAGACATATACATACATACATACATACATATGTGTGTGTATATATATATATATATATATATATATATATGTATGTATGTGTATGTGTGTGTGTGTGGAAGATATATATTTAGATAAGATTTGAGGACTGGTGTTGTGTTTGATTCCTTACTTCTTTTCGCTTCTCACTTCTGAGCTTCCTGTCTGTTTCCCAGGAGACACTTGTGCAGATAATGAAGAGGGAGCGGGGCTGGAGCTGGCTCAAAGGTGGGTGTATCATACACATCTTAGTCAATATTAGACAGATGCACATTCTTCCATTTGTCCAGAATACGAACAAACACATGCAGAAAAAAAAATACACTTCCCAAACACAGTTGCTTTATTGCATGTAGACATGAATAAAAACATACAGCTACATTACATTTACTGTGCTCTCTGATTTTGCACTCAGGGCTGATGCTAGGCGATTTTAGAAGTTCTCTTTGGGATTTTAATCACACTCGGCAAGTTTTCCAAAATTGAATCTACTTAGAGCTAGAATAATCCCTCCAGCTTATAAAGCCTTTACTTCCAAAGAATCCTTGAAGAGTGCTCCAGATGTGTTTATGTGATTATATAATCCAAAAGGGAGACACACACACACACACATACACACATACACTTGTTTTTTTTTTTTTGGTCTATAATAAAGGATTATTATAGATTTCTAATGTTTTCCTCAGGTCTTTCTGTCATAGTAATGCACCAGCATATTGTTTAAAGCATACACGCAGCACTGCCTTTTTGGTAATTTGGAAGTGACAGTGGAATCAACCAATCACATTTTGATTTACCAGTTTCAAGGGTGGGACCAAGTTTTTGAGAACAAATGTCACTCTAGGCCTTCCGACAGTCCTGGATACGTTACTCTCTGTGAGCATGAGCGGTAGCCTGACCGGTGTGTTTTGTTTAGTAAATAGAAATGTTTAACAGCGGCAGCTCTTTGTCAGGACTCTTTACTGAGAGGGTCACTGTAAAACTGCGAAAAAGTAAAATATGCATTAATATGTCTGTTACAGGCTTCAGATAAAACATGGAATGTCTTTTACACACCTCAGGTGTCTGTGTTTAATCTAGAAAGGCCATAAAATGTTCGTCAGTCACCTTTAGCTTAACATTAAAATGCTACTAGGGCCTCATAGGAGCCCTAGCAGAAATTAGCCTGTCAATGGGCTAATTTCTAGAGGCTAACACAATTTGTGCATCAACAGATGGGATACAGTCTCTAACTGTACACCAGAAGAGTACAGCTACAAGAGAGGGCTTTCTAATAAAGCAATTGTGTTGTATTATGCAAGATTTTGACCACAATTAACTTTAAGCAGTCGTTCCCATAGTTACATATAAATTGATCTGTTTCTCAGCGATTGTCACTGTAAGCACATTGGTTGTATGTTATGGTGCCATGGTAGCAGTGAGTGTGACTGGCTGATGGAGGAGCTGCAGTGTCTGCGTGCTCAGCTAGAGGGCGACAGGGAGCAGCAGCAGCTGCAGATCGTGTATCTGTGCCGACAGAACCAGAATCTAGCACTGGCCACACGGGAGCACATGGACTTGTGAGTGGGGCTGCCGCTTTGGCACAGTGTGGAGTAAAATGTGTGTGTGTGTGCTCAAAGGTCTTTTTTCACTCTATTGTATTGTTTTTATAAAAACAAACAAACAAGAGAAATGTTTTCTCTTGGAAAACAGCTGTACTGATGTGTGTGCTGTGGAGTTTTTTTCAGCTCTGCTGCTATTCCTCCTGTATTGTAGTTACTCTTTCTTTTGAGGGGGAGGGTTAAAAGTAATATTGAATGAGCGTGTAAACCTTGTTTTTTCTGAAATGTGAACTGTTACTTAAATTTTATTCAGTGTATGCTCAGGATAGAGATGGGTAATATTGCAAAAATTTACTTTTTTTTGATGTCTGATGATTTGGAACAGACAAAGTAGAGCACATTTAAAAATACCATCAAACCTGTGAATTTGGTGATTCATGTTCAACGTTTCGCCCACTGTGCTGCACTAAATGTAATTAAACAGGATTAATTATTTCTTTTTGCAATTAAACATGCAGATCGGAAATGTTGGTGATGTACACAGTATGCTCAGAAAAGCATATTGTGACGTTATAATCAAATTTATCATGATAATGATAAATATTGTCATATTACCCAGCCCTAATTCAGGACTTTCCGTGTGTTGGTTCACTCTTCGTGTGAACTGTTCGTTGGATTTTCTGGAGTTACCTGTGTTAGCCTGTATATCTTTAGTGCATGTTACTTCTCCTTCAGTTATTACTTTCCAGTGTGGTGTTCTTTCACAGTAAACTGGTCTGGAATTAGTTGCTCCATTGTTGCTGTTCCCTCAGATTTGATCATTCTTTCTGAGCAGTCGTGGTCTGTGTAAGAAGGTCTTTCACTTACATTACCTTTTCAGAGAATGTGCTTTTTACTGTGCTGTCTTAGTGAGTTTGATGACGTTTTCCTGGAGTCATCGGTTCACAGCGTTTGGTTTCACTCTGAATTACTCTCTTTAAAATATAAAAATGTAAATTTTAGAATAAGGTTGCTCTATGGCTTAGTTGCTCATTTGTGTATGTCCGTGTGTCAGGCTCTCTGCGGAGCTGCAGGAGAAGGACAAGCTCATCCAGCAGCTGAAGGATGGATTGCATGGCCGAGCTGCAAGAATACATCAGGACTCAGACTCTGAGATGAGTGACAGGATCTCTAACGATGGAACCGCCTCCTTTCATGACAGTCCTCCCTCCCTCCGCACACATGCCTTCAGCAGGGCGTCCACAGGTAAAACTCAAACACATACATCGACACAGCACACCACAATGAAACCTCCCAGCACATCTTACCTGCAGGAAGTGCATTTTCTCATGTGATTCCAGGCTTTTCAAACTGTGTAAACAGTTCCTCCCTGTGCTACTGAGATCATATACAATATACTATAGTCCAACCACACCCTGCACCCATAATCAGTTAACTGTAGTATCGCTGAGGAGGTGTGATGGAGGAGGCAAAAAAAGCCGCTTTGAGGCACGTGTATTACAAACACCGGATCCCCTTAATCGATATCTGCAGTGGTTTTATCCAGTAATTCATTTCAGCATAATTTAGTAACACCGCAGAGTAACCTGCTTGGTGGAGAAAATAGAGACAATAAACATGCCGTTGTTTCTGCTCAGCAACTTGCAAGTTATTAAATCACAGAACATTAAAGAACATGGTATACAGCTAGCCCTAACTTCAAATAGAACAACAATTTCATGATTTATATGTGTTATAGTATTAGGCTTCATTTTTAATTTATTTATATGGCTTTATTTATTTGTTTTATTAGCTTTGATGGAACCACAACATCAGAATCGTTTTACCCTCGTTCATGTACCCTGTGTTAAGGCCCTTTCACAGTCCAATTTTTGTGGACGAGAAAAACGCATGTCAAGTTTAGAAAATGCACACACACATATTAATGCTGACTTTCACACAGAGTCCCAACCTGACTGCAACGCTCTGTAAATTCTTTAGCAGAGTTTGCTCGATTTTCTGCATTGTACGGATGCGTTAAAAATCAGGCTGACAAGTCAGAGCTTGGTTGTCATGGTTGCAACCCAAACAAATGTGCATCATGATGGCAGCAGAACAGTCAATCTAGTTTGTAGCTGTGCACAAAAGCTTATATGACAAGCAACACACTGACTATAAAAATGCAGAGGTTAAATACAATATATGGCAGACCAGAGGTGGAAAGCTGGAGAACGGCAGTTACAGCAACTGTATATAACCGCTTTTATAGCGGTTTCACGCCCATGAGGAACCTCAGGCTTTTAGCTTCTCTCGCTAATGAATGCAACTTTGAATAAGAGCAGCAACAAGCAGAAGTAGAGCCTTAAATAGAATGGGCTGAACCCAGTGTGTGTGTCGTTTAGTTGAAGTGCTTAAAAGAAAAATGATGAATTTGTCATAGCTGCTTATCAAGTAATCCATCTCGTCTTACTGTTTCATTTTCTTCGCATCAGATTTGGTATGAAGGTTTCAATACGTTAAAATCTTTTTTCATTTGAAAAAATTGTACATGCTGTAAACAGGCCTTCCACACAGAGATGATCTTAAAGGCAGCAGCACGACTTTACCTGTTACATGAGCAGAGCCACAGTTTAAAACATAAAAGTGCTCCCTTGCGCTACTACAGAATATTCTGAAGCTAGACAACCTATTTATACAGGATGTGGACTACACATTACAAGAAAACACACTAAAGTATACAGGATAAAAGTAAACACATATTACAAGATAAATATGATAACTTTAGTGCATGCTTTCTTTTATTTTATTGGCAATTCAGTCAAATCCAGCCTGTTTCTCCCATTACATTTGAGATTTCATGGTGCCCTGGATGGTTACCCAAAAATCATAATCAGATCGAATTCTCTACTACTTGGAGTCAGTTAATCTCTTCACACTTTGCTGAGGAGTTGCCCTTAAATGCTACGTGTATTTGCCTTCATTCAGCTTTGTTTCAAGCCAACACTTTCACACTTCACAGAAGGTTCGCTAAAGTCTGGTGTCTGTGGGTGGACATTAAATTATTCATGTCACTCTCCCTCACCCAAAGCCTTTTAGCTCACAGTGGGGTCCTGACCTGGGGTTAATGGTCATGAGAGGTGATGGCATTGTGCAGAACAGACCTCACCTGAAGGGTCGCTGTTCACAGAACAACACGGCTCATTGAGAACGATTCTTACTGAGAACAACATAAACAACATAAGTAGTATAAATGTTAGGATAAAGTAAGGTGGCTTTTCCAGCTGCACAGAATGAACATCATCCATTATACAAGCAAGTAGTGCTTGTATAAAGAGAGAGAGAGATTCAAACAGGTTTTCAGATGAGTGAGTGGATGAACCAGGTCATTGCAGTTGGTCAGTTAGTTGATGGATTCCTGTCTGCAGGGAGGGAAGCGATGGGGGAGGGCCCCAGTGATTGACAGAAACAGATGAAAAGTGCTTCTCTTATTTTCCTGTTAGGGGTTATCTCGGGGTAGGTAGTGTGTTTGTGTGTCTGTGTAGCTGGAACCTGTCCTCACATTAAATATGCATATTTTACCCCTGTGGTTGGGATGTGTGAATCAATGCCCCACCCTGTTTAATAGCTATTACTTTACATTAATCCACGTTGCTGTCTGTTCAAGTGTTTTGAGTGTTGTATAGCAGAGAGGTCTAGCAAAGTGACTGGTGTCCTGTTACAAGCCCTCACAGATACATTATTCATCAGTTCTCTCTGGTTTAATCTCCTCTCCCCTCTCAGCTCTGAAGCTGGACCTTGAAGAGCCACATCACTCATTAATGTGTGTGTTTGACCACTCCTCCTTACCTGCTGAGAGTTTGACATGGCTCTGTGCAGGTAAACGGTGTGTTTTTGGAAGAGTGATGTACCGCAGACCAGGAAGGCTAACTCTACTATACCTAAACTAGCATCATTTGACGGGCAGAGGCTAGTTAAAACTAAAAGCACCTTATCTCTCTTGAGCCTCAGCAGGTTTAGGTTTCCGCTCCAAAGTAAATAGAGAAGATTAGCAGGACAACTTTTTTCGTGGGCTTTTTCTTCTGGTGGAGATACATAGCAAGACAAGGCCGACACTGAAGCCCATGCAGCACCCTTGCAGTTGAATGGACTTAAGACTGGACTACATTTCAGAGACTCTGGACTGCATATTGTTTGAAACTGAGCTGATGTCTGGATTTTACTGGATTGCACACTTGAAGCTGTGTCGGTCTGTTTAGACTTGGCTGCCACTGCTGTTTCAGAATATTGAATAATTCTGTTATTATTTGTCTGTAAACTGTCACAGACCTACCGTGGTTATGCGAGCTGTAAAGCTGTAACAGTGATATTGATGAATTGGTGACTGCTCTATTGTGGCTAGGCTAACACTGAAATTAATTATTATAGCAGCAGTGTTGAGGCTTGGCTAATGCTGAAATTGTTAGCAGTATTGAGGCTACCACAGTGTTGAGATTGTAGGAGTGGTATTGAGGCTAGGCTAACATTGAAATTGCAACAGAAGTGAGGCTAGACTGAAAGTGTACTTTTAACCTTGGTATTTAGCCTGCGCTACTGCTGAATCTGTAACAGCAGTGTTCATGCTAGGCTAACCCTGAGGTTACGATAGCAGTGTTCATGCTAGAGAATGTGAACTCTAAAAGCAGTATAAATGCTAGGCTGATGTTGGGATTGTTACAGCAGTATTGAGGTATTGAGTATTGAGTATGAAACTATCACAGCAGTATTGAGGTCAACCTAATATTGTGACAGCAGTGTTAAGGCAAGAGTAGGCTAACACTGAAACCATAATTGTAGTGTTTAGGCTAGGGTAATTGCATTAATTAAACACAGAGTAGAGACTAGGTTAACGTTGAATATATAATAGCCTGTGTTAAGGCTAGGTTAATGTTAAATTCTATCACTAGTATCCCAGAAGGGCTGATGCAGAAATTGTAGTAGTGTTATTTAGGCTAGGCTAACTTTTAACTGCAGTATTCGACTAAGGTAACATAGTTAAATAGTAAGTAGTTACAACAGTATTGAAACTAGGCTAATGCTAAAGTTGTAGCTGATTTTTGAGCGCGAAGCCCACAAAGATGAGTGAAGTGAAAGTGCTGCAGAATGGGGTCTCTCGTGGCAGATGGAGGAAAGTTCTCAAAGCTGCTAAAGAGGAAGGTAAAATTAAAATGTGTTGTGGTCAAAATCTGTAATTTGCAGTTATCCATCAATTTAAATTACAGATTACGAGTGTGCTGATTTGTAATTCTGATTGGCTGGTTCATTTGTTTATTTTATATGAAATATTATTTTTTTTCAGTATTTTTGTTCTCCATTCTCTGAAGCTGTCTTTAATTATTTGTATGCTCAGTATTATTTGGAATAGACGTTGTAGTAGCTGTAGCATAACCATGTTTTGTTCCTAAAGCTTGGTCTGTGCCTGACCTTCTGTAGGTACAAAGGTCACCAATGGAGTGATCGTTTCCGAGACTGCCACTTCCCCATTCCCAGGGAGTGTGTCTGGTCTAGTGGGCTTGTCTGAGGGGAGCATCCGAATGCTGCAGAGGGAGAATGGACGTCTGCAGGAACAGCTGAGGAGCAGCGAAGAGCTTAATGCTACACTGAGGAGTGAGCTCGACGTCACCCGCTCTGTCCTCACAAACGCACATGGTCAAGAGAGCCCATCTCCAGCACACACACATGATCAGAGCCAGACTACGGACAGAAAGCAGGAGCCGCAACCCCAAGTTCAACAGGAATCAAGCAGCAAGTGCATTAGCTCAGGTAGAGGGGAATGTGTGTTTATGTATTTGTATTTGTATTTGTGTGTGTGTTTGTGTTTGTGTTTGTGTAAGTCAAAGAGTTTTTGACTTTTTGCTGTTTTACTATAAACACACTGGCACTTATGTGCTCATCTCTGGTTTCCTTTGTTTTTATCTTGTTTTCCATCTTCATTCTCTCTCTCTCTCTCTCTCTCTCTCTCTCTCTCTCTCTCTCTCTCTCTCTCTCTCTCTCTCTTCTTAGATCTCTTGGCAGAACACCTGCAGGAGATCCGAGCTTTACGTCAGCGTCTGGAGGAGACCATCCGCACCAATGAGAGACTACGTGAGCAGCTGGAGCGAAAACTGCGGGAGGCAGAGAGAGACCCGGGTATTTACAATTCACATACACAGAATGACACTCATTTAGATTACAAGAAAAAGACTTATAAAGATAAAGAAACAGTAAGGTCTTTTATGTCTATATAAAGGCTTTTGTTATGTCTTTCAGCAGCTACTAACATCTTTATTGCTGGATCAGAAGAACCAGCTCAGCTAACCAGTGAGCTCCACTTGCTCTTGGCTCAGAACCGCACACTCAAAGAACAGCTTAATCAGGGTGCAAGAGGTACACACATCTTCAGTTTACTGAAGACAATAATACATATAGATATACATTTTAGAATGTTTCTGTGTCTAATTTTCTTAAGAAGTTAACACTGACTGTGGTGTGTAAATGTAGATAAACAGAAAGAGAATGATCGTCTGAGAGAGACTCTGGCCAGGCGCACGGCCAAACTGGAGCTGTGCAGAAAAGAGTGTGAAATACTGCGTCAAGAACACGCACACCTGCAGGACAACCTTTACAGGTAACACAAAAAGAGAAATTTACAGGAACTCTGTATGAGATGGCCTGTAGAAGTATCACATACACATTCACCTTCATACACAGCCTTGGATACACAAGTTCTAACATATTTCTCAGTTTCTGACTGACTGACTTTTCTTTTGGTGACTGGAATACTGGGGATCATACGCTAAACACCTTGGAATTACACTCTCTACATGAGTTTTAAGTTGAGCTGAGCTGAGCTAAATGCACCAAACTTGCATGTACACGTGCCTTTTCACATTACCAGACATTTGGATTTTTGATGTATATGCACTCAATTGTGCCTTCATCTCAAACTAATTTCATTTAGAAGCTCCACTACATGTGTGTCTGAGTGTCTGCTTCGGCTTTTTCCCAGTTTCCTAAGTCTCTGTGTTTACATCTTTCAAGCTCTCTTTTCATTGGCTGTTGGAGGAATCAATTCAGATTGAGTCATTGACTAATATACACTGTTAGATTACATCTAGCGTCAGGTTTAAAAAAAAGAAAAAAGATATATGTTTAACTCTCTGTACTGAATCAGGAGGCAAGAAACTTAGAAATCTAAACCTGTGCCCTTTGGACCCTATTCAGCTTTCTCCCTGAACTGTTGATATCTGAAAATCTGCAGACTACAGCCAGCCAGCGCTTGGCCAGACTGAGAATGAGGGCTAAAATCAGGGGTAAAAGTCATGTAGTGTACATAGAGAACACGCATATAAACAGCTTCCCAATTAGAGGACACAAGATACATATAATGTGGACAGTAACACTATAGCACTGTAATGGAATAAGAGTGTGTGTGTGTGTGTGTGTGTGTGTGTGTGTGTGTGTGTGTGTGTGTGTGTGTGAGAGAGAGAGATGTATCAGATAACAGTAAAAGACAGTGTGTACTTACTTATGTTTTTGAGCTGTAATGATGAGAAGATGGGTAATTGTTTAATGAGCGTTTCATCTTACATGTGCACACATTGAACACACTGATGTGCCTGTGTTTGTTAATGAATGTGCAGTTTGTCTGTGTAAAATTATCCTTTGTTTATGCCACTATGTGTTTGTGTGTGTGTGTGTGTGTGTGTGTGTGTGAGAAGACTGCAATGTGAGAGCAAACTCCAGAAACAGCAGTTGGCAGACACTCAGCAGCTCCTGCAGTCAGTACAAGTAGAGCTGCAAGTGCATGAACAGATCAAGAACTCGGCACACACGTATACAGGTACACAGCTCCTCCTCATATATAATTACAAGTACACAGTGGATATATATACTCATCATGTTTATTTCTGATGTGAAACCTACAGCTTTAATTGTTTGAGTTGAAGTATTACATAAGATAAGATAATCCTTTATTTGTCCCACCACAGGGAAAGTTTACAGTGCTACAGCAGTAAAGGGATAGAAAAGATTAATAAGAAGAGAGTTAACAAAGTATCAACGTTCTTAATTTCTTAACAAGGTTACAGTTTGTAATTTTTACTGTATGTGCAATAAAAATAAAAACAAAGTTTAAAAAATATGAGTGTTGCACATGACAACTTGTCTCTGAGGCCGTTTAAAAAATGTATCCCTGAAAACAAAAAGCTATTGCATGGTTATGTGTTCATGTTTGCATTCGTATACCTGTGTTCTCCCAGGCGACGAACATAGTGGTTCTGACTGTGGTAAGGTGGATCTGAGCGAGTTGTTGAATGAAGTACGGAGACTCCGTCTGCAGCTGGAGAGAAGCATCCAGACAAACACAGCACTTAGACACAAACTAGAGCAACAGCTTCTAACTCGCAATGATCCCCCATCTACAATCAACATCAACTACCTACTGCATAAAACAGGTACCCATGCAAGGCACTCTGACAGCTACCAAGCTGCTCTCGTTTATCCGACCTCAAAACCCAAGGAGACAAATAGATAAATTCCTGAGTTATTCATGGTGATCCCCAAGTTTCTGTAGGAGATCCTTGTAAAGTTTAATAAAACACTATTTTCTTTCTCTGTCTCTCTCTTAGATGAAGGAGGTAAATCAGGGGTGCATCACACAGATGCCTGCAGTGCCTCCCATGGTATGTTATTCCTTTTGTTCTTTTAATATATTTTTGCAGGTGTGTTTGATCTCATAGCTTTAAGAAATACAAGCCTGTTCCAATTTCATACAACGTGAATTTCAGATCAGTTATGGCTAAAATGACTTAATGTTCTGCTTGAATTTGTTGGAATGTCTAGCTCTCTACATTGAAATCTGGGATTTCTACAGTATAAAAACAGTAGAACACAATGCAACAGTGCTATTTAGAAGTTGAGGAAACACCGCAAGATTTTATTAGGCAACTCTGACTCCGTGGACAGTGGTTGACGTGTGTATGTGTGTGTTTGTAGATAGTGGTAGCTCTGTGAGAAGTGGTTCTCCAGCTCCGTCACGGTTGGTGCCGGGTCATAGGTTGTGGGCAGATCGGCATGGGCGACACGTTCTGGGCCTAATTGAGGACTACAATGCCCTCCGCAAGCAGATCAGTGAAGCAAAGAGACTCAACGCAGCCATGGACACTCAGCTACAGGAAAGCAACAGGGTAAGCAAAACCACACATACTTAAATGTATCTATGGATACACAACTACAAGATAGGACCAATAGGTATGTGCTGATGCTCTGTCTGATTTTCTTTTTTCTGTTGTACGTTTGTCTGTCTCTTTCTGTGTGGATGTTTTAGATTGCTGAATGCAAGGCTTTGTCAGGGAGTGTGAACACTATGCAGCAGATGCTGGAGGAGGCAGGGAGATTGTTGAAGCTGCTCTGGAGAGTATCTCTACCGTCAGGGGACCTCACAAACATGCAGCAGGTAACACGCACTTATCCACCTACGGTCACGCCTGTAGTGTAGACCAAACACAATAAATTTCACATCTAGGAGAACTGGGGACCTACGCTCTGCTTAAACACTTAAACTGCTGCTGAATGTCATCCCTTTCTCCCCTCTCTCTGTTCCTGGTGCAGGATGAGGTGTTGAGGAGTGAAATCTCTCGCCTGAAGAGTAGGTTATCTCAGCAGGAGAGGATGCTGACAGGAGCAGTCAAACGCTTGCGCTCCACCAACCAGCTTAAAGAGGGCATGGAGCGGATTATCATTGACCAGCGTAAGACAGACAGACAGACACCCACCCACACACACGCGCACACATAAATATTTCAGAATGCATGAATGTTTACATTTTTTCAACAATTTCATGTACACACTCTCTTATACTGACATACTTATTTTTGACTGACATACTTATTTTTGTTTATTCCTGTAGTCTCTTTGACTCATGGAGTACTGAAGAAAGCCAGAGGAAACCTTGAGGTGAGGTTGCAATCCAGCACAGCCAGCCTCAGTCTTACTAACACTGTTGAGGACTTTGTCCTATCCAAAATTAACACACTCGGTGCAACAAATCAAACAATAATTATCATCCAGTACTTAATTTGGTTGAAAGAACAGCTTGGACTTTATCTCAAACAGTGTTTTTACTATCTTAGGTTTCTTTACAGTGGTGGTGATAAGAGCCAGGGGTCACAATATCTACAATGCAAATATAGCCATTTTATTTACTATCCAAAACCACAACTGAACCTACATGTGTCTTCTGAGTTTTACATGAAATGCTGATAAGGGTGAAAAACGGATAAATATGAAGAAAATAATTCTTTACTTTTCCTTTTTTTGAATGTATTTAAAGAAACATTGTAGGCCAGAATGTCATCTTGGGCATCAGGCAATGTATTTGTACCATTTTATGTAATCACTTTCTGTGATGTATCTTTTAGAGAGGTGTTAAATACTTCAGACGTCTGTCGCTGTAAGCTTCTCTAGAATGGTGCATTTCACACCAAACCGCTCTAATTGACTGTTAACTATGTAATTCTGCAGAATTCTGAATTATTAGTGTAGCTCCCTTTTAACAAGTGGTATTATGTAGACAATAGCTAACCTATGGTAGCATGATTAGTAATTGTGATCTCTCTCTCTCTCTGTTCTGTGTGTAATCTTTCTGTCACAGTCTAATTATCTCAGCGTTTTTGGGCTGAAAGGCCTACAGACGGAAGGTTAGTTTAGTGAGGGATGTGTGTGTGTATGTGAGTGTTAGGACTGTAAAAAGGGTTTTGTCCCTTTGCATGACATCATGGCAGAGAACATCACAGCATGTGCAGTGTTCTTACTTTCTAGCTGTAGTTGAGAAATGTGTGTTAACCTGCATGAAACTGCAATTCATGCAGCTGAAACATCACCTCATTCAGTCAAGATGAGCCTGAGCGGCGTATTTGTCCCTTGTACTTTTGAGCTCAAAGAGGCATTTTATGTCACACGTTGACAGCAGTTCCACTGTGTGGTTTGAATCTTGGGTGTGTGATCTTACATAGACATGCATGGAGTCATTAGATTGTGATTTGAGTTTCATAGGAAACTTTAAAGTATTTTTTTTCCTTTTTTTCTTTTTCTCCTTCTAGGAAATCCCCCTGAATCCCCATTAGCCAATCAGCCAACACATTCTCCCCCTAGAGGCGCGTCCACACCACAGCGAAATTCTTCCAGAAACTCTGTATCCAGCGAGGAACGACACAGTGATGACTCCTCCCACTGCAGCTGTTAGAAATATGTCATTATATTAAACCCATTGAAGATACTTAAGCTGTCAATCATGACTGAACCCTGATCCTTATTACCTATTAGTAGCTAAATGTCTTAAATAGAGATTCTTCCTGACTCACTGCTTTTCTGTTTTTGAGGATTTCCTTTTGAGGTTCTCACAGACAGTTGTGGAGATCTGAGATGAGTTTGCACATTGACCGTGATATTGAGATTTTGTCTGGCCTATAAAAGGGATTTTTTTTTATTGTAATACCTGGGGTAAAAAATAATGTAAATAATGTCTTTTAGTTTTGTATTTAATGAATTTTTATTTTTCTTTTAATGGTTTTCAAAAGTTTTCCTTGCTCACAACCTTTTAGCTCTTAATGCTGTATTTTATACTGCATTCATTTGATAAGCACATCTGTCGTGTGACCTGTAGTACTTCGCAGATGCCTGAAGACTGTGGGAGTCTGTGCAGGAGTGGTACGGATACATTAAAACACCTTATTATTGACTCAGTATCCGGTCTTTCATTTAAGAAAAAAGCAACTTGATTGGAGATTTTATGGCTTCTACAGGCACAATTACAGCAACTTCTAAATGAAAAGGAGCAAGAAAAGACTTGAAATGTCTGGAGAGTACGAATAATGAGAATAAAATATTTAGCAGTTTATTTCAAGTCCCATAGGTCAAGTTCTACTGTAAAAGATGAGGTTTTGAGAGAAATGGACTCACTTCTTTTTGTTTCTCCACAATAGAACCACATAATTGATCCTGATTCTGCTAATGAAGAGCTTCAGGATGCTGAAAAGTTAGAGCAGGAAACCTGTAAACTGGAGGACCCAGAGTTGAGACTGAACAGGTAGCTGAATTGAAAGAGGAAGAACCCAGGAAAGCCAGGGAGCTGCAGGGTGTGAGTAATTGTGGCACAAACAGGTAGCAGCGAGTGTGTCTGTGTGATTCGGATTTTAAAGAGGAATTCAGAAAAGCCTTAAATTATGTTTGCTCTTTGCAACCTTGTCCTTGATCATCATTGCAGTCATGAACAATGTATACTTCGTATGTTCAGCATTTGAGCCTCCAATTTCCAAATTTTGAGCTTTAAAAAAACATGGTATTACATCCTAGAAACACACCATAAGCACTGGAGATTTGAACAAATTAAAGTTCTGTAAATTTGAATTCATGTAATAGAAATAATTTGAACTGAAGACGTTCTGTTTTCTTTGTTATGCCAAAGAAAATATTGAACGTATAAACTCCTACATGCTTCTACAGATTATTGTGCTCTGGCTGTTTCCAGTAATTTCAGGAAAATGAAGTTGGATTTTCTGAAAAGTAAAGTTTAGGTAGTGAGAGCACTTTTGGTGCAACAGTGAAAAGTTGATTCCAAGATGAATTTGGTACCAAAAAAGGGTTCTTTGGCTTGTAACAATAGTGGAACCCTTTTCAAAAAGGGTTCTATGTCGAACCAACTACAAACATTCTCCATCGATCTGAAGAACCATTTCATGATAAAAAGAACGCTTTAATCATGCAAAGGGTTCTTTGATTGTTCATGATTCTGTATAGAACCATTTTCTTTACTAAAGAACCCTCGAAGAACAATCTTTTTAAGAATGTAGGTAAGGCTGTATTATGTGTTAGGGCTATTTTTGTGCCAAGCTGTAAGGTGGTTTTTATCTAGGTTTATAGTAAGTGCTTCAGCAGACTGTCCAGTGTCATTTTTAAGAGAGGAAAGCCTACAGCTTTTAGGAATGTTGGGGTTGATGTACCTAATTAGGGTTTTTTTTTCTCGAAAGAATTTGTGATATATTTCGTAATATACCATTTGAAGGCATTTTCCAAAACATTTCAAGGAAAATAGAGCTTTTCTTTCAGAAGGGAAAACTTCCAACCTTAGCGGTAGTTTTCATGTACCAATCAAAAGCACTTTCCTCAGTGTTTGCAGTGTCTTGGATGTAATACAAGATGTGGAGACATTTTCTAACCGATGTATGAGTCCAAAAATGCACACCGTAGTAAGGCTGTAGTCTTACCAATGCACCACAGTTTGAGTGCAAAAATGCAAGATGAGTTTAAAGTTTAATTCAAGTTGGTGTTTCTGTGGGTTGTACAGTGTCATTTCCAGTGATTTTTGAAAGGTAAGTGGTTTCTGTGCAACAGTTGAAGGTCCTTTCGAAGTTGAATTCGTATTAAATTAGATGCATTTTAGATTAAATTAGATTGCAAACATTTTGCAGCATATATGATGCACCGTATAGTATTTTCCATTGCTGTAATTGTTCATACACACACACACACACAAATTTTTATATAATATATATATATATATATATATATAAAGGCCCAAAGTACCCAGACATTATTTTAATTTTTAGTCTTAATTTGTAATATATAGAATTAATATTGTAATCTAAGTATTCTCAAAGCTTCTCATGCAATGAAGGTAAATAATATAACTTGTTATGGGAAAAATGTCACTGAATATTTATGGAAAAAAAAAGCATGTTTTTTAGCAGAAACATTTTTGAAAAAAAGATTGCAGTAGCTTTAATAGAATTGCCCTGTAAATATTTAATAACAAATATGACAAATTGTTAGGACTATAGCAAAATGATGGAAATAAGTTACGAGTAGTCAGTGAGGATAACTTTTTAAGTTTTAAAACATTACAATTCCAAAAAATATTCTGCCCTGGTCATCTTTCACATTCATTTTTCAAGTGTTGAAACTCATGAAATGTCATGCTGTCATCAAAATATTGTAAACTAATAACAAGGATAAGAATATAATCTGTAAATCCTTTATTATTATATAAACAAACTATAGTGACAAAAATACATTGTTTCAGCTGGTAGAAATATTGGCATCCAGTGAAACGGCCACTTTGTAATATAAAACAAATAAAGTAGCTAGAAATTATGGAAACAAAAGTACACTTTGTTGGTGCACATACAGTAAAATGTACAAGCCATTAAGCAATAAAAAGATGGATATCACTAGATGATGAGTTCCCAGAAAAGACTATTTAAATAACAAGAGTACTTCAGCCAAAAATGCTAATATTTAAAATAATAAATGAATGCTTGAAGACCAGGTAGCATTAGACAAATGACTTTATGCTATATGGTCCCCATTAGCATTAATTTCTTTGCGTGCCACGTTTTCCTTACAAACATAAAGATGTTCCTTTCGTTCAACACACACAGGCTTTTGACTGGTTTCATCAGTGAGCCCTCACTCTAACTCAGAAGCCCAGCTGACCAGTCAGAAACAGAACAAAGTTCAACTACTTGAAATCTTAGTAACAATAATGTTGAGTCAGGTCAGTTAAACTTCGGTAGGAACAAAAGCTTAAATCAGCACCAATTCACTGCAGATATGACTGGGCACCTCACAGAAACCAGCCTATAAAACTAGGCCTGTGGACACTCAGCTGGGAAACTGACTGTAGCACCTTATTTCCACACAAACACGGTGGTACGATACCCGCTCTGGTTCCTACTTTTATACAAGTGACTGATTTTTAAATGTAGCCCTCAATTAGACGGGAAAATGTGCCTCGTCTTTTCGACACGATGTTCCCTTCAACACTTTAAAGCTACAAACGGACTCTGGACATTTTTGTTACATCAAACTGACAGTACGTCATGTTTCAAGTGCATTTTTAGGTTATTTCCGCCCCCCCCTCACACCCCAGGGGGGCCAAAGCCTTAGAAGCCTCACTTCCATTATTTACACATTATGTAAAAATTAAAATGCGCTTCCATAAGTTATTGATCATTAGCACTTACATTCAGAGCTCAATCAGTTAACCCCGTTTTTTTTCAATTTCACTGTCAAGCCCTGATTGTAACTTTAAAATTTATAATGTCTCATCACCTACAGGTGAGGTGTGTATTTTCAAAAAGCACAACAAACTCTTCACACAAACAGTTTATAACCAACAGTACAACAGGGTGAGAAATTTAACTGAAATGCAAGACTGTAACAATAAAGGCCCTCATATTTATTTATATTCCCCCTTCCTGTCTGACACCATTGTGCAGCTGATATGTTTATGTACGTAGAAACAGTAAACACTATGTAGTCATGTTCTTCACTATATACCTGCATGCAAAGAAGCACTGTTTTTATTAAAATACACTTGCCCTGTGACAGTTCAGGGATAGATGTGAACAAGGTAAAGAAACACTTTGGCACCACAAGAAAAGCAGAACTGAAAAACCCCCAAAAAACGGTCCCTCATTGACTCGATGTACGTTTTCAGACAAAACAAGAACACGTGGGTAATGTCACAGTGAACATGTGGCTCCTTCATCTGAACCAAACTGATTCAGAAAGAGATTCTTCATGTTGACTTTGGAGCCCCGAAATTGAAGTTTCTCTGATGCAGTAGTTGTTTCAAATATGAGCATTACTCAGTGCACAAGTCTGCAAAGAATGTTTCCATGTGTGTCCTCTCCTAGCGCTGGACGTGCCGTACAAAGGCCTGCACCAGCTGGATGAAGGGTTCCTGGCCCTCCTGCGTGACCTTTGCCCCTGGGGTGGTGGGTTTGGTCTGGGGAGAGGGCAGCAGGCCGCTGGCCGGGGAAGAAGGGGATCCACGGCGGAAAAAACGGAACAGCGTCGTCAACAACGTGCTCTGGAAAAAATGAAGAGGAAAAACAATATATATACACTTCTGTAATCAACAATATTCAAGTTAAAATTGATGAAAATGAAAATGTAGGGCTTTGTTCCCCCCAACATCACACAGCAGTTTTAAAATTCCAAAACAATTTGTACTAATCTCTCACACACAGCCCAAAAGCCAAATAGATGGTTCTTCCTTCTGTTCTTAACTAAAGATAACATTAGTTATACTGGTTTGTATAACAAACTACTGTGTATCTCAATATAAACGCCAGTATAACATTCAGTTTTTTCTGAGGCAGTTTGGTCTGAGGCTCAGTTTCACCAGATCTGAGACATGTTGTTTTTTCTCGTTCTGACTCTGAGGTCTGAGAATGTCCTAAAATGTACCCCGTAGCCCCGCCTAGTGCTAATTAACATATATTTGCGCGTTGGTTAACTTGAAAACGAAAAAGCAAAGTGGCAAACGAAAAGTAAATCTCCAGCAGGTGGCGCTGATGTTCGTTTGCATTTGCCTTTTCATTCTGACACTTAAACCGCGTCGACACCGAAAACTGAAATCACAAACTGTCAGTTTGCTGTTGATTTATCCATTTTGCATTTTAATTTTGTCAGATATGCAGCTCATTGCTAAGAAAAAGAAATAAGAACACAAACTTTGTATTTTGATTGTAGTTTTGACGCGTATTACGCATTTCATGAAGAAAAGGTGAAGCCAAAGTGAAGCTTGTATTTTCTTTTCTCTATCAGCTTTTCCATTTTAAACATGGCCATGAAATTCCAGAATAATGACTAAAATGAAATAAATAGCAGTTTTAAATTTATTTTTATTTTTGTCATGAGTGACTCGTGCTCATGTGAAAAATGAAATTGCAAATGCAGCTATTTCTTTTCATTTTCAATTCTGGCAGGATAGTTGCACAGACGTTTGGAAAAAGAAATGGCAAAAAGAGGTTTTATTTTACATTTTATTGTTTTAATTTTTATTTCTTTTTGGCCGGATTTGCCTCCTATAGATTATACAGTCTCATTCCACACTGGCTGTGTATCTGTTACTGTGGCACACCAGAATAATGCCAGTGGTCTGTTAGCGTGCCAGTCATTGGTAGTGCATTTGAATCTGAATGAAATCCAAGTGCTACAGAGCCTGCATCAGGTCTTTTAACCCTTTTATACTGCAGGCTTATTATCGCTACCATGAATTAGTAAGTGCTGTGAAACTAATATGTAAATGTTGCAGGACAGGAATGAAAGCAGAATTTGTGCAGATGTAGTGATTATTCAAACTATATGGTTTGTGCAGATGTGGTAAGATGGCTTTGCAGGTGTAACAGACTCACCAGTTCAGAGCTGAGCTCTTGTTTGACTCTCTGCTTGTCTCGGGGCAGAACGGCCGGGTCCTTTAGACAGCGCATGGCCTGCGAGATCAGCACATAGAAACAGTTCTCCATCGAAAACATCAGCAGGGACCTGAACAGAGACGAGCAGGAGTTAGAATCAGTCATACAAAGACCAAACAGAAGGCAAAGTAAAGAAACAGTGAGTTGGATACTTGTTTATCAGCTGGTCCTCTAAACAGATAAACAGTCCTCAATTTTAAAATAAATTCTGTGGAACACCTTCAGTGATGAACTCAAGAACTAGGCTTAGTCTGGCTGACTGTATTTTGGAGGACAATACATGTAGCTTTCTCACTTAAGTGCTTGCGTTTCCTCTGATGAGACTGCTGGCTCCTTTTTCTTCTCAATCTGAGGAAGAAACAAAAAAAACATACAAATAAATCTTCACATGAACAACAGATTAAAAATCCTAAATAAACCATAAACCGTACATGAGCTGCAAACTAGAATTCTGATATAAACTATAAAAACAGTTTAACCCTAAAGAATAAACTGTAAGGAATAAACGATAGGCCTTAACTTTAAACCACTATAAATTCATAAATAAGGAAAGGCACTGCAGTCCACCTATGTGCATCTAGGCTTGTATTTATACCCTGTGAAAGACATTACCTCTCCGAGCATGCTCAGCGCCACGTTGATGGTGGCCAGCAGGGTTCCAAACGACGGAGCGACATCTGAGTCAAAGGCAGGAGTGGTGAAACTCAGCACAAACAGGGTTCGGTACTCCGCAAGGTCCATGGACTAACACACACACACACACACACACACACACACACACACAAAATATTAGAGAGGTCATTCAAATGCAGCTGTATATGTTGATGATCCAATGTTTAACTGTAGTGGAGTCTCTTAACTATTGGACCTGAATTATTTATCTCAGAAGCTGTGTAATGTAATTTGACCTAATTGGCTGAATTGGTTTTGGACATTCATGTTAGCGTTAAACCACAGAACACACTCAGTATCAACACACAACATTCCTGTATATATTAATGGGTTTTGCTATTCCATTAACATGAGATTGATTCAAATATGAGTACTATTATTGAGGGAGCTCCTGGTTCAGCCAATTACAGAAGACCACTCACTCCATCATCACTGTCAGACACTGTAGATTCATACTGGAATAAAAGCACTCGTCACAGAACTGATCTCCTTTTTCCTCATTTCTTAAACTCTGTGTGTGTGTGTGTGTGTGTGTGTGTGTGTGTGTGTGTGTGTGTACCTGGTCCAGCAGTATCTGGCAGCAGTCTGGTGTAAAGTGCTGTAAGGTTGCCAGTGTTTTGCTCAAAATCTTCAGAAGGCTGCACTGCACCGCCTGCAAAGCTTTAGACTCCGCCTCCTCTCGCTCTCCACTCAGTGGCTGCTCCTTAGAGGTGGGCTGTAGAACTCGCTGTGGACGGGACCCCTGAGGTAGAGCATCCCCATTCTTCGCCTGAGAGGAAAGCATCAACAGTTCAAAAATTAATGCAAAAAACTACGGTAATTCTCAGTTTTACTGTAACTCTGTTTTTATTCTCTCTTTAGAAATGCCCGTAATAACCAGTTTAATGTTGTAAAGTAAGTTGGGACAGAACTGTGTGTGTTCCTCACCTGGAGGTAGTGGTGTAGCATTTTCTTGCTGTGGAGCAGGTATGTACATGTCTGACACAGGTAACACAGATTCACCTGAAAAATGAGAAAACAAACTGTACTGGGATGCACTGCGAAGCTGAAACAGACGTGTGTGCACACATGAATCTATGTGAGGTGTGAGCACACAGACACGTCTTTTATCTGTTGCATGACCGTGTGTGTTGGTGTACCTGCACGTCTCTGAGCAGTTGTGGGAGGTGGAACTGCCACTCTTTGCAGAAGCTGGAGAGCTGCAGCAGGAAGCCCACCGTGTGGTCCGCTTCATCCAGACACGCTAAAGACTGCACAGTCCGCACTGCACTCAGACACTGAAACGCACATACTGACTGCATTAAGATCACAGAGCTCAACATACTGCTGTGGTTACCAAGCAACAATGAGCCTCATTCACTAAAAACACACACACACAGTCCTACCTGTAAAATACGCTCCTGGTGAACACCTACGAAGTCCAGAGCCTCGTTGATGAAGTTGTAGCGCAGCGTCTTGAGCAGACTTTCCATCAGAGATAGACAGAGACGATATACACCTGGCCAGCAAGGCGCATCCAGGGGCTTACGGGAGAACGCCTGAGACAGGGAGGGGGAGGGAGAGAGAGAGAGAGAGAGAGAGGTGGATGAGTCATGAACAACGAAAAAGCACAAAAAACAAGTGTGACAAAGAGCGAGTGCTTCAAACGTACACGTTGAAAGAACACTACAGCATTTTCAGCCTAATCTCTCCTGCATTTATAGCACACGGTCAATTACCACAGACAGAGCTTTCAACGTCTCTCTGTATTCAACCTGCTGACTTGACGCTCATTTATTACAGAAGCAACTGCCCAGTGGCCGGTTGCACAAACAGAGCTCATGCTTGGTTGCTTGGTTAAGCCAGGTTGGTTGTAACTTTCTGAGTGAAACTTTAGAACTGTCTTTAGACTGACCATAAGCTGACTTTTCCCCAAGACAGGTGGAAATTCTAATAGAAGCCACTGGGGAGTTGCTTCTATAATAAATGAGTGTCAAGTCAGCAGGTTTTCAAGCCACAATGTCTAGAATTTGGCTGTATAAGTGCTCTATATTTGAAAATTCAGCTTATGACCAGTTAGCTTTAACAAAGCTAATTCAAAGCCTCTAACTGGCACAGTGAGCAGCATCTTTTAAACAGCACACTTTAATAACGTACACAATAACACTACTTGGCTACCTACTAACTACACTACAAACATGCAAAAAAGGAGACACATCATTCAGAATTACTGAGGTTGGAAAGAGCGATCAGATGTCTGCAAATGTTCCTATACATTTAAACGACAGTTAAAACCAAAGTGGCTGTTTGTTTATTTGGAGTCTGAAATATCTTTCTCATTTTTCATCTGTGCTTTTAGTAGCCATCCTGCGTGGTAAAGTCCTCACCTTGAACACACTACGAGTAGCAGCAAAGCCAGCAACGCAGCTAATGTTTACAACTGAACCAGACTATTCTGTTCTTCCAGAGCTAATCTCCACATTCCCCACATAAAGAAATGAGAAGTGTTGTGGGGTCTCAGGGGTGAGTCGAGGAGAGGGTGACAAACCTTAAAAAAATACATCTTTAGATGGTAAAGTACTCTGAAAACTGGTCTTAGCTATGACCCAGCATAGCAGTTATGACCTGCTGGTCGAAGAGGTCGACAACATGCAGCTCTTTTACTGCCCTGTTGTGGCTCCACAGCAGAATTCGATTTTTAGGTAAAATAACCCTCCTTTTCGAAGATGAAGTCAGATTCTAGTTAGGATTTTCCTGTTCTACCTTAAACATAACTTAAATATGTAACTGCATTACCATTTAAGGTGGAACAGGAAAATTCAAACGAGAAACTGACTTCATCTTTGTGACTTCCAACAAGAAGCTGGAGAATGAGAAGCGACTTCAGCTGCTCAAAAAGTCAAACATTGAGAGACGTTTTACAAGAAACTGTTCTACTTTTGCCGGAGATGCGAGAAAAGCAGCTATAGCTGAGCTGAAGCTTAAAGCAGAGCAAAATGAGTCTGTATTTTTGTTTATATTTTTAGCTTATACTACTACGTTAGCACATACTGAGACATATTTACAGCCAAGATGGTGGTTTGATTTTTACAGCAAAGGTGGCTGGATTTTTGTTGAAAGGACAAAATGGCTCTTCTTAACATTTGGGTTGTGACCCCTGCACTAGTGGACTGAAGGAAGGGAGTCTCTGTACCTGTGTGGCTCCGTTTGCTGGACCTTCATACACACTGAGCAGAGGGAGGCAGATACTCTGAATCACTCCAGCACCTGCCACTGCTGCTGCTCCCTACGGCACCAAAAGAACAACACAAGCATAATCACTTCATTGGCGAGGCATTCGATGGAAAAAGTGCTTAGATATACAACAGATAACGAGAAATAACAGTGTAACATTACGTTCCTATAATGAGTTGGTGCAGAATGTGTGCTGATGAGACTGTGAGTGCACTAATGTGTGGAGGAGTGGGTGAGTTTGTGTACCTGTGGTGTTCTGGCTAGTGTGAGCAGCAGATGCAGCGCAGCCTCAGTGAAGTAAAGGTTCTGTTTGGAGCGCAGGCTGAGTTCTAGAGCGCTTAGAACTGAGGGCAGAACCGGCAGCTTCCTCATCACCTGAAGCCACTGCTCACCATCCTCATCCGCCCGACACAGCTCTTTAGACAGGTGCAGAGCCAACACGCACACCTGAGAGAGAGAGAGAGAGAGAGAGAGAGAGAGAGAGAGAGAGAGAGAATCATTATGCAACTTAACCACCATGGCCTTGTGTTGAAGGAACGCTCCAGACAAAATTAAAAATTTAACCATGTGTTGTAAACATGCTAATTTGCACCCACAGTCGTCTCCAGAATAAGATTTTTCTGGTTTCAGAAGTCGTAAGACTCCCTTCTGATGATTTATCTCAAAGGTGGGAGGAACTTTGAAACACTATAACTGCTTTGGGGTGGATTGTTTTTTTTGTGTTTTTTTCAGAAAGCTAGCTACCTGGCTATCACAACACTTTACCTCACTTTGGCTTCTTTTTTCTGGCTGAAAGGGTTAAAACTGGTGTCTGGGGTCCATTTTGTGCTGAATAAAGATAGAATCACTGTTTCCTACAATTTTGTTTGATGACTGAGGTAAGAGTTACTCTGAAGCTAACACGTTTTGTTTATTAGCCTGCAGATCAGCGGCTAAGCTAGCAGTCAGGATTGGTTGCCATCACAGGGATTCCTAATGTTTAAATGACATATTTGCCTAATAGGTGCTGGGTCCTGTAGTGGAAGGACATTAAAATATATAATAATATATTTATATAAAATTGAATTCCCTCAAAGTGTTGAGGCTGAGAGGAATAATTATGCTGTGCTAGAGAATACTGCATTACACAAGTAACTCTAAAACTCTAGTTTTAGGCTGGACTGCCACTTTAAACAAACCCTTCTGCTTTTCAGAGAAATTAAATTACAATTATTTATTGCACACCAGTGTCTTATTATGCTTGGTGAATTGTGTTCATGTCTAACACCCCTTACCTGTGACTGTAATGCAAAACCTCAAGTGGCTTATATCCCAGTGACCCTTTCAACATCGTAAGCAACTTCTTGCAACACATTTACTGTCTCGTTTACTGTCTCACACGTACTGACCGAGTCTCTCTGGTCTTTCTGCACACTGCGCGGCGTGTCTGTCTCCATGCTGTCTTCCTGGGTGTCGCTTTTCTGGGTAATGTGCCGTGTGCTGTCAATCAAAGCCAGAGCCTCGTCCTGGACCGTCTCACACACGCACAGTAGCAGCTGGGGCAGCTGGGTAATCTCTCCTCCTGATCAACAATTCAATTTAATTGAGGTTCAGCGTCATACACAGAAAAAGTGTTCAACCTGTTAAAGCCCAAAACCTAAACTTGTTTTTGTTCTAAGTAGGTTAATCTGGCTCTTGCATGCGGCACAATATACAATTACACAGTACATCCTGCGCATAACTTTCCAATGTCCAATACATGGCTGATGTATTTTGACCACATTCTCCTCTGTATGTAAACTGGATGCTCCTAATCCTGGGAAGCACATACATAAGCAGTATCCTCACCAAACACAAGGCTGATGTCTGTCCCGCCACACAGCTTTAACTAAACTGAGAGAAACCACCAGGGGAAAGCTAATCTAGCAAGAATGGCCATTCATCTGTTTGTTTAACCGGCCAGGCCAGCATTCCCTGCATGCACATCCAGCAGTAAAGTGAATCAGGACCTTCTCTGTATAAAAGCTAGATAACCTTTTTAGTGAAGGGGCACAGCGGGGTCTACACCACCACCTGTGGACGTAGAGCCCGTTTCACCCATTTCTCCTGCTTCACTCGCGCTGTTGTGTTTAGTTCTGCCTCGGTGATGTAGTACGCTGGGAGTGCTGGACCGAGGGCTGTCAATCACGCGCACTCATCAATATTAGACCACACATAAGCAGTTCTCAGGTATTTCTGATCAGCGCTTTGAAAACCATGTTTCATTATTTGCCTAACTTTTACTCTGTTAAACATTTAAAAATAAAACTCAATTTTAATATCATACAAACATTGTAATATTTTACTGTGTCCCAGGGGCTTTAGGGCAATTTAAATAGACTGGTAACCTTGTACAAAAAACTGTGATTACCTATTTCTGTCTCTTACGCACGCACACTTACCGTTAAGGCCCTGAATGTGTAGGGCAGATATTAGAGCTGAGAAGAGCTTTGCTTTGGTTCTCTCCATCAGCTGCTGATCTGCTTGGAGAACATTCTCCAGCATCAGAGAGAGAGGAGGCAACAGAGCAGGAGCTGAAACCAGCACACTGAAAGAGAGAGAGAGAGATTGAAACATTAAGTCTTGGCCTCACATATTAGAGGTGGCAAAAATGGGACATCGCAACAGACAATGTCACAATATTTAAATTAAAATAAAAAACTTAAAATTATGAACCCAATGATTTGTGTTCAACATGTTACATAGTTTGCTACAGTAATTCCAGTTAAACAGTTTAGTCAAAAGTGTTTTTTTGAGTACTGATGATAAATACTGACGTACTGCCCCGCCCTCACACGCACCTCTTCCATTGCTTGAGCAGGATGAGCAGCAGGGTGGCCATCATGGAGCCCAGACGCAGACACGCTACAGACTGAGGCATCAGCAACTAAGACACACAGACATACATACATTAGTCTACGGCTGTTTTTACACTGTAAAACTTTCAACGTTGTGAAATTTAGTTTAATGTAGGTTTCGAGCAACTGAACCACATAATGAGGAGGACTGCAACTCATTTGAAACTCGGGCACAACAAGAGTCTCAACTTTGATGAATGACTTTTATTAAACAGCCAATCATTATGGCCATACTGCATCACATGATCATATCAAACAATGCCATTTTACCAGATTAACAGGCAAGAAAACACGGAAAGATGGTTTAATGGGTGGTTGGAACAGAGATCCGTCTGACGTTACGTACAGTTGGCTATTTTTCATTTTGTCAGTTTCCTGAACTTTCCAAGCTGCATTAACCAGCCAGCTGCTTGTGCCAGCATTTATTCTTCTTTAGCCTGCTGTTATCCTGATCTACACAGCTGGATTCGTTTTCTCCTCACTTGACGTCCCCTAATTTTAGAGAGCTCAGATTCATTTGGAAAGCATGAAAATGATTACAACAGAGGATACAGAAACATGCTCTTCGATAAACTTGTAGCACTTCTGTAATGCTTGAACATTAATTTCAAAGGCTTAACATGCAGACAAGATTTAAGAGTCAAATATACAGTAAATGATCACAGATGTATGGATAACGAAAAAGAACGTCAATGACAGCTGAAGAAATCGTACGAAGGCGGTGTATCAAAATACGAGCTGCTAATTTAGCTAAACTAGTGGAGTAACTGAACGTGTTGCGTCCAACTTTGTTTTTGAACTGCTTTATGTAACCATCAAGTTGCACGGAAGTTATGCTGCATGCAGTTCACAACATGCAACTATTTGCACCAGGTAATGCCAGCCTAAGGATGTGTCCATCAGTGTCCAACAGTTACTTACACATTACTCTGTGTTTACGTGGAGGTTAGACAGTGAGACTTACTGCTGCTTTGGTTCCCTCTAGAACATCCATGAACAGCTTCAGTCTAACAGCGTCTTCCTTCAGCTGCATAACATCAGACTGCACACATGCACAAACACCCAGTTTAGAACAATCAAGACAAACACGGCCAGTGAGCAGTATGTGTAACAGTGAGATACGTATAACAGCGTACCAGTAGCATATACTAAGGTAATACTGTTCAATAAGAATGTGTAATTGCCTTCATACTGTGTCGTTTAATACAGTATATTACAGTGTAATATAGCGTAGTTCATTATAGTGTTCACACGTGACTGAGTGAGCACGAGAGTATAGTCTTTTACATGGAGCAACGCTTGGTACTGTGTCAACGTGCTTCATTACATCATGTGGCTGATGCATAGTATGAGATTCTGTAGGGCATTTGGTTCTAACATCCAAGTATGGCACTTCTAGATAATAAATGTAAAGAGAACTTAAGGCAAGGAGAAAATAGTGTCAGACAATAAATAGAAAAAAACAATTAAAAACATACTTAAAACATGACAAACAACACATTTAAAAGATAAAAAAAATTAAAATCTAATTAGAAATTAAATCAGGACAGTTAAATAATCAAATTAAAATTTTTAAAATATAGACTCGGATAAAAAAGTGCCGTTACAGAGGAAAAGGGGCTAGAAACGCTGACAGTGTTTAAACTGAGCTGAAAGCTGCTCAAACAGGAACGTTTTGAGTCTGGATTTAAAGTGTCCAGTGTCGGGGCTCTTCTAATGCTCCCGGTCAACTGGTTCCATTTAAGAGCAGCATAGTTGCTAAATGCTGCTTCTCCATGTTTAATCTTTACCTTCTGCAGGACTAACGACTAGTTCCTAAAGCTTGGCATGTGGCTTTTATTGTCTATATTACTTATATTCCACTACTGCATAAACAGTATGTATTTTATGGGTATAGTGAACTCACATGGCTGGTGGAGAGTATGAGTGTCAGTAGCATTCAAAAGTTTGGAATTTTAAATGAATTTAAAATTTAGATTTTTCAAAAAAACATATGAAATATATTCAAATAGGTGCTACTACGCTACACCCTCAACAATTTCTAATTAGTAGGAAGCAGGAAGCAAATCTGAGGCAGATAACCTATCAAGAAATATAAATGTACTCATGTGGATAATGGAGAGTATGAATGTGTATGAATATAAATGACTCACGTGGCTGGTGGAGAGTATAAGCAGGGTCCGCCAGGCCGAGATGAGCATCTGAGACTCCGACAGTGACCTCATCCCCCCGTCCTCTCCCTCACAGGCAGCACAAACCAGCTCCCTCACATACTGAGACCAGAATTCATACCGGCGCTGGGAGCTCAGCCGCTGCAGCGCTGCCTTTAGAGAGCCCTCCAGCTGACCACTGCAACACACACAGAGTTGTACATCTCTGACCTCAAAATCACTGTCAATGATTTCTTTCTTTAAAATGATCAAAGGCGTTATGGAATCTCACATTTCAGCACATTTCAATTTGAATAGGCAGTTAAACTACACAATCATTTTGTGTGTGTGTAAGATTTCATTTTTATGCCATTTTTATGTTTGAGTATTAAGGCTGTTACACACAGAACGCGATGCGAATAAGCAAGAAAATGCAAAATATTTGGACAGTTTTTCCCACATTAAAACAAAGCACACACAGGATGTGATGTGGTTCAATACAATTATTGTGTCTGATGAGCAGGATATTCATTATACACATGCTCAAATCAATTTATTGTGGTCTGTATAAATCGCGCTGGGTGTGTCGGGTCCTTTATGTGTCTAATAATATCTCACCTGACAACATAGTAGATCTCAAGGCCTATAATCTTCATCACAAAGGCACAAGACTCCAAAACACACGGCTAAACAGAACAGAAATGCAAGATTAATTACCAGATATTTATTAGACAACATAAGCAATGTTAGTTGTGGTAAAGACGTACTACAATATTAAAGTCATGCAATGGGATGTTTTGTGCATAGATTAGCACTGCCCAGCTTAGATATAGTCATTTCAGATGGAACTTAATGACACAAAGCACCCACATGCTAGGCTTACACAAAAAATAAATCTGGTATTAGAACAGGTGCTCTGCGTTGGTATATAACCTGAGGTAATGCATCTCTAATGTCTGTATTAGAGGACGATCCTTCAAAATTAACAGGAGCCCATTAATGAACCCACCTCGGTGGTCTCTGACGGTGGGGGCAGGGTCCCAAAGAGAGGCGTGGTCAGATTGTCCCAGAACTTCTCCCTGAAGAGAAAGACAAGTGGGGCAGTGTTTGTGTGAGCATCTATGAGTGTGTGTGTGTGTGTGTGTGTGTGTGTACAAGTACGTAAAGCATGTCAAACTGAGCTCCTTCCAGGCTACAGCTTTGCACAGTTTATCACTGCGTCTCATTAAACACATGTAATTCAACTGATCAGCCAACTGAGGCCTCACGAATTGAATTCAGGATGTTAGAAGAGGGAAAACGCTCATCTCTGCAGAGCTGCGCCCCAGAAGGAATCCAGTTTGACACACCTGGTTTATGTACTGTTACCCTGCATTCGCACTGGCAGTCATTTATTTTCAATGAGAGCTGGCGACTTCCAGTTACAGGAGGCAGCGCAAACGTTGCTGACGCGAAGTGGGAGGAGTCAGCGATGCGACAAAGCTGAGCAGAGTTCCACTGTATGCAAATAAGGAGCGAAGCGACGTGACTACCGATAGGAATTGAGCACTTGGTAGCGTAGTACGCGCTTCATCTCGGCCACTGTGAAACAGTACGCTCCGTTTTTTTTTCCCTAGATAATTGTTCCTACTAGAGATGGAATAATGGCGTCGTGCTTTCACTGCAAACACACAGAAATGGCAAAGACCAAATACTGTTTTCCTCACAAACTGACTGCACAGACAGGGATTAAATAAAAAAATAAGCACACGAGTGATTTCTCACCAGGATGTTAATTTTAGCAGGAACGCATCTGATTTGTGCTTGGTGTCAGTGAAACCATGGCAACCAACAGTCAGTTGGAGGTTCAGAAACGCCCACAGGTGATGAGTGACCAGCGTTTGGGTGACAAGAGGCGAAAAGTCGCTGCCGGTGTGAACGCAGGGTTACTCTCCCCTGTAGTTAGTGGCAGCTGTACACAATTTGAGGCCTATTAAGCCACGTCCCACTCACTTGGTGCGGAGCACAGACAGTGCGCTGTCTCTGCGGTCCTGCCACAGGGCGTGCAGGAATGCCAGTGCAGCTCTCTGCAACAGAGGGGGACACCAGTATTGCCCCTGCAGCTCACAGTCCAACAGCTCCAGGACCACGGCCAGACAGCTCCACTCACCCAGAGAAAACTCCTACACACACACACACACATATCCATATATATGAATGAACAAAGAGAAAAACAGACATACAGAAATCTAAAGGTTAGAAGCACCCAAACAAAAGGAAACGCTGCAGTATTAATGTACAGAATCTGTATCCAAATAGATGCAACTGACTAACCTGCTTTTCAGTCAAACAATATCTATAGCATCATCTAGAAATGGGTTAGAGGAGGAGGAGGGATAACATACAGTCCTAATGACTCACCTTTGCCCCTTCACTGCCATCTTTGGTCTCGAGGTTGAGGAAGAGCTCGATGAGTCCAGGCTGTGTTTCCACTGCAACAGTGAGGAACTCGAGGATGGTGACTTTAATACGCAGGTCGACTGTCTTGCTCTGCAGTCGAGTGAGGAACGCGTCCCTGATTGCTGCAGCGTCGCTGCCCAGACACGCATACACAGACATGGGAGCCACCTGCACAGAACACACAGAGAACTCAGTGATTTGAGTGGAATTCAACAAATGAAGTACGAGTACATCGGCCAAAAATGAGATCAGTGACTGACAACAATAACCAGGAGCTTACTGCTCTACCTTATCAATATAGTACTTAATTATTAGCTATCACTACAGTAAAAACCATCCACGTTTGGAGCACCGGCTTGTCGGAAAAAGACATCTGAAGCAGACTGTTCAGTTCCCTCATACGAGAACAAATTTTTAATTAGCATTATTCAGCTTACTAAAGATGTGTGAAATATTTCCAAACATACCCTTACAGTTTCTAAACTCTGAAGCCAAGATATGTGTTGTTTTGTTTATTTATGGTTAGTATTGCCATGCTCTTCTGGGTGATTGGCAATGATCGTGTGTTTGTTTGTGTGAATTTCTGGCCAGGAACGTTTTTCTACATTCAAATGTAAAATTCTTTTCATTAAATTCTTTAAATTTCCAAATGTTTACTCTTTGACAGCCTTTGTGCTCTAATGAGGATAATTCTGGAGGAAAAAAAAAAAAGGAAGGAAAACTAGTGCAGATCATTTAAAAAGATAAACAATTCAGCAATCAATGAGTAAAAATAAGAGAGCTGACTGTCGACCATTACCGAGGCGAGTCTCTTCAGCAGCTGGACGGCGAGTCTCGGCAGTGCTGGATCGTGCTTGTGGTAAATATATTTAGCCAAAACCGCTATCAGGTTGTTGCCGTGCCCACCTGGAATTAAAAATGTTTTTTACAGATGGGAAAGATTTACAGTAAGGATTCCAACACACCAATATGATCTTATTACTTTAGGATACGATGTTAAAAGATGACAACACTGTTACTGTGTGACAAAATATTTTGTATTTCTAATCCTTATTATAACAACTACTTTATTTACAGATCACTTTTCATACCAATGGCAGCTCAAAGTGCTTTACAGACAAGTTATGGAAGAAATTTAATTTCCTTCTAATTACAGTTACTGTTCAGTAACAGCAAAGTATGGAAAAAAAAGAATTAAAATTAAGAGTATTCGTTTAAAATCCTACAAAGCAATGATAGACCAAATTTTAAAAAGATAAATACAAAAAACAAAGGTAGAAAATTAATCAAAAGCTAAATTATAGAGATACAAACTTTTAAGAAATTTCTAAATGTATCAGGTGTGACTGCCTAATAAAAGGTGGAACTGTTTAGATACATAAACAGAAAAGGCCAATGGGTGCACAAATAAACATGTTTCTTGGGTGAAAGGCAAAAACATTCATTATTATCAGTGATGCAAAATAAGGTCAACACACTGCAGAAAAAAGCGCCTGTGTGTTTTCTCACCGTGCTGTGTGAGAGCCTGCTCCAGAGGAGAAACCGTGTCCGACTGCGGTTTCAGTCTGATGACGTTATTGGTGACTGAAAAGGCCAATTTCACCGTCTGAATTAACACCTGCCCAGGACCTTCACAGCTACCACTACTGAAAGACAAAGACAGACAAACAGACAGAGAGAAGCGGAGTTGAACAAAAATGGCAAAAAGAACGAAAACAAAGCGAGCGCACACACATACTCCCTCCTACCTGCTGGGCTGAGCTGCCAGTACCACGCTGATGGTGTCCACTCCGACGCCCATGATGTTGACCACAGCCTGACCTGCCTCAGTGTTGGCCAGGCTGTAGATACAGAGAGACTGCAGACTGGGAGTGCTGCGGGGTCACACACAGAGGTTATCAGGGACCAAACTCTCATATAGACATTAATATAAAAGGTGTAAGACTCATGAATACTAAGCAATTATTATTTACTAGCCAATCACATAATAGTTGCATATAAATCATTCCCTTTTCTAAAAATCACAGGGGGAACTAATGAACTGAATCGTGAAAATAATTAAGGTGGTTGAACCTAAGACAGTGCTGAGATAATCCAAACTGTAACAGAGAATTTAAAAAAGTGATGCCACTTTTTTTTTTTATTATGGTGATCATCATGGGTTTCCATACCTGCCCTCTGACTCCCCCTCAGGACTCAGGTTGAGAATAGCATGGACCAACTCCAAAATCAGACAACCTGAGAGAGTTAATTCAGTAAATGTTAAGTACTGCATAAATATAAAAATAACCATACTGTGCATGTGTGTACGCACACCGTGTTGTTTCGATACTTGCTTACAAGGGCGTGGCCGATACAGTCACCAACTCTCACAGTTGAAAAATTTGGATAACCGATAAAATTGGCCAATATAATTGTAGTTTAGATTGCAATTAAGTGCCCGAATAATCTTGGTTAAACAGTGCTTTACTGACTAATAGCAGACATGAAGTCATGAGCAGTGGAAAAAGGTGACGAGTTCAGAAAACAAACTCCTATGGCAGAGTTTGGCGGCATCATCCCTAGGATACAAGTCATGGCCAACTTTTGTACTGTTTTCGAGGCATTTTTAAATAACTTGCCTACCATATGAAGGTTAAAAGGTCTTTGTGTACAAAATCTGGCAGGAATCTTCTTTTGAAACCCCACATCTATTATAAACAGAGGCCATTCAAAAAACTTTGCCCATCATAAGTTCTGTTAAAAGGCCAATACTTTTCCATACAGGCACACAGTGCTTGGACCCCGATGATTGCCACTCGTAATATAATCTCATAAGATTACAGACAGGACAGTACAAAGGAACGAACGCATTGAAGTAACATCAAAAGTAACATCAAAAAAAGGTGGAAACTGAAGGATCCGCGGTATTATATGCTTTGTGTAATATGTTCAGTATTACGTGTTATGTATGTGATCTTTGTGTGTTTTATGTGGGCTGTACCTCAGAGGACAATGGAAGGACAGAGTGAACAGTTATTCCTGGCTGTCTTTGTATAATTTAAGAACAGCTGTTGCTTCTGTACCTAACTGGGCAGTGGTCCAGAAGGCTATGTGCCTGAGCCAGCCTACATAAACAAGGCCATTTTCTATGTTGAGTGGGTCAGCATGGCATCTGTGAACTGTGCGCCCAACAAGAATATGAAGATCAATGGTTCTGATGAAGGAGGAGGGGTCTAAGATAATTGTATTGCTTGCTAAAATTAATCATTTACACCTATTACCTTTTTGCCCACCGTTCAAAAGCTCCTAAAGAGAGAAAACCAGTAACTTAGTTGAGGCCTCTTTTAAAAAAATAAATAAATAAATAAAAACCCACCCTCTCCTGGTTCGCTGAATAATAACTGAGTTACTACTGAGAGGAGAAAGTTGTTAATTTGTTAATTATCAGCGTGTTATCAATAATGCTGACAGGATCGGTACACTGGCTGAGCCCTACTGCTCAAAGATAATTAAAGCAGCAGTCATAAGCAGTATAATCCTGTTTAATGTAAATACAGGTACATGAATGTTTTGTAGTCTCAACAGAATGAGGCGGGTGCGTATCTCACCAATCTTCTCTCGGACTCCGTGTGTGTTATAGCGCCACTTGTGGTACGAGGGCAGCATCTCCTTCAGCACCAGGAGCACACAGGGAATCAGCCCTTTGCTCTGAGTGCTGCCCACCTGACCCTACACACAAAACACACACAAAACGTGATTTCCAAAAAGCACAAATCGCTGAAACGTTTTTGTGAGAGTGTGTGTGCGTTCGTTACCTTGACGAGTGTGGTGACCAGTCTCAAGAAGGCAACTGTCACGGCATATTCTCCTCGGGGCTGCTCAAACAGCACCAGCAGGTTGCCATAGTTACCAGCTTTCATTCCCTCGGCGCTGTCAGGGACATAGAAAACAACATCACGTCACATAAAGACGTGTGGTTTGCTGCACAGAGAAACTACTACTTTGTCCCGATTCAAAAGTAAAGCCTATGCTCACTGTGCCCGACACCTTTACATTCACAGAAGCCAGGACAGAGACGCACCAGGTGGATGAGTTCATAAACACTCATTCACATCAAAAATCCTGCTAAAGAAATCTGACTAAACCTCAGCTGCAAAACTAAAGAAACTGTGCACAAACAGCAAATTCTACCTCGATATTTAGAAGGAAAACATCTTGTGCACATTAAAGTTGAATATTTTCAGGATGAAGTTGTAATAAAGTGAAAACAGCTGCTACAAGACGAAACATTCAGAGACTAAACTAGTGCTACTTACACAATATATAAATATTAAATAATTTCATCTTAAAATTATAGAGAATAAGTTAATATTTCAATGATTAAGTTCTACTAAATAAGTCATAAGTTTATAAATAAAAAAACTTAGAGAATAAATAGGCAGAACTATGATATGATATTTAAGTATCTGTATGATCTTAAAGGGGAATTCCTCAGATTTTTCTAAATTTCTGCATAATTCAATCACTGAGATTTAAACAGTCATTCAGAGTGGTTTGATGTGATGTTCTTCATTGAGCTTTTCACGCAAATGCTAAAGTAATGGTAAGTCCTAGAAATGTAGTTTTTTGGGGACCTCTCCACAGTGAATAGATTGGGAAAAACTTACCAGTCCAAAAGCGTATCACAAAACAGAAGCAGGCAAAACTGTCATAGCCATCTTGCTTATCGCTGACTGTGAGGGAGCTTTTACGGGTGGACGTCTGGTTCCTATCACCACCACTGTGAACAGTTCTGACTCAGCAAATTTCTCAAGAACAGCGTTTCACACCAAACCACTCTGAATGACTTTGTTTACATCTTAATCATTTAATTATGCAGAAATAATTGGTGGAATTCAAGTTACGAACAGAACAACCAATACATGTCTGAGATAAGCACAAGGCTGGGCACAGGTGGGTCTGTACTGTTCAAATCAAGAAGGAAGCAATAACTATGCAGACAGTGAAAGAGCTAACAAAGACAGAACATACTGCATCAGTCAAGCAACATAAAAGAAAAAAACACCTTGCTGATTAACTTCCTCATACTGAGAGCTAACTGGACGTCTGATCTTCCCTCACTGTTTGACACATTACTACATCAGGGTGCAACGCAGCAAAGGGCTCAAGTCAGTGTCTGTTAGACGTCTCATACCTGTTTAACTGAACGTGTGTATAGAGATTGTTACCTTATGGTCTGTGCCATGGTCGTTAGGGGGACGGATGCAAAGGGCAGGAACCCCGTGTGCTGCAGGCTGGACCAAACCTGCACAAACAGCGCAAAGGCTTTAAGTCAGTTCTGTGCTGTATTAATATATAAACTGATTAATCAGTCACTCTGATTAATCTCTTTAGCTCCACCTACCTTTGCAGGTTGCCGTGTAGCGAGAACAATGAGGCAGTTGACACAGGAAGCGATCACATCCACTGGGGGGTTTATGACAGACGTCAACCTGAAATGCAACAATGATTCATCAATCAAATCTCAACCAATTAAATATACACACACACACACACACACACACACACACACACACACACGTATACATATATATGTATATATTTTTTTTGTTTTTTCCCCCTCCGTGTCTGTAAACAAGATCACTGATACATTTTGGGAAAGTCTGGGACAAAATCTAAAGCTAGAGCTGGGCATATCGTACCTTGTATGTCCATTTCTGTCATTTTTCATTTTTTGACATAATATGAAAATGCCTGTTGCTCTTTATATTGTGTGTAAATTTCATGATATCTGGACCAAAAGAAACGGCCCAAAATGACTTGGAAAAACGTTTGGTTCCATTGACTTACATGTGAAGTAGATCTTTTCCTTCTCTTTAAAAAAAAAATACTATTTTGGAGATACGAGGTTTTGTTCCGATGGCAGCGATATTTTTAGTCCTGTTTAGCTTGATTTAATAAGAGTACATTGTGAAGTGTTTAATTAAAATCATTGTACAGAGGGTCTTGATGGCTTTTAAAAGTGGCACTACTAGTACATTATTTGTGTCAGAATATTGTGATGCATGTCGTGACAATGACTTTAAGAACTGTGATCGCCGACCCCATCTACTTTTGAAACCAGGAAACAAGACCAACACAACAATTTTTGAGCAACTGATTTTTGTCAGATATTATTTTTTACTACCTTTTTTCTGCCCAGTGTTTTCAGAGTTTAGGTGAGTATAATAGTGAAAGGCTTTGCCGAACTGTGGTATTTAAACATGCACAAAGGCTGCATGCAGAGAAAAAGCGAAATGGCTGCTTAAAGAGTCAGAATATGTCGCCTCACCTCTGAAGCAGCATGTAGATTCGTGAAGTTAGAGGCAGCAAGCAGTCAGAAACCGTCCAGTCAGTACTGATGATTTTATGGACAAGGTCCAGTATGGGCTTCACTCTCTCACAATGGGCCAACACATCTAATAAAAAATACAAACAAAAAACACTCCAAGTACGTACATGTGTAACCAGTGGATTAAATGTTTTCATGTTGGGCGCATGAACATTATGGCACAAAGTATAACCGGTTTGATATACATATAAGCACTATGTGTATATAGAGAACACTGTGCATGTGTTGTGTGTACCTGCAGTGGAGACCACATGCAGCAGCATCTCTATCTCACAGGTGAAGAGGGTCCAGGAGCTGTAGGAGTAATCCCACCGCACCACATATCCCTGCTCCCCCACACACACCTGCCCGTAACACCCTTGAGGCATCCGCAGGTTAGTCTGACCCGCACCTGCACAGAAACAGAGACTGAGTCAGACACACAGAAGATATCTGAAGTTTTACAAACTGGTGGTGCATCAATCTGAAGGTGCCGAATCAACTGCGAACATTAAGGAATATTTTATTCAATTACAATTAACCATCTAATTAATCAATTAAGTAATAGCCAAAACGAACTGAAGTGTTTTTATAGCCAATATTACGCTACTTTGTAACAGTACCTTCAGTTACATTTATGTATTTAGTGCATTTTTACAAATGATTGTGAATAATGCCAGAATAATCAAATCAAACCAAACCAAAACAATGAAATGACCACCTCATCAAATCACTTTTCACATCATTGCTTCATGATTAAAACAAACACACAACAGAAACTTAACATCCCTTATCCACCATAAGCACATGCACAACCTCCCTACAACCTCAAAAAAAAACAAAAAACCCTCAACTGACCCAGAGGATAGAGGAGTTTGGGTGCCAGTCTCCTCCACAGCGTCTCATCCTCTCTGGACAGCACGTCGTTGGGTTTGTTTTTGTACACCTCTGTGTAGAAAGACATTTTATCCAGAAACGTGTACACCTGAGAACGAGAGAGCAAGAGCTTAGTGTAACAGCCTGAAAGTATGTAAACATTAATACAGTAAAACTTAACAGGAATGTTTCGTTTTTAAAAGATTATTATGATGAACATGCTGGTTAGAAAAATACAGTTGGTAAAACACAGGTTGCTGACCAAGCCAGCCATCACAGGGATTTGTTTAACTCAACCAGCAGCACCTGATTTAATTTAATGAAGGACTGATTAGATAAACTAAGAATTGGATGATGACTCTAAATACTGGACCTCTTTAAGGAGAGCTTGAGAAACGATTAAGATAATAAACTCAAACCAAATGTCTGCTACTCGACCAGAGCCTGATGGGGCTTGATAAAATATCATGCTCCAGGCCAGGCTCGGGCTCGGATCTGTTCTCTTTCGGGAGATTTTTTTTACATTTATTTATGTAGCAGATTTGAAAACTGTGTGCACTGCACACCTTTTCTCTCTTGAGGCCTCTCGGTCTCTGACTACTTTAGTTTACAACTGCATTCAGAACAGCTCTGAAGTAACACTGTGAATAAAGCTGAGCAGTAATCAGTCACGGACACTCCACAGATGATGAGAGGGATTGTGTTGGGCTGGTGGAAAGATGTTCTGCTTGCTTGACAAGCACACCTAAAGCGTGTAAGGGTTCCTGAAAGTAGCTGCAGTAGTGAACGGAGGACCTATTTAACAGTTTATTAGGGGCAGGTGGACGCAGTTATCTGCCAGGCATGGTCGGCAATTCCATAAATTTTACTGATAAAAACTGTTGGCATATTACAGATGTGCAAAATACCAGTTGATTCCAGCCACTGAAGCGCTTATTAACAAAGCAAATTGCTGTACAACTGTATCTGAGATAACTCTTCTCTGTTAGTGCTTCTAAGCTCAAGTTAGCTTCATGTTTGACTGTTGCGTTCCACCTTAAATGGAACCTCCAGATGTAACTGCTGCACCATTTAAGCTGGAACAGAAATTCTGACTAAGATGGTGGTGAATAAGAAGCCAAATTCAGCCTCATACGTCAAAGCAGGTTCGGGTCGGGTCTCAAATTTAGCAGTATAATTTGGGCCTGATCAGGTCAGCTTCAGTCTCCACACAGAACAATCACAATAGATGTATTTGTTTATTTGTATTAATTCAAATGTTAGTAAAGCAGAGATAAATGGCAGACATTGGCACAGTACTGTATGTCTGTAGTAGCTGAATGTGATCCAGTGTGAATAGGCATGTTGTGTGTTTACTGGGTGTGAATGTGTGTATGAAGTATGGAATCATGTAATATAATCACGTGATTGGAAGTGACCATCAAAGTGAGGTATGAGCACAGCGGGTGTGTGTGTACCCTTTTAGCAGTAGATTTGTCAGACAGTAGGGCTGTAAGTAACTGCAACAACGGCCCAGTTTTGTGAGGAAAGACCCCCACCGCAGAGTCCAGGATCATCTCCAGACCCACATTAGGCTTCTGCAGGTCACAAACATACACAGGGTTAGAGATCAAATCAGACAGGACGCTGATGTTTTAGTGTTTATTACATTTGTTTGACACTCACTGACTCCCAGAAGAGCTCGGCTAGACTTGGGGCTGCGAGGACCTCACAGGCAGCGTTGATCAGATGCTGGATACAATGAAACAAAAGATACACAGTTCAGGAAAAAAAGGACAATTAGACAAACGTAGAGAGGAACGGAAAGAAGGAAGAGACTCTAAAACTCCCTTATCACTTAAGCTGTCTGAGTTTTGAACGTCATGTTGGTGAATTTACCACTCAAAGCAATATTTCAGTTTCAGTTCTAATAACACCAGAGAAAAGGAACAGCAAAGTGCAGTTAATAAATCAAACAGGTCTGAACACAATCTGAGTAAAAGGTGCTGTGGAGATGAGTGCAGTACCTGCTGGCTGCCCAAAGTGTCCTCTTCAAAGGAGGTGACCACGAATGAGAGGAGACCATAGATACACATTCGCGCAGTACTGGCAGTGCACTAGAGAGAAAGAAAGGGAGAGAGAGAGAGAGAGAGAGAGAAAGAAGAAAAAGTGTCAAACAAAACCAGAAGAATAGATTTATTGTAGATATTATTCATATTCAAAGTATAAAGTTCAAAATAATCACATAAACTGACGGTTAAAGATGTACAAGAATCATCAAGAATGTTTAATGCCTCTTCAGCTGGGTGCACACTACACTATTTTTTTGCCCAACGTTAACCCCGATATGCCCCTTGTGACAAATTTTCACAATCTGAAGCGATGTCCCAGGACGGGAGCTCAACTGAAAGTGACTGACAGCGCGGATGATCTGTTAGTGTAAGAGGAGAAACGAGAGAATCTTTAGTCATCCGATGTGAAGAGATCTCTGACCAGAGACCCTCCGATATTATCAAACGTTTGATATTTATGACTCAAAACGTTCGCGAGTCCTGTAGTGTGAGACGGTCAGAGATTTACTCAACTAATTATGCCAACAACAGCCAATCACAGAGCTAGAAGAGCGGAGAAAAAGCCGGAGAGATGTGCATGCACACCGCCTGAACAGCGGAGCACAGAGACAAGAGGAGCTGCATGTAAAGCAGGCGAATACGAGCCGTTATCATGTTTATAATGTGTGGATCCAGACGTCACGTCACTCTCTTTACAGTTTCAGCTCAGCTGCCAGTTTGTTTTGAAATATTTCTCCAGCTCTCACTGTGAAATCAGCATTTCTCAACCCAGTTTTAAGCCCCCGTTTGCACTTTTGCTATGCATAAAAGGGCAAACAGGTCCAGTCCAGTAAGTTTTCTTACACAAACTCGTTATGCGCATTATGCTCTCCCTTTTTCCTTGTCGTCCAATGTGAGCAACTTCACGATAAAGAGAAATTCCGTAACAGAATGACGCTGAGTTTGCGATGCTCTCCGTTTTAGAAATCTGTTAAGATTTTAAAAGTCGTGTAATGAACGCCCAGACTTACAGAAACTTATTACACAAAATGCTCATGAACGCGCTGCCTGATGCCTAAGACAGTTTTGGCCTACAAAACATTTTTAAAACACATTCACGGTGGAGAGGCACATGCAGGGTGTTGTGAAGCATGTCACCTAAGAAACTTTACTTTTTCCTATATAGCACCATCTCATCACCACCACTGTGGACAGTTCTAACTTGGTACGTTTCTCTAGAACAGAGCACTTCACATCAAACCACTGAAAGATTACATCTCAATGATTTAACTGAAAAAATTGGCTGGAATTCCCCTTTAAGGTTACTGTATTTTTTTTTTTCTTTTTAAAATTTTACCCAATTATCTCCCCAATTTAGTCGTAGCCAATTCCACCTGCTAGTTAGGAGTCCCCCAATCACATGATGCTATCAACGCTAGGAGGGTGAAGGCTAACACAGGCTTCCTCTGAGACCTGCGAAACCAGCCACCGCATCTTTTCGAACTGCCGCACACGCAACGTCATTGGACAGCTGAACGGGCTCGGAGGAAAGCGCCAACCGCCAGATCTGTTACGTCAGCTAACAGACGCCTGCGCTGACTAGCATCGCGCTGAGTGATGGGGGGGGAGGAGGGGCCATCCCACCCACCCAGAGAGAGCGAGGCCAATTGTGCTCTCTCAGACTCCCGGCTACGGACGGCTGTAGCATCACCAGGGATCGAACTCGTGATCTCCTGATGATAAGGCCAACGCTTAGACGGTTTCGCCACTCGGGAGCCTAAGGTTACTGTTTGATAGCCAGCCCCTCTGAGTCCTCACTAAACCTTTCAGCGTGTGGTGTTCTTACGTTGTTGTCTGTGTTGCCAAGGGCTTGCAGCATGTCTGTGAGGTACTGGAACACTCCCAGCTGGAGCGTCGTTTGGCCGAGCCTTCTGACAACCGGACCAGCTTCCACAGGCTGGAGCGTATGTCTGAGAAGGACCCAGGCCAGCAGAACCGGGCCGTGGTGGGAGATATCACCAAACGTCAGCAACATCTGATCCATCTCCTACACAGAGAGAGAGAAAGAAAGTTGTTAATCAGATGATTGATGTATGAGGAGCTTGGCAATAAGCTGAGGTTTCACTACTAAACTGACTGTCAAAGCAGAGAAGCTACTAAACTAGGTAATGTGTTGCTTCTCCAAGTCTGGAATTGGGCTTATGGACACTGAATGAAAGGAGATCATCAGCTTCTTCCTCTGTACTATGATTAGTTGTTTTTATGATGTTACAATCAGTGGTCGAGTTGTAAACAGATTTCAGGGAGGTGGTGGGTTCAACCCAGAACGCTTCATAGTATATTGGGGTCTCTCTATGTTAGTCCTTTGATTAGCACTTTATTCCTTGTAATAAGACTTTACACAGCAACATTTGGAATATCAGGCATGATGTTAACACATCCAAGCAATGTTAGCAACTAGGGATCGACTGATTAGTATCAGTCCGACGTTCAGCATTTTTCAGATTACTGGAATCAGCATATAAACTTGCTTCCTTGCCAATAAAATCACCTTTTGTGATTTATACTCATATCTGATGCAGCCATGATCAATAAAACACACTTGGCCCAATGTCCCACCTACAGTGTTACTGGATTCCTTGAGATGTGGATGAACACAACCATTTATACTCCTCTCCTACAACAGCATTTACGAACTAGACAATTTGGTGGGAAAACCACAAACCAGGCAAACCTGGTAGTGGGCTGTTGTACCAAACACTTCACGGCAAAATCAATGAAAAGCAAAAGAGCATGACTTTACTTAAGCACCACTTCTGTAAGGGTGCGTGATTTGCCCGGATCAGAACCCTGACATGAACTCCTGTAGTGTGCAAATCTCATATGGATGTAACGAAAATAGCGACTACAAAACTCTTAAGTGACATCATATTAATTAAAAGTGGATGGAAACTTGGTGGGTTGGGGTCGCTTGTTTCACAAGGTGGTTCTTTTGTTGACTGGGGGAACAGCATCTCCTCACACCCCCCCTTCAAATCGGGCCCCAATTATAATGCTTTGAGTGGTGACTAATCATTGGGACAGTCTGTCTCCATTCTCCATATAAATTTATTCTATACACACACATTAATCATTTTCTCTTAATCCCCTGCTAACAGTTTGTTAACATGACAAAATTTTAACACAGAACAAACCTAATAACCAGTATGTGCTCATAGCCACACTTACAGCTCCATGAAGACAGGTCAGACGACTCTGCTCCTGTATTAAGTTTGGCTGGTGTATGACTCGTCAGTATTACCTTGTTGATGTCGGGAGTGTTGCTGAGTTGGTGTTGTTCTGTTCGATCCTCCAGAGCACATTTATGCAAAAAGTCAATATCCATCCCCTCGACTAGAATCAGGCAGCTGAAATACCTGCAGACACACAGGACACAGTCAGCCAACGTGCTTATATATGTGGACATTACATGACAACGGACTAGCCTGTAAGATTTCTTAATTTGGCTGTTGGTTTATCCTGGTTTGTGTTTGTCAGCAGTTTGTCATAATGTTTATTCTTTAACTATGAGCATGTTTGTTCTAATTCTGCTCCTCTAGCGGATGCATTTTTAAGTCTATATGTAGAGTCAATTCATCTGTGTCCTAACCCGATTCGGTCCACCAATGCGTCCATGCTCTTGTCTACGAGGTGCCTGTTGGTTTGCCGCTGCCCGAAGCCCTGCTCCTTAAACAGCCGAGTAAAGGTTGAAAGGTCACTAGGAGGCATCTCGAAGTAGGCGTAGTACAGGAACAAAACCTCCAGGAGCAAAGCCTGCTCCCTCAGACACTGAGTAAACCACCGAGACACCTGCCTCTCCGTCTACAGACAAGAGGAGAGAAGGAGAGAGAGACAACAGAGTTAGATAAAACACCACAAAACCTGTTCTCCTCCAAGCAGATAGGAAAAACAAAGACTGGATTAGTCTCACCATCAGGTTCCCGTGAGTTTCCCATGTTGGAGCCTCCGCGTTGAATAGAGCTTCAAACTGTTGCTGGTAGTTATTCACTAGGTCCTTCTCCAGTTTACTCACACAGGTAGCGTACTCCGCCTGCACAGACAAACATTCAAACAGCCCGTCATCAAAACAAACTGCTTATTATTCGATTTTTAATTGAATGATGCCTTAACAGGAATTATTCAGTAACTACTATGGAACTCATTTTCTTGCCTCTAATCTTGATCTGAGTCATTCAGTATTCAGCATCTGCCAGAGGGCGTTTATGTTAACACCAGCCACAAGTATTTTCAACAAGCTTCTAATGGTATGCTTTGAAAATCCAGACTCAGAGCTTAAAACCTGCTCACGTTCCATGTGAAACCATTTCCACTGTACTTTGACAGAAGACAGCCAGCTAAAACACAGCTGAAACACTGATACTGCCGTTTTCATTTTCCATTTCCCACACTGTGGACATTTAAACTGCTCTGTTAAAAGGCCTATTTCATGGAAAACTCAACTGTACCCACTTTTTAAAAAGTAAACCAATTTGAAGCGTTTACGTGCACTCAATAATCGGATTTGTGCAGTGACCCGATTACTCAAATGGTCACGTAAACAGCACACTCTGATTTCTTAGATCAGAGTAAGGTCCAGAAATCCGATTAAGAAAAGTGAGCAGCGTCGCCGAGAGACGCAACACTTTTGGAGCGACACTGAAACCAAACACATGTTTGACGAAATGAAGGATGTAAATATTTGTCATCTGTTCTACTGGATGTATGTTCATATTGTCAGGTAAAGTGGCGCAATTTAAAAAGAAAAAAAATGAAGTCTGAGTTTTATTTTACGTTTACGGCTGTAAAGCAGAAATCTGATTACTGTCTGACTCAAGTAGACCCCATTATCTGATTACTCAAGTGCATGTAAATGCGTTGATCGGATTACTGACAAAATCTGATTTTCTGCAGTTATCGGATTATTAAGGGCATTTTAATGCACTCGCTGTTACAGTTTCAAGACACTTTCACTTTCCAGCCCATGCAGTTCATTTATGGAAACTAAAGTATAAAAACAGCCGTTTTTGTGATGCAACAAAAAACAATACATTCACATACCACATATCACACCAACTGTGATAAAGACAAGTTTAAAAAAGGTCTTTTAAAATAAATTAGGACTATTTGGTACATAAAACTTCATAATGTCAAACATGGACTACACAGGAAAAACACAAAACAACAAAAAATACATAAGAAATGGGCCTTTTAACGTCAAAAACGTGCCTTACTGCTGCAAATCATGAATGTCACGAGGGCACTTTTATGACTGAGGCATGAACAGAGCACAACAGGGTAAAACCATCTGAAACAATCAGAATTAGATCAGGCCTAATATGGCTGATACCCATTCCATTAAAACATGTTTGGATCTGACTCTGACATCTTTGGAGCTGGTCAGAACATCTCTAGTCGATGTAGGCGTGAAGAAGGCTGTAGTGCCTTAAGTGACAGAGATCCTTACCCTATAGGGATGCCTCTCATCCTGGAAGTAGGTGAGAAGGAGGAGAACACAGCGCAGGAGACACACCCTCTCCTCATAGTAATAATCGGCTATCTGAAAACCAAACACAGACACAGCAAATTGACATTTTCATTCACAACTTACAGCTAATATAAACCACTACACAGATTATCTGTATCTATATATTAATTGCTCAATTTAAAAAAATACATACTGATAAACCTTTAAAGATTACCTTCTGGGTCAATTTTTATTTATTATCACTATTATATATTATTATTAGTAGTAGTAGTAGTAGTAGTAATAGTATACTTCTCTGTATCTATATATTGCATTTCTCAAGAAAGAAAATAAAAAAAAATATACTGATAAACCTTTAAAGATCAACTCCAGGGTCAATCTTTAACTATTAGGCATAATGGCATTCTGCTAGATGATGTATGGATTTTAAAAAACTGTTTAAGGGTCTAAATACTAAAATTCATGCTGTTATTAGTAAATTTGATTGCAATGTCTACATTTGACCATTTACGAGTTGAGCGGATGCCCAGTCCCAGACCAGCTCAGAGTTTTTAAAAAAAAAGCCTGTTACTGCAGATATTTTTATCTATAAAATGCAACCAAATGAAGCTCTGACAACTGAACATCACTGGTTGCTGTTGCAGACTCTCTTTAACTGGTTTACACTTTATATTTTCCACCAATTAACTAAATTCTGATCTCACTAGATGAGGTAAGCCGTTAGCTAACCGGCTCGTTCAATGATGGAAAACAGGCTTCAAATTCAGACTATTCCAGAAGAGTCACAGTAAAACTGCATATAGAATAAATAATATATTGTCACTGTCCAAAGAAAAACATTTTTTTCTACATTTAATTCCCTACTTCATTTGCGCACGGCAGCTGCCCTTCACATTCTGTGAAAATTTCATAATGACAGGACCAACAGTAATGCTCCAAAGTTGCTTGGGAAAAATATCTTTCCATTAACTTACACTGAAAGTAAATGTTTTTGCTTTCTCCTGTAAAGTTACTATTTTGGAGATTTTCGTTTGGACAGCGACGATATATTACCCGTATGCCTGTTACCATCTTTGCATGTCCGTGTTTAAGCTAGAATTGCCATCAAATGTGATTATACTAGCGGAAACTGCCACTATGCTCGCAGCACAATGCAAGACTGCTTATAAAACAAATTACAAGCTTTCTGCATTAAACTTTGCTATATAATTGTAGATTCGTAACAACATGATTTTGCAACTGTGCTTGTTTCACAACGTGAACAAAACTAAAGAGGTCATGAAATGAAACTGTCCACACTTTATTTTACATGCTTTTAGAGCCATGCTATCGCATTAGCTGCTGCAAATTCGCCTGAAATCAGCACGGTGTGATTTGAGCATTTGTCGCTGGAGTGCATCTTTAAGATGCTTGGAAATACCACGGACATGTCAATACACCTACTTTAAACTGAACTGAACTGAGATAGAGAGACAGAGAGAGAACAAAAGGACGAGGTACCGACAAGCAACGCGCATCAGACAGACAGACATACAGACAGACAGACAAACGTGACCTTGAGCAGTAAGGCCTGGCTCTGTCTCTCGTCCTGCAGCACCGTCTTTAGTGTGTTGCGAGTGCCTCTGTAGTCGTCCTGCAGGTAACACTGCAGAATCTGCACGCTCTGCTGTTCATCCAGACCCTGACAAAAACAAAGCCGGGCTTATATTAACCAAGCTGTAACCAGACACACTCAGAATTAAAGCACCATCACTCTACAGACCAACAGTGTCAGTCCCACCGTGTTATTAAGGAGAAATGTGTGTCGCTCTGCTTACCAGCAATTTGCTGATTCTGAGTCCAAAGTCTTTTAGAGGCTGAGCAACGTTTTTATTTGCCTTCAGCTTGTCTGCTGATGAAGAACTGAGCAAAGAAAAAAAAATAAATAAATCACATCAAAACTGACAGTACTTAGAACAAATACTTAATCATACCAGTTCATCTATACAGAAGAATATGACGTTCAACAGCCAAAAACACTGACACTGCCTCGCAGCATCGGAGCACCTACAGTGATCCATACAGCACAGCAGCACCAAACAAACACAACAGAAAAGCAGCAGGTCTGTGCGAAAGCAGCCCTACTGAAAGACCTATATGATGGAAAACAGAATTTTCCTCACCGTTTTTAAATTAGAGCTTGATGTATTATGAAACAGTATGTAAACACTTGGAAACTAAGCTGCAAAAAGCAGTCTGTTTTGAATCCACTGTTTTCACAAAAACCATTACATGTACATATATCCATCTATTCAATACAGCCAATCACAATAGAGAGCATTTACATTTATTAGCCTTATAGGCACAGTAACAGAAACAGCCAAATTAAATGTAAGGGATAAAGAGAGGTTGGAAAACGGTCACGTAAAAATTAATAATGCCTGTTTTCGTGGATAAAACAACACAAATATTATAAGTGAACTTATTATAAATGAAGAAAAATTACAAGAAAAAAATACAAAGTACAAGAAACGAAGAAAAATTCAAGAAAAATAAAAAAAAACTCAAAATGCAAGAAAAATATAGGAAATGTTCTGTCTTAATGAAGTAGTTTAGGATCATGAAGTTATTACACCCTAGGACACATGGCAGGTGTGATAGATTGTGGATGGAACTACAATCTGTAGGAAGTCAGATCTCCAGGACCAGGGTTGGTGACCACTGTACTATACTGATGTGCCAATCATGAAACATAGCTCAGTGTGATTTTGATTTCTTTACAGCCAAATTGGCTAATTGTTTAGCTGAGTTTTATTAGCCTGTGTGGGCTAAATCAACATATGAAACAAAATAGTACGTTTCCAGTACTTTCTATTGGCCGACACCAGAGGTCGGCAACCCAAATGTTAAAAAGAGCCATTTTTGTCCTTTCAACAAAAATCAAACCACCTTGAGAGCCACAACATTTAATGTCCATTTAACCATCTTGGCTGTAAATATGTACCAGTATAGGATAAAAAAAATGTAAGTTATTATGACATAACTTACTTTGCCCTGCTTTAAGCTTACGCTTTGCTATAGCTGCTATTCTCGCATCTCTGGCAGGAAACCTTTCCCGTTAAGTAGAACAGTTTCTTGTAAAATGTCTCTCAATGTTTAACTTTTTGCGAGGCTGAAGTCGCTTCTCATTCGCCAGCTTCTTGTTCGAATTTTCCCGTTCCACCTTAAATGGTGCCAGGGCCACCAGATTGTAACTGGGAACAGGAAAAATTGATTAAGAATCTGGCGAATGAGAATCTGACTTCATCTTAGCGACTTTTTAGTTTTTGAGTTTCTCATTGCAGATTAAACGTATCAGGAAACCAGCTGGAGTGATTATAAATGCAAATCAGTCCATTCATCTCCAAATTATCGAAGTTCATCTTAAATCTCTCTCTGCCTTTTCATAAGATACTAGCTAGGCTAGTTGTCTGCGCTGCTATAGTGATCAGCAGTCTGCATGCCAACCTTCAGGATTAAGGGTCGGTGAATTAGTAGTAATGCTACATTAACTCCAGCGTTTAAGACGATTTAGTGTTAAACTGTGTTGAACGACCAGCAGAGCTTTATTTTACTGTAAAGGAGGATTATTTTATTTTTACCTACAAATCTAATTCAGCTGTGGAGCCGCAACAGGGCAGTAAAAGAACCACATGTTGCCGTCTCGCTGGCCAACACTCAACATGAACACGATCATTTGCTCTTTAGTAGGCTAAACTGGCATTTTAAGTTCTTAAACAAAAAAAAGTGTTGCCTGTTTAAATAATAGGCATCTAATAAAATGCTTCATCAAAAGTAAGACACATCTGACGGTTTAGCACGAGTCATGCACAACTGCGATATGACATTTTGGTACCAGTGAAGCACAGCGCAAGTGCACTTACCCAGCTCAAGTCATGAAATCGCAACCAAAATCAAAATTACACACGGGCCGATTTCCGATCGCATAGCTGGAGTAAAAATCTGACAGTTTTGATCTTGGCTGATTTAGTGTGCTGTGTTTGCTTACCTAGGTGGTTTGTAGTAGGAAAGGCCCTGCAGCAGCCGCTCTCCATTTCGATCTAATTCTGCTTCTATCTGGGCCTTTTACATTTCACAGCAGAGAAAAATGAGACTGAAGTTTACTAACAACATACCCAACAGTTATGACTGTCAAAGACTGAACTGAATAAGTACTAACAATGTTGAGCAACAGTTAAGGGAATCATGCAGAATATAAAGTACAACATTAGTTTATGTTGGCAAAAGTAAATAGATACCGGCTCCCGCAAGGCGGATCTCCCAAGTAAGATGGTCCATAACTCCTGACTGCTCCTACAATGCCAAACAGAAAGGATTAATGTCCAGCAGGACATACAGTGGCACCAAAAAGTACTTGGACATTTGTGCCACACTTAAAAACGCATTAGGAAACAAAATGTCAAACCAAGTGGCATTCATTATACACAGACCATTATCATTTGAAAAGGTGGCCGTTTCAGATCATCTGAGCAGTTTCTTTGCAGACCTTTGCAGGTTAGCATCCAAAATGTATTTGTACAGTTCTGAGTTAATGATCCCATCAAATAAACACAAGATCAGTGACATCACTGTAAGAAAAACAGCCCTAGACTTAGTGCAGTCTGGTCAGAATTCTCCTCCAAGCTTTCTCCATATTGTCTACCATCAGTTTTATGATGAGCTAAAAGTATTTTTCTCTAAAACTAATATCATTATAAAGCCTTTGACAGAAAGTCATCTAAATAATTAATTAAAACCTACTGATGGTTACATGGTTAAAGCATCCATATACTTTTTGGGGCCACTCCAAGTTCAAAAGTGAAATAATTTTCAAATTATCGTTTTGAAAAACGAGTCACTGAATTGACGGTCCAGGAAACGTTTCAGTTTGCAGCAGCACTTTCTGCTGACAGCTCGTTACACCGACTCAGTTCTATGTAGCTACACAAGTCTGGAAAATTGTGCTTTCTAGTAGTTCAAGTAATAACACTTATTTCTAGTTGGGTATATTAGCACAAAATGCCTCAGCAAGAAACATAACTGGTGCTTACGGAAGTCCATTCCCACCATAAAAAAAACAAAAAAAACAATACCTAATTATTATTTTTTCATTATAAAGTGAACGGCTATGCCATTATTTTGAGATACTTTATTCTGAGACACTAGTCATGTATATTTAGATAGTATTCTGAGTATTCTGAGATGCTAAGTCATTATTTTGAGATACTTGCTAATTACTTTGAGTTGTTTTCTCATTACATAAAAAAACCTCATTATTTAAAAAAAATTATCATTTTGAAAAACACTATCTAGAGAAACTTCTTACTATTTCGGGATGCACTTTCATTATTTTGAGAAATGGTTTCTTTATTTTGAGCAACATACTCACTATTGAAAAAATAATTTTGAGAAACTTGTTATTTTGAGATGCTTTATGCTTTTGAGATGAAAACATTTTTAAACATAACATTTCTGAAGCTTCTGAAAATAATGAGAAAGTATATCAAAATAACAACTTGGCATCTTACAGGTATCTTAATGAGATCTCAAAATAACAAGATAGCCTCACAATAATGCCTTAGTAACTAAAAACACTGAGATAACGCCTCAAAATAATGATTTAGTATCTCAAAATTATGACATAATCTCAAAATATTGACTTTGTATCTCAAAATAATAAGATAATATCTCAAAATATTGACTTAGTATCTCAGACATTATTTTTGTAACTCAAAATAACAAAAAAATTCTCAGAATAATGACTCCGTATCTTAAAACAAAGAGATAATCTCGAAACACTGACTTTGTATCTCAAAAAACGAGATAACCTCAAAATAATGATTTAGAATCTTACAATGATTAAACAATATTTCGAAATATTTACTTAGTATTTAAAAAACATGGTATTTCAAAATAATAACATAATATCTCGTAAAAGTTTCGTAAGATAATGGCATAGCAACTCACTTAAGAATGAAAAACATATTAGGTGCTAAATGGTGTTTTTATTAAGTATTTTAAAGCACTTTCTGACTAAAATTCCTGAGTAACTGTGTCTAAACACACAGTGACACTTACTTAATATGTACAGTAAATTCTATTAAAAATAAAAATAAATAAAAGTGAGAAAACTGGAGAGACAAGGTTCCGCCAGTAACGATTTGTCCCTTATACTGACCGAAACCTGGGAAAATGAAGTTAGGTTAGTGAAGTTATCAGCGCAGCTGGCCGGTTCGACAAAACTCAGGAAGACAAATCAGCCGGCAGGTTTGGACAACAGAGTGACAGATAGCTGAATTAGCCTGGCTATGTCGTTTAAGACTCGCGTCACCCCGAGAAGTGTTTTTTATTAATTCTCTGACAGAAACAAACAGCATTTCGGCGCTCAAACTTCACTGTTAGCATGTTGCTAACTTACTGAAACGCGGTTCCATAGCAACACGCTCTCAGCACGGTCTTAAAACCCTACAAAAACAGGACCAGAACACACGAACACCGACTTTACAGGCATTGTAGAGTCGCTATTAACGCACTACAGACATAAATAACCCGAATAAAGCAGCTCAGATGCCACTTTCATTATTTTTTCAACACAAAAGTTGACGTTTCTTTCATTTACCTCGCACACATCTCCGACTCCGCCATCTTCGCCGCCGCCGTGTGACCAATAGCAGCGCAGCGCAGCGTCACGTGATGTTATCGAGCCAATTTTGAACATTTTTTTTAGTAAAAACAATTCAAAACACGTTTGCCGTTATGTACAATACAGTATGTGTTTAGCCATTTGAAAATATATTACATTTGTTTTAATAAATAAAAATGAATCCTTTTTCGTTCATCCCACCAGAGCCGGTTTAAGGGGAGCTTGGCCGCTTCCTGTGTCTCCCGTTGTTTCAAAAACATGACAGCGAAGCGCCAGAGGGCGCCCGCGAGCGAGTCCTCAATCAATGGGAGTGAATGGAGCTCAACGGCTAAAAGCGAAAGTTAAAATAGTTTCTAATCACTGCTGCAGAAACTTCGTTTAATTTAGGAAAGTAGAAGAATTCATTTCACTACAAAAGCAAAGACAACTTACCTGTATGTTTCCCTTTTCTACAGCAAACGAGTTTGGGGCAGTAGGACGCTAGCGTCACTGCTACTGAGTGCTGATTGGTTAGCATCACTGCTACTGAGTGCTGATTGGTTAGCATCACTGCTACTGAGTGCTGATCGGTTAGCATTACTGCTACTGAGTGCTGATTGGTTAGCATCACTGCTACTGAGTGCTGATCAGTTAGCATTACTGCTACTGAGTGCTGACTGGTTAGCATTACTGCTACTGAGTGTTGATTGGTTAGCCTTAAAGCTACTGGGCACTGAATGATCAGCATTACTGCTACTGAGTGTTGATTGGTTAGCCTTAAAGCTACTGGGTGCTCAATGATCAGCATAACTGCTACTGAGTGCTGATTGGTTAGCATTACTGAGTACTGATTAGCATAACTGCTATTGAGTGCTGATTGGTTAGCATTACTGAGTGCTGATTAGCATAACTGCTATTGAGTGCTGATTGGTTAGCATCACTGCTACTGAGTGCTGAATGGTTAACATTACTTCTACTGAGTGCTGAATGATCAGCATTACAGCTACTGACTGCTGATTGGTTAGCCTTAAAGCTACTGGATGCTCAATGATCAGCATAACTGCTACTGAGTGCTGATTGGTTAGCATTACTGAGTACTGATTAGCATAACTGCTATTGAGTGCTGATTGGTTAGCATTACTGAGTGCTGATTAGCATAACTGCTACTGAGTGCTGAATGGTTAACATTACTTCTACTGGGCGCTGAATGATCAGCATTACTGCTGCTGAGTGCTGACTGGTTTGCATTTCTGCTACTTAGTGCTGATTGGTTAGCATTACTGGGTACTGATTAGCATTACTGCTACTGAGTGCTAATTGGTTAGCATCACTGCTACTGAGTGCTGAATGGTTAACATTACTGCTACTGAGTGCTGACAGGTTTGCATTTCTGCTACTTAGTGCTGATTGATTAGCATTACTTCTACTGAGTGCTGATTGGTTTGCATTTCTGCTACTGAGTGCTGAATGGTTAGCATTACTGGGTACTGATTAGCATTACTGCTACTGAGTGCTGATTGGTTAGCATTACTGCTACTGAGTGCTGATTGGTTAGCATTACTTCTACTGAGTGCTGATTGGCTGGAAAGTGGAGCAGCTCATTGGTTGAGTGATGCTATTTGCAATATTTAAACATTTACAAACTATGATTTTTGTGATAAGTTCCATATTAAGCTCTTCATTTCGGACTCACTCGGGAGCGCCCTCTAGCGTTGGACAAGCCTGAAAGACATTACTGAGTGGCACTTCTCCTCTTTACACACTCTCTACGTCCCACGTGACCCAGCTGTCAAATATGGCCGCCCCCCACCCGTGTCAGAAACACGACGGCGATCAAATATCACAAAAGATCACCATCGCGGATCATTAGGAGCGGATAGTCTCTCTCCGAGTCACTGGTAAGACGAACCATCTTCCATTCAATACCTGCATGATCTGTATCAGCTTCATTCTTGGCCTTTATTCGCTGGTTTTGCTGCTATATGCAATAATCAGCTCATCGCTGCTTCAGCAAAGACTGATCACCTCCCGATCACTGATCAGACTCATCGATTAGGCCCTTATATCCCAACCAAACATGCGTGGCACATTGACATCAGGCGTTTAGTTAACGTAGCAGGTTTACTGAACGTGGAAGCTGGTATTTATAGCTACAACCTTATAATGTTAAGGGGGAACTCCACCGATTTTTCAAAATTTCTTCATAATTCAGTGGTGGAGATGTATACAGAGTCATTCAGAGTGGTCTGATGTGAAATGTAGTCATTCAGAGTGGTTTGATGTGAAATGCTTCATTGTAGAGAAACTTATTGGCTCAGATTCCTTTACAGTGGTGGTGATAGGAACCGGGGTCACCATCACTACAACACAAAAATAGACATTTTATTTACTGTCCAAAACCACCAGTGAACCTATTGAGTTTTAATATGGAATGCTGATGATGGTAAAATAGTCATAAATCTGAAAACAACAAGTTTTCTTTGGGGACTATTTTGCCTAACAACAGCCTGCATGCACCTCTCCACCACAAATGTATTAAATGCACTGTTTAAAATACGTTTTATACCAAATGTTTATTACAAAACTGTTGTAAATTAATGTCCCAGACATCAGGCAGTGAATTCATAACCATTTCATGTAATAACGTTCTGTGAGGGAGCTTTTAGAGGTGGACGTCTGGTTCCTATCACCACCACTGAGAACAATTCTGACTAGAACTGAACTCTAGAACTGAGCATTTCACACCAAACCACTCTGAATGTATGTTTTCTGACTAGATACTGTTTTGTTATAGATTTAATGTAAGTTTTTGGCCTAAAACGCATTTTTGAAATACATTTTTTTGCATGCAGGGTGTTGTGAGGCAAAATAGTCTCCAAAGAGAACATGTTTACACTAGTTACCACTATTTTTCCATTATCAACGTTACATATTAAAGCTCATAATATTTGTAGTGGACCTCTGGTTCCTATCACCACCATTGTAAAGAAAATCTGAGTCTAGTTTGAGTCTAGTCACTGTAGTTTCTCTACAGTGATCCATTTCACGTCAAACCACTTTGAAGGACTTCTACATCTCACCGTCTGAATTGTGCAGAAATTTTGAAAAATGGGTGGAATTCCCCTTTAAGATCCCAAGCCCTTTGTTGACTGTTACTCTATACCAATGTATTATGAATTACAGTGTAATGCTATAGCGCAGTATTCTCTGTGCCTGGACTTGGAGAACACCGTACTGTACCAGATGGCTTTTTCCATACACTTGTGCACATGATTCTGCTAATGCTCTACTCAGAGAACCCAAACTGTGGTGTGGGGTGGCCTTCATAAGGCTCAGCCTTCATATTTGTGCCTTTCCTTGGCCTGATTAAAGCTTTCTAACATTACAGGACTAATGTTTTATCTGTACATGGCCTGAGCTCAGTGGGCCAGAGTTCAGAGTTGAGTCACTGGAGTTTAGCAACTGCCTGACAATTACAACACCTTCCTGTTGAGTCCCTCCACATGTTTGTTTGATGATGTAAACTCTCGGAGGGCCAGTTTCCAAACACAGATTAGGCCTTAATTACAGTGCCTATTAAATCTGTTATAGCAGGGAACTATATGTACAAACCCCGTTCCAAAAAAGTTGGGACAGTGTATGAAATGCAAATGAGAAACTTACTTTAACCTGTATTTGAACATAAACACCACAAAGAAAAATACATGATATGTAATGTTTTAGCTGAACAACTTCACTGTGTTTTTGTAAACATACATTTTGCTGCTGTTGGAACAAAACCTTGTATCTCCAAAATGGTAACTTTACAGGAGAAGGAAAAAACATACATTACTTTCAATGTAAGTCAATGGAACCAGACTTTTTTCCAAGTAATTTTGGGCCGTTTATTTTGGTCCTTCCTTCATGAAATTTACACACAATGTAAAGGCCAACATGCATTTTCAAATTATGTCAAAAACTGAAAATCGACAAAAATGGAGATACAAGGTCTTGTTTCCGACAACAGCGATTTACTCAAAATGCATGCTTGCAACACATTCCCAAAAACTTAAAACAGGGGCAGTTTAAGACGTCAAAAAAAAAATCGTCAGTCATGCTTGGGTATAAAAATAGCATCTAGAAAAGTCCGAGTCCTTTATAAGCACACATGGTTGAGGCTCCAACAGTTCAAATATAACATTCCTCAGCAAACGAATGCGAGGGTTTTATGTATTTCATCCTCTGCAGTGCATAATATCGTCAAAAGATTCAGGGAATTTTGAGAAATCTTTGTGCATAAAGGAAAAGGCTGAAAACCACAACTGAATGGCCATGACCTTTGACCCCACCAGCACTGCATTAAAAACTGGCACGTTTCTGTAATGGACATCACCACATGGGCTCAGGAATACATTGCAATAAACTTTGTCCTTCACTGCAACCACAAATGCAAGATAAGACCGTGCTGTCCACGGTGGATGTCATTTGTCATCAGGCAGTGGTCAGTTCTAACCATAGGTCTGTTCTGATGTGTCTCTTTCAGGTCCTGGATGCTAATAGAAGGTGGAGAGAAACATGCTGATGATGCTGAACTATAAACGAGCAAGACTTTGACAGATCCGAAAGCTGGAAAGTGTCCAACAAAGTCCTGTTTCTAGGAAACTTCTCTGCCAGGCTGTTCTAACTCCCATCCCACAGTCATGCAGACGGACCCCGTGCTGGTGGAGTCCTTGGTGGTCTTCTCCATCGTGCTATGTGTGCACATGGCCGTGTGGAACCAACTCTCGTGGTGCTGCATTGCTCTGGCCGTCCAGGCCTTCTACGTCCAGCTCAAATGGGACCGCCTCCTGCGTACCGGTGCCGCCGTCTTCCAGTTCCGCCCCTCGGCCAACAGTGGCGTGCTGCCCGCCAGCATGGTCCTCCCCTTGCTGGGGCTGGCACTGAGGGGCCGCTGCGTGGCTGTTGGCAATGTGTACTTTGAGCGCTTTGCCATGGTGATCACCGTGACGGGGATGATGCTGGCGCTGTTTCTGTCGCTCATTGCATTGGGCATCACCCGGCCGGTGCCTACCAACACTTGCGTGATTGCGGGGATTGCGGGCAGCGCTATCCTCTATACGGTTAAGCAGATGCTGACCGTCTCAGAGGTGATCGAGGTGCTGGAGGTGCTGCTGATCTTCGTCTACCTCAGCCTCATCCTCCTCTACCTCCTGCCACGCTGCTTCACGCCTGGGGAGGCCTTGCTGGTCCTGGGTGGAGTGAGCTTCATCATCAACCAGCTGATCAAACGTTCGCTAGCCAGCGCGGCCAACGCTAACGCCGACCCACTGCATTTCTTCCTCCCTGTTGCTGTAGTGGGCTGCGTGCTGCTGGGCATCTTCTTCGCCGTCCTCTTCCTCTTCATGGAATCCGAGACGTGGGCGGCCTCCGTCTTTTTCCACCTGATGACAGCCGTGCTAGGCCTGGGCCTGCTGGTGCCGTGGCTGTCCCTGCTGACCCAGCACCACCCTGTCGCCTGGATATTCCACTTCATCACCCTTAGCGACACCCGCCTCTGGTTGCTGGCATACTGGAGCTTCCTTGCGTTGGTGGCTGTCGCCGTGGTGCTGCGCCAGAACGGCCGACGGTCCGGGAGCAGCAAGAAGCAGCAGGCGTCCACGGCCGTGAGGAAGTACTTCCACCTGCTGGTGGTGCTGACCTTTGTTCCTGGGCTGGTCTTGGATCGGCCTCTGCTGCACCTGGCTGCCGTGGTTTGCCTCGCTGCCTTCCTCTTCCTGGAACTGGTGCGCTTCTTCCGTATCCGGCCACTAGGAGCGCCAATGCGCCGGTTGCTCACACTTTTCCTGGATGAAAGGGACTCTGGGCCCCTAATTCTCACCCATATCTACCTGCTGCTGGGCGTCTCCCTGCCTGTGTGGCTCTCTCCGGGACCCTGCACCCCCAAAGGTGGGCTGGGGGGTGCTGGGGGGCTGGTGCCCTACGCCGGCGTGCTGGCTGTGGGCGTCGGTGACACGGTGGCGTCCGTTTTCGGAAGCACGGTGGGCGAGATCCGTTGGCCGGGGACCAAGAAAACCTTTGAGGGCACTGCGACATCTGTGTTTGCGCAGGTCATCGCCGTGGTGATTTTCCTGATCGCCGACGGCAGCATAAACCTAAACGCCAGTTACTCCTGGGTGGTGGGTTCCATCGCCATGGTAGCCATGCTGGAGGCTTACACGTCGCAGATTGACAACCTGCTGTTGCCGCTGTACCTATACGTACTGTTGCTGTTATGAGCATGCACATAACACTATTTAAACACATGGTTAAAAACTTAGGAACATTCTACGTAAACATTCGTACACACAAAAAACACTATACAAACGCAGTATGTATACATGTTCTGCACACAGCTTTGTATGTGAAATATTCCTGGAAATCTTGACCAGCTGTAGATGATAGATAAGTTTGTTTATTTATGATGCTGAACAGTGAATATCCCCTTAGTTTAGTCCACTTCAGCTCAATTGCTGGATAGTAAACTGCAGTAAATTGGCCTCTAGTATGAACTTAGTTATTTATAAAAATGCACTGAGTAAAGAATTTCGGCGCCTCTGTAGCAGGTACAGTTTCGAGCATGCAATAAATATAAAATCGTTGTCCTTAAAGAAACTGTACATACAGTGTTGCAGTTCAGGAATGTCTATGTGCCTGTGTTGGTTTACATTTTTGGGTCATTCATGAACTTCAGTGAAAAACATCAGCTATAAATGGACAGGATAAGGGTCACCAGTGTTTCTTGAAAATGTTTATCTATTCAGAGAGTCTATATGAGGACTCTCTATGTATGGCAAAAGGTTGAGAAAGTACAAATGTACCTGCCGGAAATTATATTACATAGGACATCTCACACACTGCCCCTCATTGACATTACACTCAAATACCTGCCAGCATATATACATATATATATATATATATATATATATATATATTTCTACAATTACAGACTATAGTCCATCTGTTTCTCTGCATACTTTGTTAGCCCCCTTTTACCCTGCTCTTCAGTGGTCAGGACCCCCATGGACCCTCACAGAGCAGGTACTATTTGGGTGGTGGATCATTCTCAGCACTGCAGTGACACTGACATGGTGGTGGTGTGTTATTGTGTGTTGTGCTGGTACGAGTGGATCAGACACAGCAGTGCTGCTGGAGTTTTTAAACACTGTGTCCAATCACTGTCCACTCTGTTAGACACTCCTACCTTGTCAGTCCACCTTGTAGATGTAAAGTCAGAGACGATAGCTCATCTGCTGCTGCACAGTTTGTGTTGGTCATCCTCTAATCCTTCATCAGTGGTCACAGGACGCTGCCCACAGGACGCTGTTGGCGGGATATTTTTGGTTGGTGGACTATTCTCAGTCCAGCAGTGACACTGAGGTGTTTAAAAACTCCAGCAGCACTGCTGTGTCTGATCCACTCAGACCAGCACAACACACACTAACACACCACCACCACATCAGTGTTACTGCAGTGCTGAGAATGATCCACCACCCAAATAGTACCTGCTCTGTGAGGGTCCATGGGGGGTCCTGACCACTGAAGAACAGGGTAAAAGGGGGCTAACAAAGTGTGCAGAGAAACAGATGGACTACAGTCTGTAATTGTAGAACTACAAAGTGCACCTATATAGTAAGTGGAGCTGATAAAATGGACAATGAGCATAGAAACAAGGAGGTGGTCATAATGTTATGCCTGATCAGTGTATATATTTAATGTACACACACACATTATTAACAACCACCTGGAATAACACAGCAGCACCTTAGCAAGCACCTGGAAGATTATCTAATTTATTACAAAGCAGGAAATGAAGAAGCTTAATGGGGAAAGTGCTTGTTGGCAAAATTCAGAAAGACTGGTTTCATCAAGTCAGATGTAATTTAAAAGCCGTTTTGCCTTTGAACCATCCTGGTTGAAAGAGAGTCTCCAAAGAAGAATTATTTAAAATTGGTCCATAATTCAGTCGTTGAGGTGTAAACAGGGTCATTCAGAGAGGTTTGGTGTGAAATGGTTGATTGTAGAGACTCAGATTTCTTTACAGTGGTGGTGACAAAAACCAGGGGTCACCATGACTACAACACAAATATAGACATTTAATTTACTATCCAAAACCACCACTGATCATGCACATTACATTTGGGGGAAAAAATCTTTTTTGCCTCACAACACCATGCATGTATCCTCCACAATGAATGGATAAAAACATCTTAACTATGTAAGTATGTAGACATTTTATAAAATTGGTGGAATTCCCCTTTACACATATTCAGATTTGTTTGCTCCAGAGAGCATTTCAACATATGAATGATGGCCCTTTAAGAATCATCACATACATAGATACAAAACCATTCTCACAAGCATGTAAGCAAAAACGTATTTTGTATTATCCAGCAAAGCTATAACTGTTCCTCTGTTTCCGTCTGGGAGCAGACGAATGCCTTTGAAGAACATGACTTTGTTTTTAATTTGAAATCCTGGATGTTGTAATCTTATTATGATGATGTAATATGTGTCTATAATGCAAAACTAAAGACTGAATATGGAACTTTTTGCCTTGTATTTTGTATCTTGAAACGTGCTGGAAGCTGTCAGTAGATGTCCGTGTGTGTAGGAGATAGATACTCGTTTGGCCCGCTGACCTGAGGCCAGCTCTGATGTACATGTACCGTGATGAAGGTCAGGCGAGTCTCGGCCTTCAGAAAAACATCCTAAGAATAGAAACTCTCTGATTTTGATTCCTTTTTTCGGATGATTTTTAATAGAAGTATTTTTGAAGCATTTCAGTTCTGAAGGCTGAGCAGAGTGTCCTGATGGTTCAATACCATCCTCAGTTGTTTTGATTTTAATGAATTACATTGTCTAATAAAGTTGTTTTGTTCCAGTATGTCGTGATTATGTACGTACTACTGTACATTTGCTTGGGTCTTTGATTTGTTTGGCCTTTCGGGGCTTCAGTGTCACTATCGATGAGTTCACTATTGCAGTTGTCATGGTAACTGACTGATGCTGAAGGAGGGATCATTTTTCAGTCACATTGTTTGACATTTCACCTGGGAAATCCGAGAAAGCAAGTCAGAAAGAGTGAAAGTTCCACACAGCACATTCAGTGACTTCACCATTTAGCCAGATTTTCAGCCCATAGGTTTTGATACATCACGTCGTTCTCGCTGTGTCGTCATCTGCGAGGTGTTAGATATTTGCAGCATTTTTATAATCTTCATATACTATATGGCGTAAAGCAGAGGTCATTAATAGGCGGACCGCAGTCCGAGTCCGGACCCAGACGCTGTCCTATGCGGACCTGGACCTATAACAGATAAACTACGGAGAATTATTTAATTTCGAGGCCAGGAGAACGTTACCTGCCTGACTGCACTGTGCCACCTGTAAAGTTTGGTGGAGGAGGGATGATGCTATGGGGTTGTTTTTCAGGGGTTGGCCTAGAACCCTTAGTTCCAGTGAAGGGAAATCTTAATGCTTCAACATGCCAAGACATTTTGGACATTGCTGTGCTTCCAACTTTGTGGGAACAGTTTGGAGAAGAACCCCAGTGCTCAAAGCAGCTCCATAAAGGCCTGACTGGGTGAGTCTGGTGTGGAAGAACTTGACTGGACACCTTGCACACCTTTGGGATGAACTAGAACAGAGATTGTGAGCCAGGTCTTCTCGTCCAACATCAGTGTTTGACCTCACAAACGCTCTGGATGAGGGCAAAATTTCAACAAAACTCCAAAATCTTGTAGGAAGCTTCCCAGAAGAGTGGAAGCTGTTATAGCTGCAAAGGAGCACCAACTCCATATTAATGCCTATGGATTTAGAATGGGATTAATAAAGGCTCCTGTAGGTGTAATGTGTAGGTGTCCCAATACTTTTGTCCATATAGTGTATATATTTTTTTCAGCTGTTATTACTCTTCTTTTTCCACATCACTCCTTTATCTATCCTTCTAGAGTTCTTTGTTACATGTTTGAGGTTTTTTATGTGGTTGGTGAGCCTTTGAAAATGAATGTTTAAATAGCCATTATATTTTCAGCCTTTCAAGCCTATTGATGTCTCGCTCATCCTGTTCTAGAGGCACAGCATGTTCATTGACGTCTCCCTTTCTGTAATTATGCACAAGGAGTTCACAGTGAAAACATAAGAAGTAAACAAGTAAAGAGATTCAACAGTTAAAAGTAATACAAACTCTTTTTTTTTAAATAAAAAACCATTAAAAGAGAAGGGTATGTGGACACATCGATGGTTAAAAAAGGGCAAAAAAACTTTATTTGATTTAACTTTTTGCTGTATCATAATAGATTGTTTAACTTCATGTTGATTATGGATATGGTTTGGTTCACAAGCATGAATACAGCTAAAATCATATCACACCGTGAGATGTGAGTGCTGTTTCAGGACAGATTTGTTACAGGACTGAATCACATTCATTGTTTTTTTCTCTCTGAAATCCCATCCAGTATTTTCTGCTGATTTCAGCCCCATACTGATATGCCATTTCTAATCATACACTTACATCAGCAGTACATGTTGGCTGAAAACTCAATAGATGAAATTTATTAAAATAAATAAAGAGTAAAGAAAATAAAAAAAAAAAACAGAAATAAGTTCATCACATACATATTTTAATGAACCTTCACATAGAAATGATCAAAACAGATCTGAAATCTAATCAAAAGTCTAAAAGTTAGACCAGAGAATGTGTAGTGAGTAAAAGTGCATCCTGGGTTTGTCAGACGCTAGAGGGCTCTCCTGAGCGAGTCCAGAATGAACGGGTTCCTCTAGAGCTTTTGTCAAACACCAGTTAAATCAGTTTTACACAGGAAAAATGCAATTTTCTCAATACAGAACAGCATAAAATATTTCAACACTGCTGTTATTGGTTTGAGTGCTTTCATGACATCACTAAGCACGAACCTCTTTACTCAGCCAGTGAGCTGAACAGCTTGCCACCCAATCAGTACTCAGTAGCAGCAATGCTAACCAATCAGCACTCAGCATCAGTATTGCTAACCAATGAATATTCAGTACCAGTAATGCTAACCAATCAGTACTCAGTAGCAGTAATGCTAAACAATCAGTACTAAGTAGCAGTAATGCCAACCAATCAGCACTCAGTTGCAGTAATGCCAACCAATCAGCACTCAGTTGTTGTAATGCTAACCAATCAGCATTCAGTAGCAGTAATGCTAACCAATCAGCATTCAGTAGCAGTAATGCTAACCAATCAGCACTCAGTAGCAATAATGCTAACCAATCAGCATTCAGTTACAGTAATGCTAACCAATCAGCATTCAGGTGCTGTAATATTAACCAATCAGCATTCAGTTACAGTAATGCTAACCAATCAGCATTCAGTTGCAGTAATGCTAACCAATCTGCACTCAGTTGCAGTAATGCTAACCAATCAGCATTCAGGTGCTGTAATATTAACCAATCAGCATTTAGTTACAGTAATGCTAACCAATCTGCACTCAGTTACAGTAATGCTAACCAATCAGCACTCAGTTACAGTAATGCTAACCAATCTGCACTCAGTTGCAGTAATGCTAACACTCTACAGCCCAAAACCTGTTTGCTGTAGAAAAACGGAAACGTACTGTTAAGTTTTCTTAGTTTTGTTTAAATAAATTGATGAAATAAATAATTCTTCTTTCCAAAATTAAAGGAATTTCCAGCATAAATGTTTAGAAACATGTTTAATGTTTTGTTTTTAGCCATTTAGCTCCCCCATTCACTGAGGACTCGCTCTTCGGTGCCCTTCTGCATTTTTAAATCATGTTTTTTATTTAACAGAAAGAACAGAAAGTGGCTCCCCTTAAACTGACTGACTCTAGATAGACCCAACTTCCCAAATCCATGATAAAAAAACCATCTTAACAACATTAACTGTCCTTCTTTAGAAGTGGACACACTGTGACAGATCCCCCTTATAAAACTCCTGTTTGCACATACAGGCATTATTTCAGACGCTGTTATGGCTCGAGTTTCTCTTCTCCAAGGGAAAAAGGGTTTGAAGAATTTTGAGCATCTTCACAGCATTTGGCCTCTCTTTTGGCTCTTTGGAGAGCATTTTGTTGATGTACACACGCTGAAAAAAGCAGACACAAAATGCATGAAGGAGGTCGCATGACATAGGAAAAATGGTCAGGAACAAGAGTGAACTGATTACACAGAAGTGTCCTCACCTGCGGTTTATATTTCCTACAGAACACGTCCGGAAACTTCCGATTCCTCACGTCTTTCCACATCTGCAACGTTGAAAAGCTTCGTAAGCACTTACTTCTGTTTCATTATCATATCATTACTCACAGGACTGCATGGGCCCGTGACAAAAGAGAGAAAGAAGTCAGATGCTACCGAAGTTAATACATCTCAGTCTGCGGCATGTTTGGGTTTAGAGAACAAATCACGGTGACAACAAGTCATCAGCTTAGCATTATAAGGGTCCATATGCTTTCAGTGCCGTTTTGAGATATTGAGGGTCAAAGATTTCACTTTCGGAACAGCCAAACTCTTATGTAGTGACATCACCTTTCATATCAAGTCTTTGTCTTGAGATAATTCTGACCACTGAACAAACGCAGATAGAACCTTTAAATTAGAGCTGGGCGATATGGCCAAAAATGTTATCACGATAAACAAAATTCATATCGTTCGATATCGATACATACCGCGACAAATGTCAAATCATTATTTCTTTCAAGTTTGAAGGCTGATTTTTGGTCCTGGGGGTTAATTGCTGTTTTAAACTATCCTTTATGGTCAGAACACGACAAACACTCAAACAGTGGGACATTTCACAGATCTGTCATGGGAGAGTGGGAGAAAGTGTCTGGTGAGCTGTTTTTACCAGCTGGAAAAGCATGGCTATTTTGTAATAGTCATAATTTAAGAAAGAAAACAGATTATTTTAGCTGGTGCCGAGCGCTCGGCTACCCCGCTACCAAAGACATCACAGTATTCAGACACCAGCTAGATGACTGGATTTCTCTATACTATCGTAGTAGTTTAAGGGGTGAACCGCAAAATATCAACACCAGACAAACAGAGTCCTCCTTTTAGGTACGTTTAAACTGAAAGCGGTGCTTTTGTGTCGTGTTTGATCTACAGTATCATCAGTTCTCCGTGTTGTGGAGTGACGGAGCGCTGCTTCAAGTTAGCCAGCTGCTAAAAACAGCTAGCCTGGAAAGCTAGGTTAGCGCTCTCCCGCTCTCCAATGCCTCACAGCTTCCTCAGTTTACTTTCGTTTAAATCAGGGCTGTAATTTACATGAACCCACTTCTTTCTTTCACTTTCGTTGCTTGGGAATGCACTAATACTTAAATATGACTATCCGAGCACTGTAACAGTGCTGTAGTTGAGAGGAGCAGACGTGAGGTGAGTTCGCTGTAGGACAGTACAGTTACTCCACTGACCTCGTCACTCACACTCGGTCACAGGAGAACAGATCGCCGGTCGCTCCACTCAAACAGGGAATGAATGACTCCACGTTTCAGCCGTTGCTAAAGACTCATCTTACTCGTGGCCCCGTCCCTCTCTAATCATGTAGAAAAACTCGGAAGTGCCATTATTTCAGCGAGCTACTCTATCTAGCTACTCTGTTAGCTAGTTTGCTTGCTGCTTTGCTGATTAGGTAAGACAGCTATTTAAGCTGGACAGTAGCTAGTTAGCCTTTTCAACTCCTTGAGACCACTGGTGGTTCCAAAACGCACTTCATCATATTCTTCATAACTTTCATATTTCATAAGCTACATTCAAAATGTGGGGGTCATATGAGGCTGTAACTGTCTTCTTTCCAGTCAAATAGATGGGTGATGTAATTTTAAACCCTTATAATAAAAGAAGCTGAACTCACAATTATTTTTTTCCACTGAAAGTCGACCCATTTTTCCACAAATCTGGGCTATAAACTATAAACAGATGGCGTCTCTTCAGTGATCTGCTCTGTAAAAATTATTTTTATAAAATAATACAAAGAGCCTCTAAGATTTTTGGCTTTCAGCAGTAAATTGTAAGGATAAAGCAACATGTGTGATCATAAAACGTTCTGTTAATTTGAGGGGAACTTTTACAAAAAAATAAATAAATAAATAAATAAAAATTTACATTTATTTCATGCAGTTACTGAATAATTTGGCTTACGATGGTCATGAAAAATTCAGATGGAAAAACCAGAATATACCCTGGTCAATAAGAGGTTAGCTAACTGGCTAAATAACACCAGCTAGGTAAGGAAGGTAAGTTTCCTAACTTTAATTTTTTTTTAAGCAACTAATAACCTTCAAAGATGTCAGTATTATGACTGATCGTCTTTGGTTAGTTATTTTGTTCTGCAGAGACGATAATTTAGCTAGCTGGCTACAAAGCTGACTCACTTTAGCGAACATTAGCAGTCGCTAACTGAATAACTGCTTCTAACATGAATAAACTTTCAATCAGTCGGTCAGTTGGCAGTGTTAGTACTCCTTTAACTCATCATTTGCTACCATGAATTCTAATTAGTTTAAAAAAGCCTAAAGGTTCATTTGGGCCTCATAGCCGTTGTGGAGATCTGTGCAAGCGCAGTAGCCAGAACAACCCGAAAGACACATTTTTGCGCGTTTCTGAGCCGAACTCTACAAACTATTTAGGAGGTTTCAGTCAGGTTTTATTAGTGATTTCAAATGTATTTGTGAAACTGTAATCTGACCTTCAGCTTTTAGTATTTTTGGCCTCACCCCAAACAAAGAGACAGGAGCCTGGCGGCATATTACAGAAACTTCCCATTTGTCTAAAGGTAAGATGTGACAGGTCAACATAAGATCTTTCACAAATACGTATTACAGAAGCAAATCTTCTCTTAATTTGGGAATTTTATCTGTTTTACAGCTTCTTATCTCAAGTTAGGAAATCTTAATCTACTCGATCAAAGTCGACCGTCATGTCTGTAACCAACCAACCGTCAAGCCGCGCGCAGCTAAAACACAGAGACGTCATCAACTTAACGTGTAAATGTAAAAAAGGTCAAAACCCAACTCAAGTGCAATAAACTGGAAGTTGAATATTGTGAGTGTCCCCCGCTGGTTATCAGAGCGTCGCCGCTCCTCAGTTTCAGTGTCTGTTTCCCAAACGCTTTAGCCAGCCACGCTAACGTTATTCCTCCCAACAGCCTCATGTTCAACCAAGTCTCTTCATTATTCACCACCATCACTGTTTTCTTATCTGGAGTTAAGATAACGAACTGTTGTTCTGTAAGAGCTTCTGTCCTAAATTCAGTCCTGACTGACGTTCCCATGGTGACTAAACAGATCAGATAAGATTTCAGAGTTAGGCTGTTTCTGTAACACAGCTCCTGGCCTTGTACGGTTGGAAATAACTGCCTAGTGATGTTGCAAAGATGGCCACCAAGCAGTGGGAGACAGCAACTAAGTAAACGTAATTCATTACTGTACTTAAGTAGTTTTTGTGTATCTGTACTTTACTTTTTTCCATTTTGAGTGACTTTTTACTTTCACTCCACTACATTTCAAAGTCAATTATCTCACTTTTTACTCCACTACATTATGAGAAATCTGTCGTTCCTTTTGGTTTATGTGTGTATAAAAACGGAACATGTCAAAACGAAAGTAGCGCGAAGCCACAACACCAATCAGGGCACAGCGGTCACTTTGTTTTGAGCTTGTTTTGACCTGTTGAACATACCGACCCAGTGCAGCACACAGTTCAACATCAGTGAAGCAGCAGTAAATTTTGGGAGAGTCTATTCAACATAAATGATGAACTAACCTAACTTTGTGTAAACAGACCACAATATAGAAATATGTACACATATGCAGTTGTGACTGACGTGTCTTTTTTCTGAATTTATACAAACACTTTTTCATTTAATAGTAAATTAGTTTTGGCTGGTTTATGTTTATGAACAGAGACCTACAGATGCAGTTTAGTAAAGGAAACTCATTTGTGAATCTGAGTTTAAAGATTTTATTAAACTTAAACTTGCAAATAAATCTTAAACTGAAACTTTGCTTGTTTGTAAAAAGTTATTTCAGAGCCACTCAGTTCTACCTGATGGAAACTGTTTGCCTTCAGTGTTTTGTGCTTATGATAATTTTAATAGACATCAGTGATGGACTAATTAATGACATTCTATTACGAAAGTGACACTGGAGTATTTTCACCTAAAATGAGTTAATGAAGCAAGAATCTTGTTATAAAAAAGATAATAGAACATTAGAGCCATAATTAATCTCTCAGTACTTTTCCTTTCGATACTTAAGTACATCTGAAGGCGAATGCTTTTGTACTTTTACTCAAGTGGAGGTCTAAAGGGAGAAACTTCTACTTTCACTGGAGTAATATTTTACCTTGGGTATCTCTACTTTAACTCAAGTACATGGTTTGTGTACTTCGTCCACCACTGCTGCAACAGACTTTTGTATAAGGACTTTGTAAACAGCTTCTTGCAGAGCTTGGTAAACCGTGAATAGGTAATCCATACATTTTTATTGATTACTTTTACTTTTTTTAAAATACAGACGCTGGGACACTTGTTTTTGAAAGAAATCACCACCACAGCAACAATTAACAGCACTAAATCATGAACTATTTGACCAAAATATCAGACTTTGGCTGTTACAAGTATGTCAGTTGATAACATAATACTGTTACTGACCTTGCTTTTCTCCATCACAGTAGGGATTTTCCAGAGAAGCTCAAACCAAATGAGTCCCAACGGAAAAATGTCTGTTTTTTCGTCGTACTCCTTCTGATTCTCCTTAAGGAAAAAAAACATACATATTTTAGCCTTCAAGCTGGACAGCAGACAGAGCAATGTAACATCTAATGCATCCATAGCTATTCATTAATGAAGACTAATTTATATTTACTTCTAAACAGTACTGCAGATAATAATATTGTTAATCATTTCAGTGCATTTGTGATGCCATACTGTAAATTTTCTCCTAATTCCAGGAAGCACAATGCTTACTTAATTGACCTAGTTACGTTCCATGTTCATAGCTACGGGTGCCAGAATGGACAAGCTTTACAAACGCTGACAGAAATCCTATTTAACCTAATCAGAAATTGTAAAAGACAACTTTTGTAAAATACCTAAATTTGCATTGTTCATTTTAAAGGGCCGCGCTTTACGTATACGTTATTTTTTCTCCCTGAAATTCACTTACAGCATTTGTGTGCTTTTATTTACCAAAAACAGTCATGATTAATTTTTATATGACCATCTTTTTTTATCCCTTTACGACTGATACATGTAGATGAGCTCTGTTCTGACCTGCCGGTTCAAAAAGCCGTCCAGGCTGAAACACTCCTTATAGCATCAGTGTGAATGGGCAGAGCTGAACTCCTGTATGCTGTACAGGCAGTTTTACACTAAATGGTTTTGATTTTACATAGAATTTGCATTAAAAGTCACAGCAGTATGATAGACTAGTTGTGTTTTTTGTTGTGTAATCAGGATTTTCAGTGATAAGCATTTGGTTAACACGCTAAGCAGGCCTCAGCTGTTTTAACACTGCTAGCCAACTAAGTTAACATCAATAAAAGCTACTGAGAAAAATCCTACAAAATAAGCTACTGTAGCATGGCTGAAGAGATTTTATGACATTTTTCCCATCATGCTTAATGTCATATACTGACATTACAGTAAAAACAGAAAGTGCAAGTTGTTGCCTTGAGCAAAGCTATAAAATCAAGCTGCTTAGAGACAGTGAGACAAAAAGAGGCAGAAATTTTCAGGTCCCAAAAAATAAAATATAAAGTTGGGAGATGACCCATGCATGGATGCTTGCTTAAAGGAGAAGCTTGGCAAAAAATCAAAATGTAAAGTTTTCACATTTAACCCAGATGTAGTCAATCAGCCAAAAACATATTTGTCCAACTTTCGCTTCTTTAGTTTCAAACTGGAGCTCTGAGGCTAATGTTGCTAACAAACACTAGAACTCAATAGTCACCCAGAAAGCCCAAATCACTTTTGTAAAAAATACATCCCCAAAAACTTCTTAATGTAGTAATGATTTTGAGTTTTGAGGTTCTGAGTTCTTAGATGCTGTGCCGGTCAGTGTTAATCACGTGTTCTGATGAATGTTAGCCATTTTTCCATGCTTACTAAATCTGGTGGAATTTGTCCAATTGAGCCAGGAAGCAACTCTGTTGTGTCGTGTTGAGTTATACTGATTTCATGGATTTTAACTTGACCTATAGGGCCCACAATCACCTGTAGCCCCAAAGCCCACAAGCATGTTAAAGTGTTCCCGCCTGCAGGTTCTCTTTGGACAAAGAGGCAACGTCCAGTGCTACCAACTCAATAACGAAATGTATGAATGACTAAACAAAGGGAGATACCTGTTCAGGACTCCTGTATGACGGGGTTCCTACACACACTGTCCTCTTCGGAGAGCCTCCATTTACATCAGTCATCAGAGTAACGAGCCCAAAGTCTCCAATCTTCACTTTGTCATCTTTGCCAAAAAGGATGTTATCAGGCTGAATCGAAAGAAGACAAGTTTAGTTTAACTGTCTAGCGGTTAACCGTTTCACATGTGGTACTAAGTGAAATACCTTTAAGTCTCTGTGAATGAAGCCTTGTGAATGGATATACTTCAGTCCACTGACGATCTGATGAAAGACTGAAAGAGCTTCCTTCTCTGTTCTTAGCTGTTCCTCGCGATTTCGGTCATTTAGCCATGCTGTCAGTGTACCTCCATCACAGTACTCCATAAATATGCAGAGGCTATGAATATATCAGAACAGCACAGTCATGAACTCAGATAGAAGGTGAAATTTTCAAATTGGAAGGTGTTTATGCAGTTTCCTCTGTTATCTATTGTTTATAAATCTGTAAAATTGCTCTGGATGCTCTGACTCACTGTGTTGAATTCAGAATGAAATTGACTCCTGATTCATTGTCCTCATTCTGACTGCTGGTGAATTTTGTGACGACGGGTTTTTCATCAAGCGAGAGTGGCCTGTAAAACAGATGTATATTCTAACAAACAAAATGGCTAAAAAACACAATCACATCACTTGTCTAAAAACAATTACCATTTTCTCAACTCCACTTTTGGAAATTCCTGTTTTTTCCTTTAACTTTCTCTTTCCTAATGTAAGTGATGGAAGTGCAATCGTACACCTGATCTCCTCAGAATTATCTCCTTTAGCCATTTTAGATGTAGAATGTTTAGAGAGAAATGTGTAAGGCAGCTAAGGTGAGTGTGGGTATCTGAGTGAGCGTTAGGGTGTCTTTAACCGGCTTTTCTGCAATTTTTGCTTTTTTCTGACACTGAAAAATAAATAGCTTGTTCCTAATAGCCATTTTGACTGAAGGTTAAGTAAGTATCGAATGTTGAATCTGACATTGTAACATCACAAGTTGTTCTGCTAACTCTCTTTAACTGGACTGTATGTTGTAATATACACAACTGCTAGTTTGTTGCTATCCGAACACTGCAAGTCCCATAGGGGAGGTGACAGAAATTAGCATTAGCAGAGGAAACAACACTAATAGGTTTATGGAAAACTCTTTATATGTATTGCTATGTGTGATTTGCATATCCGCCTGATTTTATGACTGTATCTGGCACTCACACTCGCTGGCCACTACAGCCCACTACTGTATGGCTTAGAGAACAAAATCCTTTTTAGAAGTCAGCCTTTACAACAGCTGCGCTCTCATTTAAATATGGCGGTATTGATACCAAAACTCAACACAATCCCACAAAAGATAATGACCGAACCACTCTGACTGTAATGTTCCCGTTAAGAAGCAAATGTGGATTAAATGATATTTAATACGAGGTTTCCAAACGTTTGGTCCTGCATGCAACAAATCACATACTCTCAGCTGATTAACTGATATATTCAGAGATTCACAGTTTAAATATTACACAGACTACAGCTTACGTGACCTGGGTTAACTAATGGGTTATGTACACATATAGCTCATTTAACTTATCTCTAATACGGGGGCTTTATGTGTACACTTACATTACATGTGCAGGAATAAAACTTTACCTTACGCAGCTTAAACTGAGCATAATATTAAGCTTTAGGCTAAAACAAACTTTAGTTTTTGTACGTATCACTGCCAAAAAAAAAAACATAGAAACTGTTAAGTGTCTTTTGGTTTCAGAAGGTTTTGTAATGTGTTTTGTCTTATGGTTTAACCAGTTTCCAATGATTGATTCATACATTGGTAACGCCTCCCTTCCTGAATGGTAATATTCATGGCGACACAAACAACCAGCACAAACAGTCACTGTTTACATCAAACACTGGCTGAAATACAAAAGGGATGGTCGTAACGCTCAACTTTCCTATAAGGACTTTGTTTACGTGAAACAATCTCCTCCATTTAGGTCGCTCAAAGTTGTTGACGTGGTTTAGAACACAGTATGACTTACTGTGGACTATAAAAAATGAACAAAACCTCACAGTGCAGCTGAAAACTGTGGGCAGCCGCTTTAGACAACATGGACTGTATTCACAAACCACCTCAGGAGTTGAAGTACTGATCTAGAATCAGTGTTTGTGACAATGACTGTCATAACTACATGTCTGATCAAAGCTCAGTCCTGCTTTGTGAATATCAGCGCTGGTCTTGTCTCAAATGACTGAGGTTTTATTTAATGTTTTTATTTTGCAGTGAGTCATACTGTGTCTTACACCACAATGACAGGTCTGTGCAACCTTAATGAAGACCTGGAAGCAGTTTGAGTGGGTTGAGAGAAGTTTTGGTGATATACTTTCACAGAAACGATTTGGACTATTTGGGTGACTATTGAGTTCTAGTGTTTGTTAGCAACATTAGACTCGTAGCTCTAGTCCTAAACTAAAAAAGCAAAATTTGGACTCCAGACATGTCTCAGCTGATCGACTACATCTAGGGTAAAGTGGAAAACTGGGTACATTTGATTTTTTCAGGAAACTATTCCTTTACTATTCAAGCTAGTGGTGATGTATATTCACACAGTATGTAGGTTGTAATTGCGAATGAAGTGGATGTCAATATAAGGAAACACGTTGCTTCTCGTTTTCTGATTCCAAAGTCAATTCAGAAATCAGATAACGGGTCGTTTTGGTTTTCAGCCTCTATGCTTCAGTTCTCCTCACTGTAGTATGGTGAATGTATCGAGATCCATGACATAGCAAAATAGCTTTGTACAAATTAAACTGAGTGTTGTCAAAGATGTAAGGACTTACTTTATTAACTTCAAATCTAAATCCTCTTTACTGTCAGTGCTGGGTGACTCAGACAGATCTGGATCTTCAGCAGGAGTTCTGAAGAAGAGCAACAGTATCGAGAAAAAGCAAACTATAAATTTCTCACAATTATCTGTTCAGTCATATTATGTAATGTCAGCTATGACCACAGGCATATTTCTTTCTTTCTCATAGATCAAAACTCATCATTTTGCTTAATATTAGTTAAGGACAGTGATGCAACAGGTAGATGAACTTGATCAATGGCCCAACATGACCTACTTAAACAAAGCCTGGACTAATGCAAAAGCTACATAGCTAAACACACAATATAAAATAGAAAGGGGGAAACTGGCTGTTGTTTTGTTCACCTAAATCACTCACTTTAGATATTTATCAGACATCTTCACTTGGTGGGACAACCTTGTTTCTTTCTCGTTTTTAGTTTTAAGCTATCTTTCACACCGATGACAGAAATGATGTCAGTGTTCTGCACAAACTGTTATACACTTACTGTAGTGCAGTCAGTGTAATGAAATCAAAAAAACATGCTAGCTTTTATTCATGGCGTACATTTCAGCAGCAAAATTTCTTGGGAGTGTTGTGAAAGATGTAAGGACTCACCTCATTGAGTTCCAATCTGAATCACCATCTTGACTGCGAGTGCTGGGTAACTCAGACAGATCTGGATCCTCAGAAGGGGTTTGTGATCTGGAAAAGAGCAACAGTATCGATAAAAATCTTTGCAAACTCTACTATCTGTTATCTGTTACTAATTATCTGTTCAGTCATACTATGTAATTCCAAAAATGACACAGGCATAATTTTCCTTTCTCACTGATTGTAACTCATAATTTTATTTTATATTAGTGGAGGACGATGATGCAACATCTAGCTTCATTTGGTCAACAGCATAACATGACATACTTAAATAAAGCCTGGACTAAAGCCTGCAAACAGCCACATAGCTAAACACACAATATAAAATGGAAAGGGGGACACTGGCTGTTGTTTTTTCACCTAAATGAAACTTACTGTAGTGTACTGAATGCAATGAAATTGGGGAAAAAAAACATGCTAGCTTTTATTCATGGCATATATTTTAGCCTCAAAAGTTCTTGGAGTGTTGTGAAAGATGTACGGACTCACCTCATTGAGTCCAAATCTAAATCATCACCTTGACTGTCCATGCTGGGTAACTCAGACAGATCTGGATCTTCATCAGGAGGTTGTGATCTGGAAAACAACACCTGTAAGACATACTTAAGGCACCTGCAAAAACCTACATAGCCAAACATACAACATAAAATAGAAAGGGGGAAACTGGCTGTTGTTTTGTTCACCTTAACGCTTGAAATCACTCACATCTGAGGTCTTGTTCCTTTCTCATTTTTTTAGTTTTAAGCTCTCTCACACTGAGGACTTAAACTATGCTCAAAAACATGCAGGCTTTTATTCATGATGTACATAGAAGCGGCAAAATGACTTTGTACAAACTAAACTGAGTGCTGTGACAGATGTAAGGACTTACCTTTTTAAGTTCAAATCTAAACCATTTTCTTTACTGTCTGTGCTGCGCAACTCAAACGGATCTACATCCTCCTGAGGTCTGGAAAAGAGCAACTGTATCAAGAAAAAGCTTCGGAAATTCAAAATTTTCTAGTCATATTTTGTAACATCAGATCCAGCACAATTTTCCTTTCTCATAGATCAAAACGCATATGGTAACCGCCACTACAGTCACACTAGAAATTTGCAGTTTGCATCGTCTTGCAAAACAGGCATAACTAAGGCTGGACCGGAGGATTGGAGATGAAAAAAAATGTTCCATTGTGGTGCAGCAAGCTAGTAAAAACACAAACGTAAACATAGCTATACCAAATAATTATATACTCATGACAGCATAGTACTGCACACTGAGTTGTAGCAAGAATGTGTAGCTAACTGCCGTGGTTGGTGGCAGTGGCATGATTGGTATGCAGCCTCACTTAGCCAATCAGCTAACTAACCCTAAACAGTAAAGTTCTGCCATCCAATACAGTCTACTGACTGAGTGCATATTATACAGTCTCTCTTTTATAGCTAATGGGCAAGTAATATTAAAGTATTGTGCTTAGACACTGCTAAAATTGGTGTCTTTCCTTTTTGTATCTCTTTTAATAGCTGGTATCACGGCCATATGAGGAACTCCGGACCTAAGCTGGTTTTCTCTATGAGAAAAATGAATGGCACTGATGTTTCCTGTTGCGAACCCAAACATTCCAAACCCAGTTTGTTACACTGTACAGATATTTTTCATCCGAATGTCACCAGAACCTCTGAATTATGAGGTCATTAAGGAGCTGAAATACAGCTATTGCTACATGCAAGCTAACACTGCTGCGCACTGAACTGACATCATAAGTCAGGCCGCCACACCAAGCCAGCGAGCTCGATCAAGTGTGGTAGTTTAGAGGCTTTGGCAGTTTTAGGCTGAAGTTGTTGGTGTTGAAGTTTAATTGGAGACTTACTTTCATGCGACGTCATTTCAGTGCTCAGGAGTGTTAGCTTGCTTATTTGATGTATGTAGCATTGCTCATATCCAACTCTTAACAAAGTCCTTAGAGGAAAGTCTGTTCAGTTAGCGGCCATCTTGGCAACAAGACCAGACTCTTATCTCTTTGAATGGGGAGAGACGTAAAAACATGACAAGCTAAATTACCGTTTCAAAAACATATGGAAAATCACTAACAAAATCGAGCAAAGACCTCATAAATATGCTGCATTTGACTGAAGTAATGCACAAAAATGTGTTTTTTCAGCTTATTCTGGCCACTGTGCTCGCACAGAACTCGATAACGAGTTTTGCGGCTTCACCAGCAAGATGACTGTCTCTTTTACTGAAGGGCAGGACTTCATCGACAAACAGACGCCATGTTGAGCGTTACAAGCTCTCGTATTCATTTTCCAACCAGTGGCCGTCTCCTCCTTTATAATGTTTCTGCTGCTAAAGAACCTTATAATTCAGAGGATCCAGCGACGCTCACAAACACTCGCTTAGGCTCCTTTTAGTTTACAGTCCTTTAGTTCCTAATATAGGCACAAAAGCGACTACAGCAGTGCGAGTTTAAAAACACAGCTGATTTTGTCTAGAAATATGTTTTTTTTTCATATCTCTCATCCAGAATCTGATACATTATTGGTTAATCGTTATGAGCAACTGGAGTTAACTCATGCAAATGTTCCTGAAGCCATACCAAAACAGATTTTATAATACTTTCTATACTATTGTTTTTCGATGCTGGCGTTATCGCTAACGTTGTTAATTACATTGTTAGTTACATGAGCAACATAAGCGCTAGTGTAGTCAATTCATTGGTTGAAACTTATATGATGGAGTCAGCGAGCGAACCAACTGTAATCGGCTAATTAAATTAACAGAACTAGCAAGAAAATTTGATGGAATTTGATTAAATTAACCCGTCATCGCTCCTTAATTTTGAGAACAACTGTTATTTCTTTCATTTCAGGTTTCAGTCTCCGGGCGTCCTGCGCTTAACCGAAGTCCTTATAAGAAAGTATGTTCACTCGGTGACCATCTTTGCAACGATGCAGGGTAATTGTTTATAGTTATACAAGACCAGACGCCTCTCTCCGAATAGGGAGGGACCAAAATACTTCAAACTGAAGGTCATATTACTGTTTAAAACACATATTTCAAATCACTGGTAAAAATCAGACTAACTTCATAATTAGTATGTAGCATTCGGCTCAATAACATACAAAAAACAAAGATTTTTCAGACTGTTCTGGCTACTGCCCTAGCATCACAATATCGTCCACCCCTTCTCCACTCGCGGCGTAACCTGCAAGCTAATTGGCTGTTTTTATTGAGGGGCGGGACTTTCTCCGCAACCAGATGTTGAGCATTACGTGCTTTGCCATTCGTATTTCAACCAGTGACCGCCTCCTCCTTTATAATTCTCTGGCTTAACACAGCCTGAACATCACCTGTTCTGCATGTTGGTGAATAAGTGACATTACATTGCTAGAGAACCTGAACCCAGAGATTCATAACTGTGTTCGCATTCACTACTTTGTCGATATTTAATCAAGTATCGAGGCTATTTCAACCTCAAAATGATACGGTACTGACTATACACGTGTTAAAGGGACAGTGTGGTTAAAATGTATTTTTTGGGCATGTTTTGAATCTTTTTTGGGTCAAATGAATCACCCAACCACTTGGCCACACCCCTTAAGTTGCTAGCTCCAATTGAGTGAGCTATAAAGTATGCTTTTATTCACATATTTACTGACTATTAAATGATTTCAGTCTAACGTTCTTCTAACACTGTACTACAAACTAAAAAATAGAAACATAATGCAAATAAATAAACAAAAAATATATACATAACTGTTGATGTTCTTTCCTATGTTTTCTGAACAGATGAACAATTGTGATGTTTCGATTTCCTTAGATAACCAATTTAAAAAATCTTCTAGTATGCGCAGAGCAGTGATGAAAACCATATGACTGCATTGAAATATTAAGGTATAAAGTTTCTTTTGAGACTTACCTCGACCTGAAACTGTCACTAAAATCCACTCCCGATCCATAGCCATTACTCTCAGCTGAATCAGAAAAACCGCCTTTCAGAGCAGTTAAGGATCTGGAACACACCCACGAAATAGTTACGAAACAACCTGATGTAAAGTTTTTGAGGCGACTTACTCTGGGATGCTGCTGTTTGTCTTACCCGTCAAGGTCTGAAGCAAGAAGAGACCAAAAGTACTGAACTACGTTTGGATTGTTCAGGTTAGCCAATGCCTTTACTTCACGATCAGCTTTCCTTTAAAAAACAAACCAAAATAAATGTATTATGACGCGTAGAATGAACCTGAATAGTGTAACTATGCCTTAAATGTACTCACTCTGTAGATTGCACAATCTTCAAAGCGTAGGTCTTCAAGTCCACCTGATGCTTCACTTTAAAAACAGAGCCAAAGCTTCCTTTTCCCAATAGCTCGATTAGCTCGAGGTACTGAGGGAACCTATAACCACAAGACAATAATTTAAATCAACTATTAGGTCCAGGGCAGGACGGCGACGCAGTGGGTAGAGCTGTCGCTTCACAGCAACAAGGGGTTTGATTCCCCAGCCGGGCGACCAGGGGTGCTGTCTGTGTGAAGTTTGTATGTTCTCCCTTCTTCTATGGATTAGCAACCTGTACAGGGTGTTTCCGCCCAATGACTGCTGGGATAGGCTCCAGCAATCCCCGTAACCCTGAAGGACAAGCTAATAGTGTGTGTGTGTGTGTGTGTGTGTGTGTATTAGGTCCATATCAAAGGCATTTTCACATCTGTCTGATGTGAAAATCTCTTTGATATGGACCTACCACAACCTGCAACACAAAGGGATAGAGCCAAAATCTGGGGGGCCCTGAGGACCGGCTTGACAACCACTGTTTTGAAGTACATTGTTATTGCTGTTATTAGTGAATCATATGGCAGAGGCCTTCAAATATAGACCCTGAATCCAGTCTCCAGCTCTGGATACTGTAACCACTAGGTGGTCAATCGGGTACATCAATTAACTACCAATGATTACAAAATCCAGAATCAGAAACTGGATGCAGGGTCCAGGGGTGAAGACCCATAATCTACCCTGGAGGTCTTCAAATCCAGAACTTGAATCCAGTTCCCGGCCCCGTATTTTGCATAGATGGTAGTTAACTTAACTACCAATATAAATAAAATAAATAAAAACACTGCATATATTAGCATATTTAGTCAGCAACAAAACCATCATATGTTGTGTTTTCGTTGCTGGTATGCTGGTCAACCAGCATGACCATGCTGAGTGGCCAGCTAAACCAGCGCCAGACCAGCATAAATCAGCATAAACCAACTTGGAATTCATGCTTGTCTAACGTAATTGTTGCATATCAGCCAAAAAGTAAGTTAACTAGCAAGCAAGATAGCTAAGTAGCCAAATCAGACACTTTAGTTGCAAACCTACCAGTGACTGTAAAATCCAGGACTGGAAATTGGATTTAAGGGCTGGATTTAAAGGCCTCTGACCTATACGTTTCTTCGTATTAGCAGAAAAAAAGTACATACTCACTCTGAATTTAAGCGGAGTCTTGCTAGTTTATTACTCGAGTGACTGTGAAAACAAATATGAGAACATTATGCAACATGCATGCAGAAAATAGTATAGGGGTTTTTATTACATAACAAAAATTAAACTTATACAGAAACTCACTAGCTACAATGTCTATTTACAGAAACATATCGCTGTTGTCAGAACAAAACCTTGTATCTCCAAAATTTACAGAAAAAGGAAAAAACCTACTTTACTTTTAATGTAAGTCAATGGAACCAGACTTTTCCCCCAAGCCATTTGGGTCATTTATTTTGGTCCATTCATCATGAAATTTACATACAATGTAAAGGGTAACAGACATTTTCAAATTATGTCAAAAACTGAAAAACGTCTAAAATGGAGATTTTCTTCCGACAACAGTTGCATATAATATATAAGAACACTATATTTTATTGGGGATTGGCTTACTACAATGGAAAACTAGATATGTTACATAGTTTCTGTTGTATTTTTACATCAGGTGCATCTGATGTTTTGACTGGCAAGGTTTTCCAACCCACCCTCTTCCTACCAAGAATAGTGGCATTACACTCATTTGAATGGCCCAAACAATATGACTGCTCCTTCATTTTTATGGCCCAAAATCACAATACCTTAAGTAGATAATGGTAATACACAAGTTGTGCAACCACTTGTGTTCAGTTTACCATGTATCAGCTATACTGAGTAGTGTATGTTGTATAGGTGATAATTCTATTCCAAAATAATTTTACCATTTATTATGTGTAATTCTGGCCTTCAGTGAAGGCCCACCCAGCCCCTCGCCTCACCACGCAACATTAGCAGTACTGGACATCATGAATGAAACCGCAGTATGAACTTTCACACCTAAAGGTGGTTTCAACTGTGCATAAACCTCAAGAATGTTGCCTCAACAGGAAGTTTCACCCACTCTCATTACCTCAAGACTCATTACAGGCTAGTCCAGGCATGTCCAACTGGGGACCTCCCGGGCCAAAATGCTGCGGGGAGATCAATTATTATAGATAATACTTGCATCTCTCTGTTTTTTCCATGAACCCACCCCAGGGGAAAAAGCTTGTTGGTCGGAAGTATATTGTTTTAATAAATAGAGTTACATTGACGTGCAAGTAATGATCCCCAACTTTCCATTGATGAAGTTCATGAACAGTTCGATATAAGAAGGTTTTTGAGCATAATCCTAATGCTTTGTGCACTTTTTGGACCATCCCTTAAAGGGCAATTACACCAAATATTCAATTTGTCATATTCTGTTCCTGCAATGAACTCATTCAGAGCGGTTTGCTGTGAAATGGATCATTGTAGAGAACCTGTCTACAACACAAATAGAACCATTTTATTTACCATCCAAAACCACCAGTTTTGGACTCTAATGGTTCAACAGGTGTTCTGATTCCAGATGCGTTGTTTCCCAAGGGGATTTAAAGGTCTCCTACAGATAACTAGTGGTCTCTAATGATAACCATTAAGGCGGTTCCCATTAGAAAGCAAAACTATCAGGTTTTAATGGTTCTAATGGGCTTTTTTCAGCAGGGGTCTCATCAGGCAGCATATTCATATCCATTTCATGTAATATCTTCCTGTGAGGGAGCTTTTAGAGGTGGACGTCTGGTTCCTATCACCACCACTGTGAACAATCCTGACTCTGTAAGTTTCTCTAAAACAGAGCATTTCACACCAAACCACTCTGAATGACTCTGTTTACATCTTAACCACTTAATCACGTAGAAATGTGAAAAATCTGGTGGAGTTCCCCTTTAATAGCTTAGCTGGGGTCTCTGTTTCGTATGTGAAACTGAACAGGGTGTATAAAATACATCATTCTGTGTTCTTCTGTATAAAAATACATCATTTGGACGTTTTGCTGGGAAGAAACAGAAGAAAGAAACGCGGTCTCCAGCGAACAGACCTATAAAACTCAAATGTGACTAAAACAGCTTGAAGACCTCCAGCTTTTCCGAACATTGCGGGCTGGTTTCAATGGTGGTCTGTCGTATTTATACAGCAGCCTCTTCGCAGCGAACCTTACGTGCTTTTTCTACATATTTTGAGCGAAACGTGTCCTGTTGTGCACAAACAGGGTTTAATTTCTTACCTTTCTTGTCCACACTGTCCATTTCTGCTCCAGCGCCAAAAAGCTGGGGGCTGAACCGATGTAAATCCTTTTGTTGCGCTAAAGTGCAGCGAATACAGTGCAGTCCTCCTTCATACAGTCACTCACCAGCGCTCTGAGCCCCACTTACTGAGCCCTCAGCACTCAGAGCTCAGAGGAGAAAACGAAACTCAGCAGCGTGGCGAGAACTGCCGCTCAAGAATGTCTTCCGGCTTATCAGACGCTAGAGGGCGCCCCGAGTCCACAATGAATGGGTTCCTATGGAGCTTTGGCGCAAAATCACACGAAACCACCCGTGAACCTACACGAGTCTTACGGTTATATCAACATGACCGCAAAACAGCAGAGGGCGCCCGCGAGCGAGTCCTCAATGAATGGGAGTGAATGGAGCTCAACGGCTAAAAACGAAAGTTAAAATAGTTTCTAATCACTGAACCAGAACTTTCCTTTAGTTTTAGACAGTAGAAGGATGGATTTCACTGAAAATCAAAGAAAACTCACCTGTATGCTTTCTTTTTTCTACAGACAGTTTTGGGCAGCAGGGGCCGTAGCTGTGCACGTATGGTTGGTCTGAGATCTGCTTTGTTGTCATGGCAACTTCAGTTAAGACTGTATTTAGGACAGAAGCCGTTACAGAACAACAGTTCTTAAGTCTATAATCTCATCTTATTTCCAAGAAAACGGTGTTACAGAAATATCCTAAATATTTTCTTAACTTTAAGATAAAAGTTTAACCTTCCGTTTCTATTGTTTTATGCAGTGACAGACAGCTCAGTTCACTATAACCAGCATAGTGATGCTCCATTTATCTACACTGAAAACGCGGCTTTGACTGGAGAGGTTTTCTTTAACAGCGTTTAAAACCTTCAGACGCTGCAGACTCGATCTCCACCGCCCCTCTGATTACCCTCGTGTGTTAATGTTGATGATGAAATATTACAGTGATGGTGGTGAATAATGAGGAGACTTAGCTGAACGTGTGTCTGTTTATTAGGAGGAGTAACGTTAGCGCGCTCGGCTAAAGCGTTTGGGAAATGGAGACTGAAACTGGGAGCGGTGACTCTGATAAACAGCAGGGGGCGCTGAAACAATATTCTTAACTTTCAGTTTATCGCGCTTTAGTTTTATTTGACTTTCTTTATCTCAGTAACGGTAGCTAACGTTAATGTCAGCTGTCTGACTTGCTAACTTGATTACTTGTTTACTAGATTCAGCTGTGCACGTATGGTTGGTTGTAACAGACATGACAGTTGATTGTCGACTTCGATCGGGTAAGTTAAGATTTCCTAACTTGAGAGAAGAAAAGAAGCTGTAAGATAAGATTCTTAAATTAAGATTTGCTTCTGTAATGCGAATTTGTGAAAAATCTTATCTTGGCCTGTCAGATCTTAAGTTAAGACAAGAAGATAAGAATTTTCTGTAATACGGCCCCAGGACGCTAACATTACTGCTACTGAGTGCTGATTGGTTGGCGAACAGAGCAGCTCATTGGCTGTTCGCGCTCACTGACGTCATGAACGTACATGAGGCGCCGTTTTAATCTCCTATAACTCGAGTTTAAAAGCTCTTAAAAATACAACAGCAGTGTTAAAATGTTTTATTATATTCAGTGTTCAGGAAATGATTGTATTATTTTACATTAAAAATGTTTAGGCATTTATAAACTGTAATATTGCCTAAATGCTCCATCTTAACCCATTCATTTCGGACTCGCTCGGGAGCGCCCTCTAGTGTTTGAGAAACCTGGAAGACATTGCAGAGTGAGAATTCTCCTCTCTATAAGTTCTCTGCGGCTGTCTCGATGCCTCTGCTGTCTCGTAAGTCAGGGCCTTAGAAAGCAGCTTTGTGATGAAGGTACTGGCAACCAGGGACACGAGAAGGTGTTTTATGTTGGGGTGCTAAACCTTTTATGAGTGAATTTGTGATGTGCCCAATGAAGTCATGTAAAATGATTTGCCTTTTTTTATTAGATCTTTTTATTGTTATTTTACACACACATACGTTATCTAAGCTGCTTATCCTCCTGGAGGTGCTGGAGCCCATCCCAGGCAGGCAGTGTTTTACACAAACATTTGATTCAGACATGAATGGGTGTCTTCTGGCCTCAAGCGCTCAAATAAAAATGTGTGATTATCTACCTGAGATGTTTTGCTAGGTATAAGACAGCATTCTTTGCCTGTGTGGGTGCTATAATAACAATAGCATGAACAAAGCTGGGCAAAATCTTATCCAGAGCAAATTGTAAGTCTCTCTGGATAAGAGCGTCTGCTAAATGCTGTAAAAGTAAAATGTAAATGTAATACAGGCTCAATTTCAAATGGCTTCCTACTCCCTATATAGTGCACATTACATACGTCATTATAGAAAGGTTTCTACACATAAACAGTGCATTATATGTCTAAATAAAAGCCATTTATATTCAGTCATAGCTGCACAACATTTACTCTACAACCCCATTTCCAAAAAAGTTGGGACGCTGTGCAGAATGTAAATAGAAATAGGATGCAATGATGTGCAAATCATGTGAACCATATTTTTAAAGGAAAATGCTACAAAGACAACAAATCAAATGTGGAAATTGAGAAATTTTATTGTTTTTTGAAAAATATATGCCCATTTTGAATTTGATGCCAACAACAGGTATCAAGAAAGTTGGGACGGGGGCCTGTTTACCACTGTGCTTCATCACCTCTTCTTTTAACAGCACTCTGTAAGCGTTTAGGAACTGAGGAGACGTTGCTGTAGTTTAGAAAGTGAAATGTTTTCATGTTCTTGTTTGATACAGGATTTCAGCTGCTCAAGAGTTCAGGGTCTTCATTTCATAATGCGCTAAATGTTTTCAGTGGTGACAGATGACTGCAGACAGGCCAATTTAGCAGCCAGACTCTTTTAATACGGAGCCATGCTGTTGTAATAGATGCAGAATGTGGTTTGACATTGTCTTGCTGAAATAATCAAGGTCTTCCCTGAAAAAGACGTCGTCTGGATGGCAGCATATGTTGCCAAAACATATATATATTGTTTAGCATTAATGGTGTCTTCACAGATGAGCACGTCACCCACGTCATGTGCACTAATGCCCCCTATACCATCATGAATACTGGCTTTTGAACTGTGTGCTGATAACAAGCTGAGTGGTCTTTAGCCCAGAGGACACAGTGTCCATGATTTCCAAAAAGAATTTCAAATGATGATTCACCGGACCACAGGACACTTTACCACTTCGCCTCAGTCCATTTTAAATGAGCTCGGGCCCAGAGAAGGTGGCAGCATTTATGGATCCTGTTTGTATATGGTTTCTTCTTTGTGTTTTAGAGTTTTAACTTCCATTTGTGGATGCAGTGATTAACTGTGTTCACAGACAGTGTTTTTCAGAAGTGTTTCTGAGCTCATGCAGTGATTTCCACTACAGAATTATGTCTGTTTTTAATGCAGTGCCGCCTGAGGGCCCAAAGATCACAGCCAGCAAATACCGGTTTTTGGCCTTGTTCCTTACATACAGAGATTTTCTCCAGATTCTCTGAATCTTTTAATGTTATTATCTGCCATAGATGATGAAAAGCAACAGGTCTTTGATATTTTATGTTGAGAAACGTTATTCTTGAATTGTTGCACTATTTGATCGTGCAGTCTTTCACAGAGTGGTGAACCCCTCCTCGTCTTTACTTCTGAAAGACTCCGCCTCTCTGAGATGCTTTTTTATACCCATATCATGTTACTGACCTGTTGCCAATCAACCACCAAGTGTTTTTTTTTAGCATTACACAACTTTACCAGCCTTTTGTTGCCCCCGTCCCAACTTTTTTGGAATGTGTTGTTGACATCAAATTCAAAATGGGCAAATATTTTTTAAAAAACATTAAAATTTCTTAGTTTCAACATAAGTTATGATGTCTTTTGTACTATTTTCAACGATATACAGGGTTTAAATGATCTGCACATCATTGCATTTTGTTTTAATTTACTTTTGCACAGCGTTCCAATGTTTTTGGAAATGGGGTTGTAACATTTTGTGCAGTATTGGGGTGCAGAAGACACTGTTTTCTAATTGCACTGTACAGGGAGAGATTAGCTATTTGAGATTCAGCTGCAGACATGCTCTCATGTTTATAATACTGGGGAAGAGTGAAAGAACATTTTGAAAATGTTTTATTTATCTTTATCAAACAACCAAGTGCTTTTTGTTTTAATAAAATATTCATGGAAGTCATAATAAATGGGACAAATGAAAACATTTCCTAAAGTGTTCTTAAGAAAGATTTAATAATTTCTTGTCTCTGAACAAATAAATGTTTAAAAATCTGATTGTGTGTTTATAAATCATCCATAACATACGTTCATTTGTCTGTTCATATGAGTCCATTTTATTTAAAAATACATTTCGGTAGAAATTCCACTGTTCCATGAATATTACCCTTAGGTGTTACAGGGGAATCCCACTGATTTTCAGAATTTCTGCATGATTGAATGGTGAGGATGCAAACAAAGTCATTCAGATGTGAAGAGTTTAATGCCTCTAAAAGCTTCCTCAAAGAAAGTTATTACATGAAATGGTTATAAATACACTTCATGATGTCTGACACATTGTTTTATGATCATTTTCAAACCACTCTGAATGACACTGTTTACATCTCAACCACTGAGTTATACAGTAATTTAAAAAAAAAAATTGGTGGACTTGCCCTTTACGATGATCTTAACATAACTATCAGACCTGTAATAGTTTGGGTTTAACTGTGCCGGTTTTAGGTGTAGAGCGAAGGGAACGGAAGCTCCTCTGTCGGCTGTAGCCTGTATGAGAGAGAGAGAGAGAAAGAGAGAGAGAAATGTTGAAAGATTTCAATTTATCCTCAGTTTAATTTTCAAATAAAAAAATACTGTCCACATTTTCATTGTCACTACCGTAACACAGAGTTTTAATCAGTGGGCAGGGCCTTATTTTAGCCACTCCCCTGCATTTTAGAGCAGGAAACATTCACTTTATGCTTCGCTTTATGAATAACTTACTCATCTTAGATTTTCAAACTGAAGCTGAAGCTGACGAGAAGACGTGGCAAGTCGGTCTGATATTATACCTGTTCTCAGTTAATTAATTAATTATTAATTAATTATAAAAAATTACGTAGTCGTCAGCAGGCGGGTTTGGTGGGTCTCACAAGAAGGAAAACCAAATTAGGATACAGTTTTCTGGACAAACAGGTCAAATTCTGGTCATTTATTTATTAGTCTGTTGCGTAAAAACGTGTTATCACACGACATGATAGGCTAGTGTGAGTGTTACATACTAACACTAGTGCTAAAATGAAAACTGTTTGTTGGCACAAACGTTGTTTAGTCAAACTTAAAAAATACGTTTATTAAGTCAGAAACATCTAGTTTCTCTGCAGTTTGAGATGGTTTTAATCTGGAGTGATGCGGCTTGGTGCACTAGACTGTACAGTTACGAACGGTGAAGTTTTGTTCATTATTATAGTTCACATGAAGTTATATGCTGCGTTTACATGTTTGCGTTAAAAAAAAAATGCTCAGCTCCTCATAATGGTACACAATTTATGACGGCATGAAGCCAAGCGAGCACAGGCATGGTGACGGCGTTATCAGAGGAGAGCGTGCAGACTGTCTATTGAAGGAGGAGAAAGGCAGGTAGACTCTGTACTCTTTTTTTTGTGTTGTGTTATTCTGGGTTTATTAGAAATTCAACAATGAGACGTTTGGCATCCATGGCTCCCAAAAACAGCAGCATTCGGTTTATTTCAGTGCTGTGGTTGACAGCAAAAGTAGGGAAAACTGAACTCTTGATGGATCATTCCGCTCACCGCTGCAATCTGCGGAACACTGCCACTGACGGCGGCTCCATTGACAACAAGGGAAGATCCGGTTTGCCATCGTCCATCTACCCCAATATGCATTACTGCATTACTGTGTTCTAAACCACATCTACATGACCTTAACAAAGGGCTGGATGAGGTTTGAGTGTGTTGAGAGGCGTTTTGCGGTCGTATTTACAGAAAAGATTTGGGTGACTACTGAATTGTGTTTGTTACCAACATTAGCATCCTAGCAAAATTTGGACACCGAACAAGTCTCAGCTAGATCTGGGTTGAGTGGAAAATGTGTAAATTAGATTTTTTTGCCTAAATCTACCTTTAAAGTATCTGAATTAATTAGAAACTTGTATATAGTGCATATCTATATCTGAAACATTGTCACATTTCTACGATGTGTCAGTCTGTCTCACTGTGATGCCTCATGATGGCACCTGTTCAGTCCCGAATTTTCCTCTTTACTTATCAATGACCTTTGTTCTGTTGAAAACTGAGAGTTTCGTGCGTGACTAACTGCCTGACTGCAGCCTGTCAATCAGTAATTATTGACTGAAAAGGGATTTTTCATTGCTTTTTTTTAAATCCTGCTATGTGTCTTGGGATCCAAAAGGTTACGTGCTACATATATACACTCAGCCTACATTACCCAACATGCTGTGAACTCTCCCTCACCAGTTCTCAGGGCTCCAGCGAGTGTTTTCAGACTCCATGATGTGGAATGTGTAAACGTGGCGTGAGGCGTCAGACGTGTTCTCGGCGCTGCGATGGACGACTTCACCATGGATCAAAACCAACCCACCTGCACAATCAGCAAATAACGGTTAGAACCGCACTCGTTTACAGCCATAAAGGCATTTCTCTAAATGCAGCTTCATTTTAGCAGCCACCAATTAGGCCACAGACATTCGCTCACATGTTACTGAATTATTGATAAGTTGTAAATATGTTCTGATTATGATTATTTTGTCCACTCATACAGCTAAAACAAAATACACTGCTTCTTTAAATCTCTCGTCTCTCTTCAGGGTTAAATTTGAGCAAATGAGATCAACTGGGATTGGCTACACACAAAAATAATGTGATTAATGGTGTTTAATCATTTTAAACATCCTAAATTAAATGAAAACAGACAGATTTCTATGTTTGACTCAGACCTTTCTTCACAGGTGCTGGTACGAAGAGGCTGTCGTCATAATTCTGCTCCCGGCCAATGAAATCGGTCAAAGGGAACGAGCCTTTAGGGGTCCGCACCATCCGCCTGGTGATTCCATCTGACCACACACAAAAACACACAAGAGCATCCCTGATTAAAGATTAACGATACCCCACTTTCAGAGAACTCCAGCCCTGTTTCAACTCTTTGTGAGGGAAAGAGAGGGGATGCTATGGCGAGAAAGTAAAACTGCTTCATCCCTGATTTAAACGTAGCCCGCTGACACGGTTACTGATGAAACGCAAATTGGATGGAGGAAGTAAACATTCACCACCGTTAGCTTGGCTGATATAACACTGAAAGCTGCACAGGCTAGAAGAAAGTACTGCAGCGATGGTAATTCCTGGTGAAAAATAATTTTCTCCAGATGGTTTGTGTGATTTGCTTTGGCAGTTTCTCACCCAACTAAGCTTACCTAACATTAGATATGAGAGTGACGATAACTTGGTGAACTTATTTTATCTCTATGATTTGCATATCGTGAACACGGACATGCTCGGGTACCCAAGTACTCAGTTTACCATTCAAGGTGGAGGGATTCAATGATGGAAATCACTGTCCGGGTTCTCCCATTCAGCACAGAAAGACAGAGAAAAAAATAGATATACAGATCAACAATTCTGCAGTTTTAACAGAACTCTATAGTTTTGCTCGTATTTTGCTCGTATTAATATGCTACGTGTATTAATTACGCATATTTGACGGTGCCACTCAAACATGAGTGCCTGAATGTGAGCGTGTTGTTAAGGACGTGATTGACACGGTAGACGTAGTGCAGCTTTATTGCTAACTAGGCTAAGTACTCTAGCTGACATCAGCTACAATGGAAATGTATTTCTCTGGCAAACTAACATGTTGTATCGTATGTAAGACGACGAGTCCTCATCAGAATCCAGTGTTACCAGGTAGCTGTAGTTCCAGCTCATCTGAAGAGGCAGCCTCCGTTACTCATCCAGCACAAAAACTGCTGATTTCCCTCGGCTTTTTTGAATAATAAATAAAACTTGTTTTAGGTATTCCTCTGCTCGCCGCAAATCTTTCAGTGCTACTGTCAATTTTAGCCTCTTAATACTAGAGACATCATGTAAAGCAGTAAGCCTTCAGCTCAAAAATATCAAAACAACATTAATCAACATTAATAATAAATAATCAACATTATTTGGATTGCGTGTGATTGGGGTGTAGATTTGTATTCCAGTGCTGATCTACATGTTGCCCCCAAATTATTCATGCTCAACATATCTAGACTTGGCTTTTTGAACACTGTGATTGTTCATTTTTTGCCTTTTTTTTTTTACATTTTTTACCTTTTTTACGTTCCTGCCCACACAGGCTCATGGGAAATGCAGTCCGTATGCATATACAGTCTACATATTCAATGTTGTTTACTGTAGCAGACTGAGCCAGCTCCAAAAAACGTTCAACAGTGTTAAAAGTGAAGTAAACTAAACAGCTGCCTGTGATAATGTAAGATATGGTGAGCTTGTTATCTGGATAGCCTGGATTAAAAACACTAATGCTGTAGCCTAGTGGTGGGCGATATGGCAAAAATATTACATCACAATACAACAAGACATTTCTATGGTATGATATGCTTCACGATATTTAGTTTTTTTGTTATTTTATAAGTTGTAACAGACAAAATAGAACCTGTAGCACCACATATAAAAACTATAATAATAATAATAATAATATCAATAAATGACATTTTTTTTTATGTTCTACAAACTGCCCTTCACTAAATCCAATTAAACAGGGTTAATTAACCATGTAATCACTGTTCTGTACTGACGATATCAATGACACGCTCAGAAAAGCGTATTATGGCATCATTTATCCCAATAACGATAAAATATTGCCATATTGCCCAGCCCTACCGTAGCGTAGTTTGTTAGTGATAGCTAGCTAGCTGCTTTCGTAGATCTAGCCAATTTATTTATGTCATTAAAGCTTGAAAAAAAGCTTCTACATCTGAAGTTGTACTTCTGGGGGCTCCCGAGTGGTGCAGCTATCTAAGCCTTGGCCCTATCAGGAGATCGCGAGTTCGATCTCCAGTGATGCCACAGCCATCTGTGGCCGGGAGTCCCAGAGATCACAACTGGCCTCGCTCTCTCTGGGTGGGTATTATGCCCCCGTCTCCCCTCATCACCCAGAGCGACGCTAATCAGCACTAGCATCTGTTAGCTGACGTTAACAGAACTGGTGGTTGCTGCTTTCTTCAGAGCGCATTCAGCTGTCCAACGACGTTGCATTAGCAGCAGTTCAAAAAGATGCGGCGGCGCTTCATAGGACTCTGAGGAAGCCTGTGTTTGCCTTCGCCCTCCTAGCACTGGTGGTGTCATGTGACTGGGGGAGTCCTAACTAGTGGGTGGAATTTGGATACAGGAGAAAATTGGGGGAAAAAAAAAGGTGTACTTCCCTGTACCTGCGTATGTCTAGCTAGGGTTGCCAGGTATGCAGTTTTGTAGTATTTTGCACATTAACTGCTAATGTAATATATCTCCCTATCGCTAGTAATTCCTCTGAGACCCTTATCGTATGAAGGGTCAGGTGGTATGAGCAGTGCGTCCTTTCCAAAATTGAAATGAAACCTGCACCGCTGGATCTACGTCCTCAATACCTACAGCAGAGTTGAACCAGAGAGGGGCATCACAGAGCTGGACTGACCACAATGATGATGTTACTCTGACAGTTTGAAAAGAAGTGTTCCATTTTTAAGAAGACTGATGTCATTTAGCATCACAAAGCAATATATTTCAGTTTTTAATATAAAAATGGCTTTAGGGTGTAATAAAAAAGACCCTGATTAGTGTGTGTGAGTGTTGTCTGTATGAGTGTGTGTGTGTGTACTCACTGTTGTGCGAGCCCGGTATGAACCACAGGCAGCCGTTGTGGAGAGTTGCGTCCTCCAGAGCGATCCACACGCCCATCACTCGGCCCAGAGGCTCCGTGTACAGGAAGGTTGCGTCCTGATGAGGGGTCACTGCAAAAGGCAAAGGTGATCAAAGGATCGATTAATAATATACACATATTTTAAATGTCATATCAAACCTCCACTGTTTTGTTTTCCATGAATGAACCAATAGAAATGCCCCATAATGACTTGGAATAAGGAACTGCTTATTCTACCAATTGAATTTTCCTAACTTAAAGCATGTGGCAGCTATCAAGACTTAGATACTTAACATGAGTTGAAGCAAGTGTGTCACAGGAGGGAAAGCACTAAACCAGACCCAGCAGATTTTCAAACACAGTGGTCAAACAGACTGACTCATTGTTCCTTTAAAGGCAAATTGGCCTGAAATACTCTCTTTTGAGCAACTTACTGACTGAATTGCTCACAGTGGTGGTGACAGGAACTACATCTCTGTGATAATTCATCTATGTTCGTGTGTCGAAGTTGAGGTTAACTTCAACGGAAAGATAGTGCCCATGTAGATCTCTAACAGGAACCAGACGTCAGAAGAGTTCAATGTTTCTAAAAGCTCCCTCACAGAAACTTATTACATGAAATGGTCATTAATACACTGCCTGGTGCCTGAGAGACTGTTTTACGATAGTTTTCAGATCAAATCTGGCATAAAACATAGTTTTTGAACACATTCATGGTGCAGGGCAGTAAAAATAGTCCCCAAAAAAACTTATTTTTTCAGATTTATCACTATTTCTCCCCTAACATCATATATAAAAACTCAGAAGACACCTGTAGGCTCACTGGTGGTTTTGGATAATAAATAAAATGGCTATTTGTGTTGCAGACAATGTGACGTCTGGTTCCTGGGTAGGGCGAAGTGCTGGGCTACATGACCCTCCAAACGGAGGTTTTTCAGAGACTCTAAAGAAACCAAAAATGTGAGAATTTTCTCTCTTAAAAATTACAATAATCATTGTATTAAATCACTGAAGAATTAGGGGTGGGTGATAATAAATAATTGCCCCCCTCTTTAAAAGCATATGATTCCCTAAATGTAACTAAAGCCCAGCAGTGAGGAGCTGAACTTTACCCTCCTCTGCTGTCACTGCAGACTGGCAGGGTCGCCTACAGAGCAGCGCTAGTAGCTGTTAATGAAGTGATGCTCTTTTTATTTGAGGGTCCCATTTCAGAGGGGAAGATTTCAACCACTACCCCTCGTAACTCAGTTCCAAGGGGCAGGTGAGAGACCTGAGGACCCCAGTGCTGTGCCTTTCTCCTTCAGTAAAATCTCAAGAGGGGGATGTTATTCCCATTCAGCATGTTCTCTTACCCTCTCCACCGATGCCTGGTTGCTGGAGAAGAAGAAAAAACACACATATTTTATTGTTAGCATTATTTTAAGATCAAGATTAAAGATACGTCCATTTAAGGTAAAAGCTAACATGGTGAATGTACTGTACCTTAAAAATGTACATGCTCTGCAAAACAACAGGGCTTATCAGACCCAGCTTCTTACCCAGAGTCTGCAAGCAGAGACAGAGAAAAATACATATTATCTGTTATACTCCCTCATTACAACGTGGGAAAGAATGGAGACGGATGAAAGGTCAGTGGTCAGTCTCATACCTGGACTTTAGGAGAGTGAGTGATGGACTTAAACAGGGGCTCGTGGGCATGGAGAGCTAAAGAGAGATGGATATAGAGATAGACAGATTGCAGCTGCAGTTGTTATTTTTGCCAACATGATGCAGAGTAGGGCTAGGAGTCGATCCTAAAAGGAATCGATTCCTTGATTCCAGGCATTCGGGAATTAAGAGTCAGCGCCAAAGCTTTGAACTAGCATGAAAACGAAGTGAAACTATGTAGTGAAAGACCTTAGCAACCACTTTGGATACCATACCAACAGCTTACTAACACCTTAGTAACCACCTGGAATACTATATCATCAGCCTAGCAACACCTAAGTAACAACTTTGGATACCACACCAAAAGCCTAGCAACACCTTAGCAACCACTTTGGATACCATACCAACGGCCTACCAACACCTTAGTAACAACTTTGGATACCATACCAAAAGCCTAGCAACACCTTAGCAACCACCTGGGATACTATATGATCAGCACAGCAACACCTTAGCAACAACTTTAGATACCATACCAACAGCCTAATAACACCTTAGTAACAACTTTGGATACCATACTTACAGCCTAGCAACACCTTTGCAACCACTTTGAAATCCATACTTACAGCCTAGCAACACCTTAGCAACCACCATATTATCAGCTTAGCAACACCTTAGCAACCACTTTGGACACCATACCAACAATCTAGCAACACTTTAGCATCTACCTGGGATACCATACCAACAGCCTAGTAACACCTTAGCAACCACTTTGGATAACATACCAACAGCTTAGCAACACCTTAGCAACTGCCTGGGATGCCATATTAACAGCCTAGTAACACCTTGGCAACCACTTTGGATAACATACCAACAGCCTAGCAACACCTTAGCAACCACTTTGGATAACATACCAACAGCCTAGCAACACCTTAGCAACCGCCTGGGATGCCATACTATCAGCCTAGCAACACCTTAGCAACCACTTTGACAAATAATGCACTCTGTTGATGTAATTCATCACCTACACAGTGAACTATATAAGGTGTGGGGAGCCTTTTGAGATGCAGCCTCCAACTTGATTTCTGGACTGGAGATATTATGTGGAATCATCTCTAGGAATCGACTCAATCTATTCCCGCCACTTGGATTTGGAATCAATGTCGATTTCAAAACTCCTGGAAACAAACAGCTCGCTGAAGATGGATGAAGGTAAAGGTGGGGAGAGATGCGCACCGTAAACCTGATGAATGTGCTGAGAAAACACTCACCGTGCCCGACTTTGTTTAGAGAGCGTTCTCTCGGGACAGTGAACTCCCCTGAAACCAGAGAGAGACTCAGATCAAGAACAGAAAGTCAAAGCAATACAGATTCACGTGTAAAAAGCTTGGACACAAACCCACCCTTGTCGTCAAAGACTCCTTTCTCAAAGAAAAAACGGATCTTGTCTCCACTCGTGATGAAGTAGTCTGCGTTTCCCTGGAGGAAGACACACATGACCCTGAGGTGAGGCTCATCAACACACAACTGAGATCAGTGTTATAGCTGAGTTGGGCTAATGTAAGGAGCTCATTTAAAAACAGCAATGCTATCATTATTACTCCATTAAATGTAACGTTCTCAATGAATCAGCTTAGTGATTAGTTCACCAGTATCGTCATTATAAAACTGTGTTTAGCAGATCCTCCACAAAGGGGGAGCTATTAGCCCACAAATTAACATGGAAAGAGAGGAAACCCACACCAGCAGGATCTCAGAAATGCACATCACATGTCTGTAGTTACTAATGTCCAGTGGTGGACGAAGTACACAAATCATGTACTTGAGTTAAAGTAGAGATACCCGAGGTAAAATATTACTCCAGTAAAAGTAGAAGTTCCTCCCTTTAGACCTCCACTTGAGTAAAAGTACAAAAGTATTTGCCTTCAAATGTACTTAAGTATTGAAAGTAAAAGAACTAAAAGATTAATTATGGCTCTGATGTCCTATTATCATTTTTTTCTTTCTTCTTGCTTCATTAACTCATTTTAGGTGAAAATACTCCAGTGTCAATTATCATAAGCACAAAACACTGAAGGCAAACAGTTTCCATCAGGTAGAACTGAGTGGCTCTGAAATCACTTTTTACAAACAAGCAAAGTTTCAGTTTAAGATTTATTTGCAACTTGGTTACAAGTTTAAGTTTAATAAAAACTTTAAACTCAGATTCACAAATGAGTTTCCTTTACTAAACTGCATCTGTAGGTCTCTGTTCATAAACATAAACTAGCCTAAACTAATTTACTATAAAATGAAATAGTGCATAAATTAAAAAAAAAGACACGTCAGTCACAACTGCATATGTGTACATATTTCTATATTGTGGTCTATTTACACAAAGTTAAGTTAGAGTCAGGAGTTTCTTGCATCATTTATGTTGGAATAGGCACTCCCGAAATTTTATGCTGCTGCACTGACTTTGAACCGTATACTGCACTGGGTCGGTATGACCAACAGGTCAAAACAAGCTCAAAACAAAGTGCCGCTGTGCCCTGATTGGTGTTCTTGCTTTGCGCTTCTTTTGTTTTGACATGTTACATTTTTATACACACATAAGCCAAAAGGAACGACAGATTTCTCATAATGTAGTGGAGTAAAAAGTGAGATAATTGACTTTGAAATGTAGTGGAGTGAAAGTAAAAAGTCACCCAAAATGGAAAAACATCAGTAAAGTACAGATACACAAAAAACTACTTAAGTACAGTAAGGAATTACTTTTACTTAGTTACTGTCCACCACTGCTAATGTCATATCTATGCAGTAAACTACATATTTGATGTTGCAAACTGTGTGTAAATGAAGTAAAAGTGTACAGGATGAACAGCTAAAAGGTTAACAGGATACTCCAACAATATTCAGAACCTTTCTGGTAAAAAATGTGTCACTTGTATGTCTGTTACAAGCTTCCAAATGCTTCAAATGTCTGTGTTTAAGCAAAGTTGGCCTAAGTAGAATTAAACTCCATGTGTGGGGAGTGAACACCACTGCTAGCTTGGTGCTAACAAAACACAAAAATTCCCATACAAGCACTATTATCATTACTGTAGTGGTGGTACTCAGGCTACTTGCAACACATCTGCATTAATCACTGCTATATAATATGTTTGGATGTTAGAAGTTCATGAAATGAACTGCACATCAAAAGATGGACTACAAAAATCCTTTAATGTGAACTCATTTTGTAGGTGTCCCGGATAAAACGGCCAGTGAGTAGAAGTGTTTAATGAGATTTCTGTGTTTTGTACTCCCCCCTCTATAAATGTGGGGAGATGATATCAGATCAGAGCTCTTACTGTGAAACTCCTGAATGGCTGGCTGTGTGGAGAAACACATGCTCCGCCAGCACAAACACGCGCATGAACACGCACACAGCTGTCTAAATGATCATGTGACCATGTGATCAAGGACCATGTGACTTTGAGTCATGCTATATTCTATGGTCTGCTCTACTGCCTTGGGGAGAATACAAATTCCTACAGCTAACCACACCTGGGGTCTTAGGTGGGCTTACCTGCATCTTTCCAGACAGAGCATTGAGCATTAAAGGAAGCAAAAGAACATTCACAAAGTTAGCACCTCCTGAATTCATTAACTGACATGGTGTTTAAAGACAGAGTATAACATTTTTCCAAAAAAACATCACCATATTTTTCATTTTTCGATTTTTTTATATGATTTTGATTTATTTTTTCATTTTTGGGGGGAGGGAACATGCTTTTAAAGGGGAAAAACAGGCATATTGTCACTTTTGTCAAATCTTGTATCTTTACTGTTAATTTTTTTTACATAATTTGAAAATTCCAGCTTCCACTTACATTATGTTACAATTTCATGATGAATGGATCAATAGAAATGATCCAAAATGACTTGGAATAAAATATCTTTAAATTAGCTTGCATTAAAAGTTACCTTTTTTATAATAACATGTGATTTTGCTCTGACAGCGACAATATGATGTGTTGTGGATGCTGGTAAGCTAAGTACCTAGCAAAACAATGCTAGGTGACCAGCTAAACCAGTACCAAACCAGCACAAACCTGTTTTTCTTCCAGAAAGAAAGTATAACTTCCAAAATGTTCTCAAGTTACTGTGTAAATTATGAATGAACATCATTTTTAATCATACTTTCTGGAAATTACTAACGTTTTTTTAGCTTCTAGTTTATTAGCTAGTACACTGGCCATGCTAGCTGCAGTTAGCCAGTTCCTGACAAGAAAGTGGAAAGTGTTGATGTCCAGAAATGTATCACCATCCACAGCAGATTACGTACATTATTGTTTTCATTTTAACAGATCTTTCCAAAAAGACTGAAGGGTCGGCACAAATGCTGTGGAATATTAGCAGCAGCGCTAGCAGCATTTCACACTTTCTAAAAGCAGCTTTCCTCTCTCATTCTACAAACGTGGAAGGTCAAAGATGGTCATTTTAACACTTTATCATACTTTAGAATCAGCCTTTTTCACAAGTATCACTTGAAAAAGTCTGATTTGTGGAGTAAATGTGCATAATTAAATCTTTAAGATGTAACCAAAGCCTTTCAGAGTGGTTTGGAGTAAATAGTGGTGATAGGAACCAGACGTCCACCTCTAAAAGCTCCCTCACAGAAAGTATATTACAAGAAAGTAGTTATAAATATGTTAGCTTGTGTCTGAGGCATTGTTTTATGATCATTTTGCAGTAAGGTTTGACCTAAAATGTTTTTATGGGCATTCAAAGGCAAAATAGCCCCCAAAGAAAACTTATATTTTTAGATTTTCCACTGTTTTATCATCATCAACATTCCATATAAACTCAGAAAACGTGTGTAGGTTCACTGGTGGTTCTGGATAGTGAATAAAATGCCTATATTTGTGTTGTAGTCATGGTGACCCCTGGTTCCTATCACCACCACTGTAAAGACACCTGCGCTAGTTTGTTTCTCTACAGTGAAACAATTTACATCAAACCACTTTGAATGATCTTAGTGACTGAATAATGCAAAGATTTTGAAAATTTGGTGGAACTGCCCTTTAAACCAGTCTGCGTGGTTACCTGGGTCTTGAGCTGCTCGTCGTGGTCCGTGGTGAACTGAGTGCGGCAGTGTGAGGGAACGTCCATCCGCTCCACGATGTCACTCATCCTCGCCCGCAGCTCCTCACACTCCTCCGGGCTGAAGACCCCCTCCAGCACCAGGTACCCGTCCTCCCGGTACTGCAGAGCAGACACAGCCATCACAGCCACACACACTCATCACTAGGGCCTACACAAGGGTTCTTCAGTAAAGGCAATGGTTCTGTTTAGAACCATGAGTTGCATGTAGAACCATTTGCATGCTTTAATGGTTCTTTGCATGGAGAAATGGTTCTTCAGATTGATGGAGGATGTGTTGTATATAGAACCTTTTTGAAAATGGTTTTATATAGCACCAAAAGGGTTCTTCTATTCATGTCATGTTTGTAACAATAGAAGAGGCCTTGTTGGTGCTAGAACCATATACAGCACATTCTCCAACAATCTTAAGAACCATTTCACCATGAAATGGTTCTACACAGAACTCATGGTTCTGCCTTTACTAAAGAACCCTTGAAGATCCTTTTTTAAGTGTGTACACTCCACTGCAAAGCTCAGGTGACTCCTTTTCTCAGTCAGGTGAAGCTAAAGCACTTCCATTATTGTTTCAGTGCAAAGCTAACTCAGTCAGGCTCCTGCTGTTTATTGCGAAATCCTGCAGACTGCACTGGTTTTTGGAGCTGCACATGCAAGTCATGCAATAAGCTGTCAGCTTGAGAAGAAGCTTCACTGTAAGAGGCTCAGAGAAGCTACATCAGATTCTGAACTGCATGCAGAGGTGAAGCTTTACCTGCATCAGCAGAGTAACTGACTCACCTTTTTAACGTCCTGCTCCGTTAACACGTCCATGCTCAGCTCACCACTCCAGCAGAGAGAGACAGCGGCGTCGTTTCTTTTCCCACCCGTTTTCGGACCAGCCCCGTTTCTGCAGCATGATTGGCTGGTACTGTTCCACCTCCTGCACTAGCATGAGCTAGTTGTGGTCTCCCTTTCTGCGCTAGGAACTGACTAACGCTGTCCCACGTCCTGGGCTCGGATTGGCCGGTAGTATCCTGCCTCCTGAGCTGAGTTTACTGGGTATTAGTTGAAGGGACCGGTGGATTTAATGTAAGTATGAACCGCAAACCAATCCCAGTGCAGCAGAACAAACTACTAGCCAACCTCAGCCCAGTAGAATGGAATATTAGCCAATCCCAGTGCAGGAGAATGGAATAGTATCCAATCCCAGCGCAGCAGAACAAGCTAACCAATCCTAGCGCAGAAGAATGAAACATTAACCAATCCCAGTGCAGGAGAATGGTATATTAGCCGATCCCAGTGCAGGAGAATGGAATAGTATCCAGTCCCAGCGCAGCAATCCCGGCACAGGAGAATAGAATATTAGCCAATCCCAGCACAGGAGAATGGAATATTAGCCAATCCCAGCACAGGACAATGGAATATTAGCCAATCCCAGCATAGAAGGGCGGGAATTTTCTGAATACAGGTGGAAAAAAGTCATCGTATACGTGACGGATCCGCTCTGAAAGTGTCACGTGACCAACTAGATTCCGCTGTAACCATGGAGACACAGTAATTGGATTTTGGACGCAAAGCCATGTGACCTGTAAACCCGGTGGCCTGTAGGGCTGCGAGGTGGCTGACAGAGACGCTCGGCAATGAGAGTCTATATGAACTCAACGGGTCCGAGAACACACTATTACCAAACAACCCTCCAACACAGGCATAACGCCTGGTGAAGAAGACGAGCTATGGAGGCGCTGTGTCAGCGCAGATCATGAGCTGTGTTAACTGAACCGAAGAGCAAGTCCACCCAAATGTTCTAAAACTCACTACCACCTCTCTTAAAAGACAGATTACTAGCTGTGATCCTCCTCCTGGCTGTAGGCCTTTGCTTCTTAACAAGAGAGCCTGGAAACCCTGATTTTTAGGCACATGCTGCGCACTTTTAGGGGTCTTGTCGAGTTGTTGAACCTAAATCGGGACTGCCAGCTGCTGTGTTTCTTTCCTGGGGCTTTAAGATCACAGCCATCACACCTCAGACAGTCGAAACTCAACTGAACATACCATTCAGTTTCTAAAGCATCCTTCAGAGAGGAACAAAAGAACTGGAGCTGTTAAAGCCATTTATATGGAACACTCAGCATCGTGAGCTGAAACTTGTGAAACATCCATTCACAAGGCCCGGAGAGTCAGGCGCGTGTTGTAAACTATAAAGTAGCATTGATTTGCATTGGAAAGCTGAGTTATTACCATGATTTTACTACACTGATATGAATAAGAAAATAAATAAAGACCCAGTCTGTCCATATGATATAATACAAAGCACAAATATCTATCTATATATCTATATCTATATGTTAATCTTCATTGTGCTTCATAAAAGGGTTACTTTATTGGTTTAATTCGCTAAAATCCATTTCTTTAATTGACAAAGCCCGGCTGGATACTTTCCGTCTGCAGTTCTGTTCATCATCCTCTAGAGGGCAGACAAACACCATCAGACACCAGCTTAACTCCACACTCTTAAAAAAGATGGCTCTTCAAGTGTTCTTTGGTAAAAGCAATGGTTATTTTCAGAACCATGAGTTCTAGAACCATTTGCATGCTTAAATGGTTCTTTGCATGGTGAAATGGCTCTTCAGACTGATGGGGAATGTGTTATGTTATATAGAACTTTTTTGAAAATGGTTCTGGATAGCACCAAAAAGGGTTCTGTTATTGTTACAGTGTCAAGCTTGTAACACTACATGAACCCTTTCAGGGCCATAAGAAAGGTTTTCTATAGAATTTCTCTGAAGATGTTCTATATACCACCAAAAAGTGTATAAAAAGAGCCTATGTTGGTACTATATGGAACCATTTTCAAACAGGTTCTATATAGAACAATTTGCATGCTTAAATGGTTCTTTGCATTGCAAAATTGTTCTTCAGATTGATGGGAAATGTGTTGTATGTGGGTCTACATAGAACCTTTTTGAAAATGTTTTTGGTGCTATATAGAACCGTTCTTCTGTTGTTACATTATCAAGCTTGTAACAACAGAAGAACCATTTTAGGGCCATAGGAAAGGTTCTTTATATAAGCTTTTTTTGAAAATGGTTCTATATAGCACTAAAAGGGGTTCTGCTTTTCTTATGATGTCAAGCTTATAACAATAGAAGAGCTCTTTTTGTTGCTTTATAGAACTATTTATGTACATAAGTGGTTCTTTGCCTGGTGAAATGGTTCTTCAGACTGATGGAGAATGTGTTGTATATGGTTCTATATAGAATTTGTTTTTTAAAATGGCTCTACATAGCACCAAAATGGTTCTGCTATTGTTACGACTTCAAGCTTGTAACAATAGAAGAACCATTTTAGGGCCATAAGAAAGGTTCTAGATAGAAGCTTTTTGAAAATTGTTCTATAGCACCAAAAAGGTTCTTTTATTGTTGAGATGTCAAGCTTGTAATAATAGCAGAACCCTTTTTAGCGCTATGTAGAACAATTTTCAAAAGGGTCTCATATAGACTCATGTACAGCATATTCTCCATCAGCGTGAGGAACCATTTCACCAGACAAACAACTGTTTAAGAAAAACATTTATGAAATGGTTCTATATAGGACTCATGGCTCTAAACAGAACCATTCCCTTTACTGAAGAACCCTCCGTGCAGTAGTGAAGTAAAGGATGAGGCCTCACTGTGAGGATCATGTGTTTTCAAGCTGTTAGTGTTGAAGTTCCTGGTGAGCGTTTTGGATGTCAGGCGTGTCTCTGGTGAGAGGTTTGTTCTCCATAGAGAAGTGAAAGCAGTGAGTAACACCATTAGCCTCCTGTGCTAACAATGCTATTGCTTTGATCCTCCCAGGAGCACTTAGTAGTTCTGCAGTTACAGACTGTAGTCCATCTGTTTCTCTGATACTTTGTTAGCCCCCTTTTACCCTGTTCTTCAGTGGTCAGGACCCCCATGGACCCTCACAGAGCAGGTACTATTTGGGTGGTGGATCATTCTCAGCACTGCAGTAACACTGACGTGGTGGTGGTGTGTTAGTGTGTGTTGTGCTGGTATGAGTGGATCAGACACAGCAGTGCTGCTGGAGTTTTTAAACACCTCAGTGTCACTGCTGGACTGAGAATAGTCCACCAACCAAAAATATCCAGCCAACAGCGTCCTGTGGGCAGCGTCCTGTGACCACTGATGAAGGACTAGAAGATGACCAACACAAACTGTGCAGCAGCAGATGAGCTATCGTCTCTGACTTTACATCATCAAGGTGGACCGACAAGGTAGGAGTGTCTAATAGAGTGGACAGTGAGTGGACACAGTGTTTAAAAACTCCAGCAGCACTGCTATGTCTGATCCACTCGTACCAGCACAACACACCACCACCACATCAGTGTTACTGCAGTGCTGAGAATGATCCACCACCCAAATAGTACCTGCTCTGTGAGGGTCCATGGGGGTCCTGACCACGGAGAAACAGGTTAAAAGGGGGCTAACAAAGTACGCAGAGAAACAGATGGACTACAGTCTGTAACTGTAGAACTACAAATAGAGACAATATGGTCGGTGGAGCTGATAAAATGGACAGCAAGCGTACTTAAGAAGTGGCTGAGATGGTGTCTATAGATTATTTTATACAATTTGTAACATTCACAGAAAAGTCATGCGATTTGCTGTTTAAACAACTGCTATCAGATTATCTAAGCTTGGAACGTGGTGGTCAGTTTAGCTTGAAATATTCAACAGGGTCCAGGTCATGACACTTTAACGTCAACCTGAAATCAAAACTGACCTGTCCTGCTAAGCAAAACTCAGTATATTAGTGATAAAGACAGAAATTCTTGTTTTATTCTAAACTTCCATCAAAATGTAATGACTTTGCTCCACCTCTAAAACATCTTCTGATGTTTGATTACCTCACTGTGCACCAGGGGGCGGGGCAAAATGATTTTAACCAATAATACAATGTTTGATCTCCTCCTTGCTCCCTGGATACTGTGATTTTCTCAGAAATACAGCAAATAACATGATCATTTCTGATTCACAAGGACTTTAAGAGAAGTTTGGTAAAGATTTACTTTACATTTATTGCAGTTTAACTGACTAACTACTGTCGGAACAAAACCTTGTATCTCCATGGTAACTGGTAACTTTACAGGAGAAGGAAAAAACATACTTTACTTTTAATGTAAGTCAATGGAACCAGAATTTTTTCCAAGTCATTTTGAGCCATTTCCTTTGGTCCATTCACCATGAAATTTACATACAACGTAAAGGGCAGCAGGCATTTTCACATAATGTCAAAAACTGAAAAATTATGAAAATGGAGATATGAGGTTTTCCTCCGACAGCAGCGATATGTTCAAATCTGTGATAGGGCCGAACTGGCGTTTAGAGACTGATCTGAGGGCCGTGTTGCTTTTCATCTTCTTTGTTCTCTGCTGGTCGTGGCTGATCCTGGAGCAGCTTTCAAAGAGGAGGTCTCTGAACAAGCTGCCCTCTGTCTCAGGCCTCAGAGGGAGAGGGAGGGAGGCTTAGCTGTAAATGAAAGTTCTCAGCACAGCAAGTTTTTACTCAAACAGAACAGCGACAGAACTCAAACAGACTGTAACCCCCCCTCCCCCCCAGCTCTCCTACACACGTTTTCCTCACAGCACAGATTGTGTTTGAGGTTGTTTTTTGAGAGTGACCTCATCCAGAGTTTTATTTTTCCAGTGTAAGGAAAGGTGTGTATGTTTGTACACCATTTAGTGTCAGGCAAGGTTGTGCACGCTCACCCTCCTCTCCTCAGTCCCTGCACTGCATCTCTGTGAAGATCCTTAAGCTTGCAGACAACGCCACGTCGTGGTCGACCTCACGACCAGCGGTGATGAACCTGCCTACAGAAAGGAGATCAAGCAGCTACAGCAGCAACTACTGATGAAGGACTAGAGGATGACCAACACAAACTGTGCGGCAGCAGATGAGCTATCGTCTCTGACTTTACATCTAC